ATCAGTATTACTTCGTTCAGTTACGTATTGCTATCTTTCACCCCCCACTGAATCAATGAATTCCGCGAGAAATGTTCAGAAACGGTCGATATGTCGGAACACCTGTAGCAAAAATATCATGTCTTGGTTTTGCTATTTATTTTATTGTTATTAGATATAGTTTAAATGTGTTGATGTTGGTTAAATATAGTTTTAAATTGTTATAGAATTCACCATCTTTCATAGCAAATATTATTTTCGTTTTAATTGATGCTCAAAGCTAATTTTTTTTGCATTACAACCGGTGCCGTTCAAAGCCTACTTATTGAAAGCGGGCGAATTTTTATATACTCTATATCTCGAAGAGGAATCGAGCAAAAGTATCAAGTGTGTTACTCTTTTTGGAAGGTAATTTTAAATTATTTCAATAAATTAAAAATATACAGGGTGTCCCATAAAAAAATCAAATTTTCTGTTGATAATTCTTAAATTATTAATTTTAAAAAAATTATACTTAAACCAAATTCTACGTAAAAAGGTGCTTTGAAATGTTTTAATAAAAATACAAAATTTTCCATAACAAAAGATTTCGCGGGCTGTTAAAAATGCATATTTTGAAAAAACACCCGTAACTCGAAACGGTAACAGATATCTTGATATGCGGTTTCACCATCATATTTTTTGACAAGTAGGCTCCAGACACCGATATTAGTTTTTGTCTATCTCCTATAGAACAGGGTGTTTGTCCATTTAAAAGCGTCGAATTTGACCAACCCTGTACAAGATAGCCTAATAGCCGTAAAAAACTCACTAACTATTAGAATATTTTGAAATTTTTTTTTTTTTTTTTTTTTTTTTTTTTTTTGTGTTTAAAGTTGTTTAAAGATGTTTGTGAAAAACTTTTTACAGTGGAACAAAAATTAATTATTATTAATCAATGGATATTATGAGTTATTGACTTACTCTCTCCTGCTACTTTTTTCTCTGGAACTTCTGCCACCATCCGACGAAAAATTGCCCTGACTTTTCACTATTTCCAAAGTCAAATTCTGTTTATTTTCGTGGTTCTTGACTTGGTCGTCACCAGAAACGTTGTCCAAGATCGTCTTGATAAAATCAATATTCGGTTCTTTCTGAACCAGTTTGAATAGTTCAGCTAATTGAGTATCATTGTCGGTATGTTCGTCTTTATGTTGCTTCAAGGTGTACTGCAGCAGTTTGATCAGTATTTCCTCTTTAGGATTCTGTAAAAGAACAGTAATATTTAATAAGAAACTCGCTAGAGGTGAAAAAGTTCATTAAAAATTCTGTAAATCATTGATAAACAAGTATCGTTGTACCGTATAATCGAAAAAAAGGCGTCAAAGACGGCTGGGAATGACAAAATTTTGGCGAGGTCAATCTCTAGATTTCATTTACTTTACTTAATCGAAAAATAAATTACAACCTTCTTAAAGCCAACTGGCCGTAAGCCCCATTAAAAAATAAAGAAGAATACGGGCCAAGTAAATGACGTCTAGGGCTTGACCTCGCTAAAATTATTTTTTTCTATTATTTCTTTGACGCCGTTTTTTTTTCGGTCGTATGGTACAACTTGTATATTTGATCTAAATAAACCATTGAATGATAAGACGGAAATAGTACAGTGTTCTGGCACGCCAATCGTTGCATTTTTCACTCCAACTATCGCGTTTACTCCAAGTTCCCCAATTAGTCCGCAGTTTTATCTCGTACCAGTTACTCCGAGGTTCTTATTTAGAGCCAGACCCATAGACATTATAAGATATAGATTACAGAATTCCATACAGTGTGACCCAGAAAATTGTCCGTTTATATTTAAAAACTTTTTTATTATAGCATTCATATTTAAAAATATCTTTAAATATCTCACAAACCAAAGTTTTTAAACAAATTAAACCCTTCTAATAAATGTCTTATTTTATGTCCAAGAATCCAAAAATGAAATAAAATACCGGGTGTTCCGTAAGAAAAAATATAACTGTGGTATGGATCTTAGTTATGACACACCCTGTACATTTCAAAATAATTTTAAATTATGCACATTGCCTTCCCACATACACCCATAAAATATTTTGTTTCTACAACTTTCCGTTTTCGTATAATCAACCGAGGTGAATGAGGTGCGTCACCCTGTATAGTAATATAATTTCGTTTTCATTCTTTGATAGAATTTTAATTAACGTCATATTTTTTGCTGTTTTAAAATGTTAAAGGAACCCATTTTTTTAATTAAACTGCCCGTCAAGTTAAATACCACAGCGATTTTTTTACTCATTTTCAACGAATTGTAACTTTGAAAAAAATTGACCAATTTTGTTGATTTTTTTAGCATATTAAAGATCGTTTTTCGTAGATTGATCTGATTTTTCTAAATTTTGTATGAGATTTAGTTTTCTATGATATACAGGGTGTGAAAAAAAGGAATGTAATTTTTTAAATTTTGTGTTGCTGCAATTTTTGCTAAAAACAAAATTTAACTAGAATATATAGTTCTGGGTAGCTTAAGACTAATATCTCGGGACGTATTTGGAATTTTTACGATAACTCATCGGGAATAAAAGATAATCAATTTTTACTATCTAGTATTTTTCTACCTTTTCTTAAGAGATATGCTAACAAAACTGAAATTAACTTTAAAATTGTAGGATATTCGTTACTTTTACAATGTAAAATTAAAAAAAAAATGATTTAACTAACGCAGTTTAATACAGAATCTCTTAAAAATACGACCAGCGAAAAAGTAAAATTATTTTTTTTAATATTCTGAACTTAACAGCCCATAAGGTTAATATAAAAGCTCGACACGTATTTGATATTTTTGTAAAAACTCTTTTTGTGTCTAAAAATCTGTAGTTTAGCTGCAACTTAGTAGTTTTTTTTTTAATTTCACATTGTAAAAGTAACGAATATCCTACAATTTTAAAGTTAATTTCAGGTTTGTTAGCATATCTCTTAAGAAAGGTAGAAAAAATACAAGTTAGAGTAAAAATTGATTATCTTTTATTCCAAATGAGTTATCGTAAAAATTCCAAATACGTCCAGAGATATTAGTCTTAGCTATACCACAACCCAGAACTTAAAATTCTAATTAAATTTTGATTTTTGGCAAAATGGCAGCAACACAAAAATTACATTCCTTTTTTTCACACCCTGTATATCATAGAAAACTAAATCTTCTACAAGATTTAGAAAAATTAGATCAATCTACGAAAAACGATCTTTAATATGCTAAAAAAATCAACAAAATTGGTCCATTTTTTTCAAAGTTACAACTCGTTGAAAATGAGCAAAAAAATCGCTGTGGTATTTAATTTGACGGGCAGTTTATTTATGTTAGGACACCTATTTCCTTTAGTTATATCGGCGTTTTATCTATTACTTTTAACATCTATGGGCGTACCCCGAACCACCCTGTAATAAAAGCACCCCGCAGAGTGATTCAGACTTCCAAAATAGAACACCAAGATCGATTTCAGCTTGTTTTTCCGTATTTTCCCAAGAATTTTCCTCATTTTCCGTTGTCTAGGTGAAGGTTTGACACAAACCCGGAGAAAACTTCAAACGTATTTCAAATTTAAAAAAAAACGTCAAAGAAAAGTCAAAACAATATAAATTAGTTTGTCGAAAAGATTTTACACTTGATATTATGGTATGTAACATTTACTAGCTTATTTTTTTTAGAAATGTTATTTAGAATAATAATATTAATTATTATAAATCTATACTAATATATAAAATCCTTAATACTGATTAGGTACCCATACACCAGCGTTCTTTCCTGCAGGAATGTCTAATCCCGCTGGAAAGAACGCCAGTTAGTGGGTATATGCACGACACATGCACCTTCCGTCTTTCTTGTCAGGATCTACTGGCGTTCCAGCCCGACAAGATAAAACGTGTAAAAAATTTGTATTAGTGGTTTGGGGTCATTTCATTTGAGAGAGATGATATCCGTGTGTTCTCTCCTGTTAGGAAAGTCTGTTGTTAAAAACGCCAGGTAGTTTTTTAAGTCTTAAATATTTATTAGCTAGTTAGTGTTTTACGAATTAATTACGATGAATTTTTGTATGTATGGACTAACTAATTTTAACAGTTCATCAAAATGTTATTAGAATCCATTCTTAAATAATTTTGGAAATCGGTAGGCTCACTTGTCCGTAATTCGTAACAGATACATATTGCTGTACATTTTCCGTTTCTGAAAGCCACTTTGATCACATGCGGCGTTTCTGCTTTTCTTAAACAAAACTTCACTGCAATATTAAATACAGCAATTGCAATTATTCTTTAGGGTTTCATCTTAATATTAATAGTTTAATAATAATAAAAAATAAATATTAATATTATTATTCAAAGCACACCACTTGTTTACTTGTATTGCACAACACAAATTTTATAAAGTCAAATCTCACGATCCTTAGTAAAATGATCATCTAGCGGGAAAATTTTAATAATCGTGTCACATTTACAGTACAAAAACTAAATCCTTTAAAAACTGCAACGAAAGGTATTTTGTGTTAGTGGGCTTTACAAGGAATATAACTCCTTCAAAAAAGAACAGGCCAGTCTTACAGTAAAAACTGACAGGAAATTCAACAAGATTGCGTTTGTGTTAGTGGGATTGGACCTTCGTTCTTTCCTTTCAATTTTTTGACAAGAAAGAACGCATAAGGAAAGAATTACAGGAAAGAACGCTGGTGTATGAGTACCTATTAATCACGATCCTGCTCAAACCATTCAACGTAAGAAGCTCAATTTTGGCATACAGGTTGATTCTAGGGTGAAGAGGTTCGATAAGAAGGGATTTTTCGAAATTCCAGTTCCAAGAGGGTGAAACCACCCCTCAAATATTACAATATTTTTTATTTAAAAAACCGTCAAGTTTCCGAAAAAAACGCTTAAACACGTATATTTTATTTTGTTTTTTTACATATTTTAAGATTTTTTAAAAATGTATACAGAGTGTTTCGAAAAATCTGGTAATTGATTAATCACGATCCTGCTTAAAGCGCTTGACGTACAAAGCTGATTTTTGAAAACAGATTGACTTTTAGGGTGTAGAGGTTCGATAAGAAGGATTTTTTGAAATTCCAGTTCCAAGAGGGTGAAACCACCCTCAAATATTACAATATTTTTTATTTAAAAACAATCAAGTTTCCGAAAAAACGCTTAAACACGTATATTTTATTTTTTGTTTTTTTACATATTTTAAGATTTTTTTAAAAATGTGTACAGGGTGTTTCTGAAAATCTGGTCATTGATTAATCACGATCCTGCTTAAAGCGCTTGACGTAAAAAGCTGATTTTTGGAAAACAGATTGACTTTAGGGTGTAGAGGTTCGATAAGAAGGGATTTTTCGAAACTCGAATTCTAAGGGGTGAAACTATCCCCTCAAATATTAAAAATATTAGTTTTTCGGAAAAACTCATATTTTGAGATTTTTTATAAATTTATACAGGGTGTTTCATAAAATATGACCATTGAGTAATCACGATTCTGCTTAAACTGCTTGACGTTTAAAGCTGATTTTTGGCAAACGGATTGACTGTGGGGTGTAGAGGTTCGATAAGGAGGGGTTTCTCGAATCTCAAATTCCAAGAGGGTGAAAAACGCCCCCTCAAATATATACATATATTTGTTATTTAAAAACGATTAGTCTCTCAAATGCTTGGACAAGCATACTTTATTTGTTTTTTTTTACATACCTATTTTTAAATTTTTTAAAAAATCATACAGGGTGTTCCAAAAAGTTGGGTAATTTCTTAACCACGATTCTGCTTAAACTGCTTGACGTAAAAAGCTTATTTTTGGCAAACGGATTTTTCGAAAGTCACATTCCAACGAGATGAAACTACCCCTCAAATATTACCAAGTTATATAATAATATCGCCATATTGTTTTTTCTCGTGCTGACATAAATGTGAGAAAATTTTATGCAGTTTGTATGTTAATGGAAATTCTTGCTTTGCTTTATCATTACCGTTACAAATGATTAATTCGATGCGAACGAAGTCGCTGGTACACGCTAGTAAATATATATATATAATCAAATTTAGCGCTAAATGTTATTTAAATTAAGTTGTAAGCAAAATAGGTGAAATATATATAAGTATAATAGTAAGTAATATATATAAAATAAGTATCATTGTGAATATAAATGAAAGTGTTTGGTATATCTATAATAAACAATACCGATCAGATAAAATACAAACCTACTGAACCGAAAAGAATATAAATAAAATAATAGTTGGAAAACCAATCATGCATTTCATCTATTTTATCTTACTAGCAAATATTGGTATTGTCATAATTTATAGCTCAGATTAAAACGCGTGATAGTTATAATATTTTACCAGTTTTTTACTAAATAATTTACTATTTTCAGAGTGCCCCAGCATCCAACGAACCCAAAACTTGCGCACAATGCAAAGAAACCATCACAGGAGTAAGTATATGATTGAAATATCCGATTTTGGAGTGGCCCTATTATTTAATATACCCAACTAACTCGTAAAATACAAATTATTACTATTAAAATAAATTGTAAAGTCAATATAAAAAATATTTAACTAACAAAATAATGCCTAAATCAGTTGATTTTACCATTCTTTTGAGTTTGTTTTAAGAAATAATTAATTCATTATAATCTACAGGGTGCCAGGTATTTTAACTGGTAGTAAAAAGGCTTGAAAATTTTACAATTTTCTTGGAATTTTTGGGGAAATTCTTTAAAAAACTTTTTAGTGTCGCAAGTTCATTCTTCTGTAAGCCCTGCAATGTTGCCACCTCCTGCCACCTTATATTTTAACACACCTTCATATACTTGCACTTAAAAAAAGTTTTGAAAGTTTTTTAGTTTTTAGTTAAAAACATAATTTCTTGATAATATGGCAACATAGATAGTAGATTAAATTTAGGAGAGAAAAACCCCAGAAAAGATACAGTGGTTCTGAAAATTTAAGCAAAAACTGATTTTTTTTGGAAATTTTCAAAGTAAAGAGAAAGTATGTTTTTTTTATCGAGATCTACTAACCCTGAAAATATTTGCACTTGTTTAACACTTACCTTGTATTTATTTAAAAAAAATACATTTATAACTATTTTAATTTGTAATATTGTTGTATTTAGTTGCATGATGTAATTTCATGCTCGTTTAAAGTATAAAGAAATATTTGGATTGGAAAAATGACTAATAGACGTGTTTGAAGTACAAACAAAATATGAGCAATGCAGAACAGCATAAATATGATAAGCCTTCAGCATGTGAGTGAAAAATGTCATTTCTATTTCTGTTAAAAAAAAATAGTAAGGTTTATCAGTGACAATATTATTGTCAATAAAAAATTCAATTTACTTGATATTTTAAGGCGTTAATTTTTCAATTGTCATAAAAAAGTTATCATAGTTCTCTTTTTTTTAAATGTAAACCTTTATTTCACTGCCAATACAATGCCAACCAAGCAAATACAGGGTGTCCCAGAAATAAGTGCAAGTATTTTAACTGGTAGAATACTTCAACCCCCACAAACACGCCTATAAGATTTTTCTAAGAAAATTCGAAATTTTTTGAAAAAATATTTGGAATTTTTTTTAGTTTTTAGTTAAAAATATATTTTTTTAATAATATGGCAACATACAGTATTGGCCATAAGTGGATGAACTTTGTTAAAATAATGGGTTTTTCCTAATATGTTTAAAATTAAAATTTGAGCTATATTTACTTGAAGTCTAGTGTCAGTGCTATAAAAGTAAATAGAATTGTTTTTTTAAAATGTGCTTTAATAAGGTAGCAAAAAATTTAAATTGAAAAAACTATTGGACAAAAGTAGATGAACAAAATATATATTTAATAAAAAAAAATATTATGTTAACAAAAACTGAAAAATTAACTTATAATTTACTAGTACTTAGTGTAATAACCCTTATTCTTAATTACTTTCAGACATCGCTTAGGCATGGATCCCAGAAGATTTTCAATTATAGAAAAATCGATATTTTTTCAAGACTCTTCCAAAGCTGCAAATAATTCTTCCTTATTTTTGTAGAATTTGGTCCTAATGTGTTGATCCAAAATTTCCCATAAATTTTCTGTTGGATTCAGGTCTGGGGATTGCGATGGCCATTTGAGAACAGTCACCATTTCATCTTCCAAAAACCTTTTAACCAATTGTGAGGCATGTTTCTTTCGGGTCGTTATCATGTTGGAAGTATTGTACAATTTGCATTTTTTCCTCCAAATAAGGCACTAAAAGGTTTTGTAAAATGTCTCTGTAGCCAAATCGATCCATTATGCCCTCAATTTTATGGAGAGGCCCCATCCCATACCCAGAAAAACACCCCCATACCATGATTGAGCCCCCACCATGTTTTACAGTGGGTCGCGTGTACTTTGGTAGCAATCGTGTGTTGGGAGGTCTTCTTACATGTTGAATTCCATCTGATGACACCAAATTAAACTTTGATTCATCACTAAAACAAACTTTTTCCATTGTGCCACAGTCCAGTTTTGATATTCCTTGGCAAATGCTAATCGGGCCTTCAATTTTTTTTGATAGCATTGCTTTCTTGGCGGGTCTTCGGAAAACAACTTCTGGTCAACTAATTTACGTCGGATCGTCCTTGTACTCACTGGTGGATAGCCCATTTCTTCAAGTTTTGCTTTTATCTTCGTTGACGGCAAAAAATGGATCTTGTGAAGAAATTCGTTTTATGGCTTTTTATCATATTGGGACCAACTTTTTAGGTCGTCCTGGTTTTCTTTTTATAGAGACATCTCCTCTCTCATTATATCTCTTTAAAATATAATGTACCGCTGATTTTCCAAGGCGTAATTGCTTAGCGATTTCCGATTGTTTCAAACCATCCTTAAAAGCATTCACTACTCGCAATTTAAGATCTGCAGACAAGTTAATTCCACGTGGCATGATATATCACAAGAGCTCAAATGTTTTTAAATCGCAATTGTTCATAAAAGCCGAACAAATGAAACTAACGATTTTTAAAAATATTTGGTTCATCTATTTTTGTCCAAGACAAAAAAAGCAATATTTGCCAATTCTCATCTATAAATGATAAGACTAACAGAAGAATTTATATTTGGTTGTAGTATTTTGGTGAGAATGTATTAAACTTTTAACATACAAAGGTACATAAAATAATTTTGATAATTTAACACCTCAAATCTGATTTTCTTCGCAGTTATTGGTATTGGTTCATCCACTTTTGGCCAATACTGTAGCTATTAGATTAAATTACCAAGAAAGAATATCCAGAAAAGATTCACTGGTTCTCAAAATTTTAGCAAAAAATAATTTTTTTTTAGAAATTTTCAAAGTAAAATAACTCCGTTATTTTGGACTTATTTGAAAAACGATAAAGACAAAATATGTTTCTTTTATCGAGATTTACCAACCCTTAAAATACTAAGTGCAAGTATTCATTTCTGGGACACCCTGTATTAATTAATACACATTAAAGAGATTTTGAGAACATTTTGAGAACCGCTGGCAATCAGCCGGATTATTCGACAACCAACGTTGCCACATGGTCATGAAAGTATACACTTAACTTGATTAAAATACTTCGTAACAGGCGATAAAAGAATCTGCAACAATTGTTGGGGATTTATTTAACTGATACCCAGTATATTTCTATAAGAAATACCATTCACATGAATCTTGCATTTAGTAAAGAAATGTTAATTAAAAACTCCCAGTTTTATTTTTGTGTTTGGTGTGAGCATATTCTACAGATAAAAATAAGTAAAAAAGTTCGTATAAATATATATTCTAAAATGCTTAGTTTCCGAAATACAGGGTGTAGAAGTTTCATATTTATTTCGATTATTTCCAAATAATTTATTGAGTAACTTGAATATTTGGATGAAAATTTTTGTCTGGGAGTTTTTTTGACATGAGAAATTTGATTTTGATGTCAATATGGCTCCTACATTATACGAAATTTTTTACTTATTTTTATATTTGGACCACCCTGTATATCTCCTAATTTCTTTTAACAAATTACATAGTACTTTGACAAAAATTCTGCATAACATTTGCGCTCCGAATGCTAAAATCCTAACAGCTACACGCTAACAATCGCTTTTAGAGCATTCTGACAGCACTGGGCAAAAGTTGGCACCCGGACCATTTCGTCTGTGACGGATGCAAGGAACCCATCACCGAGACCAAGTTCCACACCAACGAAGACAAGCCATATTGCGGCAACTGTCACGTCAAATTGTTCGCTAAAACTTGTCACGCTTGTGACAAGCCCATTTTGGACGTACGTATACGAAAAAAAAAACATATTGATAGGCTTGGTGCATTCTCCGCCGGTGCTGCCACCATCGGAGAATATCGTAAACAATTACGTACACGGGTTTAAATAGCGAGCATACGAAAAATTTACTATATGATTATTCTAAAAGTGTTAGGAACTATAATTTGTGAAAATTCTAAAAATATAAATAAAAAAGTAAATATTTTCATATCTTCAGGAGGTCTCTTGTATTATAATTTATTATTCCAGCTAAAAAAAACTTTTTAGATGATTTCTACTAGAACTACGGTAGCGTAACAAAAATAAACTTTAATAACTTGTGAACCCAGAATCCTAAGTCTGGCTTGAGGGTTGGGGATATTTCGCTACTGTGCAACCCATAACATTTGCAAAAAAATAAATCCAAAAAACATTCTTTAGGCAACTTGAAATTTGTTTATTCTTAAATTTTAGTATCTATTTAACCTAGAAATAAGTATGCCTGACTTTTTTTTCGAGTTTAAAGTGTAACCCGACCATTCCAAATATGTTTAATTATTATACCTGGAAAACATATTTTAGGCATTCTAAAATTTTTACGGCGTATTTATTAGATGATATTAAAAAATATGTGTTAATTGCCAGACGAATTCAATGGTATTTAATACTTGCCAGACGCGAATAAAGATTTTAAATGAGCGCGATAAGAAAGTAACACGTAACGTAACAGCAGGAGTCGTAAAAACTTAAAAAAAAAACTAACTAATATTGAATAAATAAAAAGAAACATTTTTTAATAAAAATGTATGATTGAAATCCTTTCAATAAGAAGACTTTTTAATTTAAGTATTTTGTATCTGAAAGAATAAAAAGACGAATAATTATTTAAAAATTACCATAATATAAAATATATTTTTTTCAAACGTCACAAAAATATAAATATTATTATACTTTTGTGTGACATATTATATTATTATTAATTTTTGCGACCTGATTGACAATATAAAAAAGTAATTTTAACGCCTAAGCATACTTACTTTTGATTCTATTTAGAAAGATTAACAAGGGTACTTTAATAAAATCCCAGAATACTTATTTTTTTAGCACTGTACAGTGTGTCCCATTTTGGTTGAAATCATAGGGTATCTCCGTTATTAGTGAAGATAGAAGGGTGCGGTTTGCACAAACCTGTCCCACTTTTTCGTCAAACGGAAGATGCTGCAAACAAAATTTTCATAGCCCTCTTCATTTCTGAGCTACAGGGTCTTTTCAAAAATTTTGCAATTAGGGACACCCCCTGTATCTCTGTTATTGTTAAAGGTATTGAGAAGGCGAAAACTGCTTATTGTAGAACTTTTTACGTAGAATACAGTGGCGTAGTCTGTTTTTCTACCAAAAAAATATTTTTGAAAATATGAACTAAAGTTATGTTTTTTCAAACGGAACACCCTATATATTTATAAATCATATGATCTGTTTTGCTATGAGCTTCTCAAAAATATATATCACTCTATATTTATTTTTACTATTTACTGCAATATTTAAAATATATCATTTTCTTATTAGTAGGCCGTGATAAATAACAAAAAATCAAAATGGTATTTACTAAAATAGTCATACACATATTAAAATTTATCTGGGATTGATATATTTTACTTTCGAAATAACTGTTACCACTGAAACTGTGAATATATTTTTCTTTTTTTATAACGGGATGGGTTTGCAAATATCTAAATCTTGAATTATTAAAGCATTTTTCAGGTGTTCGAAATTGTTGTAGTGCCCACGATATATTTCGTATTTCAAAAATCTCCAAAATCAGAAATCGAGAACGGCGAAGTCCGGGAATCGAGGAGGCTATCAAAATGTGTTCATTGGTTCCAATTCATTGATTTGAAAAATAATGATTTAACAGTATTCTAATATTTCCATAGTTATGAAGGGGAATGTTCCCCATCTTGCTGAAAGTATATTTCACGTAAATTAGCTAAAGGAATATCTAAAATTGCCGATACGATAGATTAGTCTTACGTATACACGTATTCCAAGATTTACAAATAGCGGTAGAGACTTAAGTTTCCCTAATATATAAAGAATTTATTAGCGGCTCCCAAAATAAAACAAGAGACAGATAGCAGTATACTTTTAATAATTCTTTAGTTTCTTTTATTATCAATCATGGCCTACTAATAAATATGATCTTTTAATAAAAACTTTTAAATATTGCAGTAAATAGTGAAAATAAATATAGAGTGATATGTATTTTTGAGAAGCTTATGCCAAGACAGATCATATGATTTATAAATATACAGGGTGATCCATTTAAAAAAACATAACTTTAGTTCATATTTTCAAAAATATTTTTTTTGTAGAAAAACAGACTACGCCACTGTATTCTACGTAAAAAGTTCTACAATAAACAGTTTTCACCTTCTCGATAGCTTTAACAATAATAGAGATACAGGAGGTGACCCAAATTGCAAAACTTTCAAAAAGACCCGGTAGCTCGGAAACGAAAAGGGCTATGAAAATTTTGTTTACGGCATCTTCCGTTTGACAAAAAAGTGAGACAGGTTTGTGCAAACCGCACCCTTTATCTTGCCAGACGCGAATAAAGATTTTAAATGAGCGCGATAAGAAAGTCTTATGAGTATCTATAAGCGCGAGAAAGATAGTTTATTGAGACCCGGTCGGCAGCCGATGCGGCTGACGTAACAGCATTTTGGAGTCGTAAAAACTTAAAAAAAACTAACTAATATTGAATAAATAAAAAGAAACTTGTAGTCTGTCTTCATCAAAAACAATAACTTTGTCAGTATAGTAAGCATACATCAGCATAGTAACTTTTTTACAAACTACACAACTTAAATGTTTTTTATCCATTGCGATTTAGTAGTTAGTAGCGAAATTCGTAGTTACTAAAATATTTATTTACAGTAATTATTCTAAACTATTTACACTATGCACGTCAATATTTATATTATAAATACATATTTGTACATGGTAACTTAATTCCAACAAAATAATCTCTGAATTAAAAGCCTGCAAATAATTGAAATGAAACCGAAAAAAAATAGTTTTTATGAAAATTTGAAGTACATACTCCAAAATATTGTTACGTCAGCCGCATCAGCTGCCGACGGGTCTCAATAAACTATCTTTCTCGCGCTTATAGATACTCATAAGACATTTTTGTCGCGCTCATTTAAAATCTTTATTCGCGTCTGGCAAGTATTAAATCCCATTGAATTCGTCTGGCAATTAACACATATTTTTTAATATCATCTAATAAACACGCTGTAAAAATTTTAGAATGCCTAAAGTATGTTTTCCAGGTATAATATTTAAACATATTTGGAATGGTCTGGTTACCCTTTAAACCCGAAAAAAAAGTCTGGCACACTTATTTCTAGGTTAAATAGATGCTAAAATTTAAGAATAAACAAATTTCAAGTTGCCTAAAGAATGTTTTTTGGATTTATTTTTTTGCAAATGTTATGGGTTGCGCAGTAGCGAAATACCCCCAACCCCCCAGCCAGACTTAGGATTCTCGGTTCACCAGTTAATAAACTATACATTTTTAGTTATTCTAGCTTGCCTAAAATATGTTCTCTAAATATGTCTTCAGCTCTTAGACTAATAGTTTTAATCACCGGTTTTGCTAGTGGGATCAAACTTGGGGCTATTTTGGCTATAACGAAATTTTTTAAAGGTACATAATATACTTTACGCGATAACATTTTTATTAATATTTGAAACTGTCACAACCACAACACGACGCCTAGTTCGAATTCTTTTCACTTAATTTTTACTACTCGAAACAGCGTAACATCACACAAACCTCGTACCTGAGTGTTTTATACGATCAATAACTGCACTAGCAAAAAACTAAAATTCTTAATTATTATGACAAAACCACGATTTCAATATTATTTTAATGCGACTTGACGGCGACTACTGATAATTTCAGATTTTTGCCGTTGAAGCGCTGCCGTCGGAATTTATTGAAATCAACTGAAATGCATCAAGCCTATATGTTATGTTGCTACATAGCTATAGCATAGAATGTCCCGAATTTGAAAGCGTCCTAATCTCAAACACGAATTTCCACAGAAATGCGTCCAGGCCATGGGAGCCAACTGGCACGAAGACCATTTCATTTGCGGCGGTTGCAAGGCCAAGCTGATCGGCACGCAGTTCATGGACGTGAAAGGGGCCCCCTTCTGTCAAAAGTGCTACCTGTCAAAGCACGCGGACAGGTGCAAGGGCTGCTCCAAACCCATCGCCGACAAGGCTGTCATTGCTCTTGACGCGAAATGGCATCAGATGTGCTTTAGGTGTTCGGTAAGATCATTGTGATGCATTTTTTGATCAATCCCATAAATGGTTGAAGTAATTTTGAGGAACTGTACTTACAGGCCTTAAGAGTCAGTGCCTGATATGTAATATAAATAGATAAATCTTAGTAAATAAAACGAAGATAGCCAAGATAAACAAACCAGACGTAAACAGAAAAATTTTAAAAAAGTGTGTATGCCTCTGTTTTGATTTTTAAATGGCACCCTCGATATTTTTTTTACTTTATTCGATAGAAAATAACATTTTAAATTGAATGACATATTATATGTCAACTTTTGACATTCTCGCTTCTAGAATCTAGAGTGCCATGGCTATGTTAAAAACACTAATTCTTAATCAAGGAGCCTTGGAAAAATATATTTGATCGTCTAATGTTTTTAGTGTCTTGTCCTGGCCAGTTAGAAAATGCTCAAATCGTATTTTTAATCATATTTAATTTTTTTCAAATGGCACGAGGGTGGCTCATTAGCATATTTGGAAAAAGCATTTTTTTACGAATAATTTGATACCACCCACTTGGCATTTCGAGTCAAATTTTCGTTACGAACCGCAAGTTATAATTTCAAATAAACCATATACGAAAATGTCAAAAGTTGACAAACGATATGCCATTCTATTCAGAGTGTTATTTTCTATCCAATAAAGTAAAAAAATACCGAGGGTGCCATTTAAAAATCAAAAGTTGTAGTCATTTCCGGTGAAACAGGAAGTGGCCGAAAACAATTGAATACATCAATCGATACTAATTTATGTCATATACTAACATACCAAATCTCGTTTTTTTTAACTGAAAAAATAAAACAGTTATAGAGGTGAACCGCTTTTGAGACGCACCCGGTATTGTCTATGGTGAAATAAATCAAATAATAAAAACGTTTTTTTATATATTATTAACGGTTATGATTTACTAACATACCAAATCTCGTTTTTTTTAACTGAAAAAATAAAAAAGTTATAGAGGTGAACCGCTTTTGAGACGCACCCGGTATTGTCTATGGTCAAATAAATCAAATAATAAAAACGTTTTTTTATATATTATTAACGGTTATGATCAGGCACTGATCCTGTGCTTTTTTTTCATGGATTATATCAACATCTTACATAAAATTACTTCAACCTTCAACTTGCCACTTGCCATAGCTTGTTCACCACCTCCCAGTGATATTCTAAACACAAACCCTCTATCTAGATAACAATGACTTTTCTTAAAATACCTATTTTATTTGAATAATCCCTGTTTTTTTTAATGTACCCTCCAACGATTTCTGTTATGCCCACTCTTTGTTGTAATTTTGTGTTTTTAACCCTTACCTTTTTACTATAATATAGTCTATAAAATGAATAACTTTGAATTTTGACCGTTATTTTTTACCAACATGGCAAATTTAAAATACCTCTGTCAATAAAGTTACTGATATTCTTTAAATTGAGTGCCTGAACTAGCCTGAACGAATCAGATAGGTAACTCTTTTTACTTTCGTGAAATAGAAAAGGAAAATAATAAAACAAGTGACAATTCTTCCTCTTCTTGCAAAAATCAACACGAAATGTCATAATTGACAAAAGTAAAATGTCATAAGCTTTTTTCTAAATATTAGACCAATGCCGTCTCTATTAGAACAGCCACGGAGCGAGATTTATAACGTCACGCTAGTTAGATAATACGGATTAATAAATATGTTGGAGAATACATGGAAACATAATTATTCCTCGTATTTTTGGTTTGTATTTTAAAGATGATATAGTTTACATGAAATATACATAATATACAGTTCATAAATACAATATAATATATACCTATTTATTGTAATAAATACTTTGGCTAATAAACATGAACCATACAAATGCAGCAAATGTTTTACAATATACAAATAATGAATAGGTGGTACATAAGATAATGGGTAAAATGTAAAATATATTTTAAATTTTGGGGTTCGAAAATCGATCTAATTTAACAAAAAACATTCAATATCTACTAATAGTGATGTATTATTATTTGCATTCACAAAATTTATTTATATATTATAATGTTTACTGCAATTAATAAACTAATATAAACTTGTCAAAAGATTACCACATATTTTTTTAAATTATTATACTTAACACAAAAACTATCTACATTGATTATGGAGTACGATTTCAGTCATATTGTAAAACATTTGCTGCATTTGTATGGTTCATAGTTTATCTGCCAAAGTATTTATTAATATAAATAGGTATATATTTCCCCCAAGGGAGCTTGGTTCCCCCCTTTACGACAAGCAAAACAATTTTCTTTTTACTTTTTATTTTTTTATTTTAAATTTTTCTCTACTTTCGATTTTTCGAAATTAGAAAAAATACACAGCTAAAGGCAAGAAAATATTATTTATTAATATACACTAAAGCTGTAAGAATTTTGTTCATTTCATATATATATATATATATATATATATATATATATATATATATATATATATATATATATATATATATATATATATATATATATATTGTATTTATTAACTGTATATTATGTATATTTCATGTAAACTATATCATTTTTAAAATACAAACCAATAAATCGAGGAATAATTATGTTTTCCATGTATTCTACAACATAGTTATTAATTTGTAGTATCTAACTAGTGTGACGTCATAAATCTCGTTCCTAGGCTGTTCTATTAGAGACGGCATTGCGTCAGCATGGCCGCAAGTTGCTAACCTAATAAAATTAACACTAGAAAAGCCCGCGGGAACTGTCAAATTCAAAGTTATTCGTTTTACAGACTATAACAACTATTTTGTGTTATTTTTTACGTATTATTATCAGTTTGTTTGACATATTCTAGCTGTCAGACATATTTACTAGAACTGTTTGAACTGAAATAAACTCTACACAGAATTTTTTTATACAGGATGTCCCAGGCTGAGCGTGCATTAGAAGTTTCTAGAGAACCACAATATCTAGATCGGAGATTTTTTGCACATCATTGTTTCACAACGAGATCTATCGACTAAAAATATTTTCAATATGGCGGCACTTCCGGAAATAGCGGAAGTTGACAGCAACTTTCTTATTTTAAATGGGTGCCCCCATTTTTTATTACGTACTTTAATTCTCTGTAAAATTTTATGAATTTTGATGTTAAACGCTCTATACCTAACACTAACCGTTTTTGAAAAAAAAAAATATTTAAAATTTTTGGACGAAAAAAACTGCCTGTCAAAAATATGTGTATAGCCTAAAAGTCAAATTTAGTGATTACCACAGTCACTGTGACATAAAAAGAAGACATGGCTAGCTATTTCAGAAATCAAATTTTGTTCAAATGTCATATAATAATGGCGGCAGCTGTCATGGAATTAAGCGTTTACAAAATTATCATAGATCATTTTTTTCAAATGGAAGTCCTATATTAGTTCTTTAGAAACGCCTAATTCACGCTCAGCCTGGGACACCCTGTATACCTAATATACTTTTTTCTTTGTAACGGTATAAAATAAACCACAAAAAGACATTCTTCACCATGGATGAGAAATCCGCGTCAACATACTCAACAGAATCATTCCCATTGGCAACGGCATTTTTGAGGCCAAACATTTCGAATTTTTCGATGTTTTTTTCTTTTTTGCAGAAATGCGAGAAGCCAATCACCAAAGAGCAATCCTTTCAAGTGGACGGTGGAAAGCCTCAATGCGTCAAATGCTAATTTGACATTTAATTGACACATACGTGCATACACACATAAGAGCTTTTTTATTTTTGATATAACCAAACCAAACTTATTTATTATTAATTTGACTCGAATTTCTTATATAGAGAATTTATATATACGGTAGGTTTTTTGATAGCTTTAAATTTCCGGTACGAAAAATCAATTGTCCCTCACCGTATAATCGAATAAAAACGACGTCACAGTAGGCAAAGAACAACGTTTCAATTTTAGCTTTACTATGTCTTGCTTACCTTTAAATGGTTCTCGATTATATTGGCACTGCAGTCATGCGTTATTTCGACGCTTACTCTGACGGTGTTTTTATTTTTTTTCCGTCACGCGGTTCAATTAAATGAAAAAGAAAGAAAAATAATTAGTCAACGCAAAAAACTGCCGGAAAATTTCGAAGCTACAAAAATCAGCTTCCTACACCAGGCTACATAATATAATATTATAAACGCTTATTATATTTATCTCTACGGTATTATAGAAATATATTATAATTATTATATTATATTTGTGAATAAAGGGCTTACTGTAGCTATATACAATAAACGAATTTTAGAAAAAAAAACTTTTCTTTCTTCATATTCCTCCAATTTTTTTAGTATCAAATTTTTGTTTCTTTGTAACTTCACAGAAAGTTTTTTTACGCCTGTATATAGTCGCTTCTTTTTTTTGAGTGTTTTTTTACGATTTTCTGTAAATTTATTTTGATCAAAAAAAAGTATGTGTTTTTGTATGTTATAAACACCCTGTATATTAAGTTTACAGGGAGAAATATATATGTTGTGATGTCTGTTGATAGAAATAGAATAGTTATATAGATGGTGATTAAAAAATATATATTAGAATTTTTTTTGTAAATAATTGAATGATTTTACAACATCATTTTTCAAAAATAGTCTGACTTCATTAATTAATTAGAAAAAATAACGAAAAACAATTATTAGAATGATTTATATTTTGAATTTAATATTTTTTATACATTTTATATACAGTGTGTTTCCTAAAGTTACAATCTGCCTTATTTCTACAAATTATACCTTTTTTATGTGTCCAATTACTTTGATTTTTTTTTTGGTAAAACTATTAGAAGGTTATTTAGGAAACACCCTGTATATAACAAAAAACGAATATTACAAGTATTGAATTTCGCATGTGCCTCGCTATGATTTTTTGCATTTTGCTGCTAACAATAATTATTTCAGAAAATTTAACTGCCTGCTGAGCTTTTATTCGTGCAAAAAAGCTGCTGGTTGCCTAAAATATGATTGTGTCTTGTTTTTTGACACATATGGTATGTATTACTACTAATTTCCTTGTCAATCAACCAAAACTAATACATGTTTTTCCCGTTTTTTTATATTTTACAGAAATGCGAGAAACCAATCATGAAGGACCAATCCTACAAGATAGACGCCAAGACTGGCAAACCCCATTGCGTCAAATGTTAAGGAAAAATCAAGTGACAAAAACTCCTCAAACATCAAGTTTATTTTCGGTGATATTTTCAAAAAAAAATCCGGCATTTTTTATTTCTAAAATTTGTCATTGTAAATGCCCTTATAACATTGTATATTTTTTAATAAAACTCATAAAATTGTAACTAATAATAATAAATGTGTTATTAATATTGTATTATTATTTTGTATAGTCCTTCTTTTAAAAGAAAAAATAATTTATGATAATTTTGTAATCGCTCAAATATTATACGACATTCAAACAATTTAATTTTTGAAATAGATAGCCATATGTCTTCTCTTTACATCGCATCACAATGTCTATGGTAATCACTAAATTTGACGTTTAGGCTATACAATTTTTTTTGACAGGGAATTTTTTTCGTCCAAAAAGTTTAAATATTTTTTTTTCTCCAAAACGGTTCACGTTAGGTATAGGGTGTTTGATATCAAAATTCGTAAAATTTTACAGGGAATTTAAGTATGTAATAAAAAATGGGGGTACCAATTTAAAATAAGAAAGTTGCTGTCAACTTCCGCTATTTCCAGAAGTGCTGCCACATTGAAAATATTTTTAATCGTCAGATCTCGTTGTGAAACGATGATGTGCTAAAAATCTCCGATCTAGATATTGTAGTTCTCTAGAATCGTCTAGTACCGTAACCACCATAATAACAAGGCCGCAGAGCTTATTCGTGACGTCATCAACTGGAGGCCTAAACTTTGATTGCATTAGATACACTTTATATAGTCTGTGAAACGAATAACTTTGAATTTGACAGTTCCCGCGGGCTTTCCTAATGTTAATTTTATTAAGTTAGCAACTTGCGGCCATGCTGATGCAAAGCCGTCTCTAATAGAACAACCACGGAGCGAATTTTATGACGTCACGCTAGTTAGATACTACGGATTAATAAATATGTTGTAGAATACATGGAAAACATAATTATTCCTCGTATATGTAATTTTATGGATTATATTCGACACTATTTTTTTCATATGACACAACACTGATGAAGGCTATAAACGTTAGCTATAACGTTTTTTTTAAACCAAAAGAAATAATGAAAACTTAATCAGCGTTTTTCCCGAACCTATATCCCAAGAAAATAATTTTACATATAAAATGACAGCGATCTTTATTTCATAGCCATCGCTGACGCCTTTTTTTCTAGGATATTGTATTATTTGCAAATATAATTTTTCAAATATTGATGCTTTCAAAATATACATATAAATTTTGTGAATGCAAATAATAATATATCACTATTAGTAGATATTGAATGTTTTTTGTTAAATTAGATCGATTTTCAAACCCCAAAATTTAAAATATATTTTATATTTTACACATTATCTTATGTACCTATTAATTATTTGTATATTGTAAAACATTTGCTGCATTTGTATGGTTCATAGTTTTATTTGCCAAAGTATTTATTACTATAAATAGGTATATACTATATTGTATTTATTAACTGTATATTATGTATATTTCATGTAAACTATATCATTTTTAAAATACAAACCAAAAATACGAGGAATAATTATGTTTTCCATGTATTCTACAACATATTTATTAATCCGTAGTATCTAACTAGCGTGACGTCATAAATCTCGCTCCGAGGCTGTTCTATTAGAGACGGCATTGGTTTGATATTTAGAAATGCCAAAAGCTGATGACATTTGACTTTTGACAATTATGCCGTTTCGTGTTGATTTTTGCAAGAAGTGGCAGAACGGTGACTTGTTTTATAATTTTCCTTTTCTATTTCACGAAAGTAAAAAGAGTTACCTATCTGATTCGTTCAGTCACTCAATTTAAAGAATATCAGTAACTTTATTGACAGAGGTATTTTAAATTTGCCATGTTGGTAAAAAATAACGGTCAAAATTCAAAGTTATTCATTTTATAGACTATACCAACTATACACGCTAAGCCTGGGACTTAATAATTAAAATAGAACACTATAGACTCACCTGAAGCTGATTTTTCTCCTCTTTATCCTTGTTTCCTGCACTATCCGGTTCCCCATCATCATTTTCCACCATGGTCTCGATAGCATCCTCATTTAAGGGCGAGTTGAGACGGGTACTCTTCAAAACTCCCGACTTTTTAGCCCCCAAAAGTTTCAGCCGGGGAAAGGTGAGAATATCAGGCTCTTTTTGTAGAGGAGGCCTGTGCTTGTAGGTGGCAGTTTTGTACTTCGATTTCACGTTAAATCTTGAAAAGAAAAATGTTATTTTACATTACAGAAACACGTCAGTGTTGCCAGACTTGAAGGATTTTACAGTAAAATTTCGTCGCTTGAAGCGCTGAAGGATTTCTATCCAAAAAGAAGACAATATAAAGGTTCCTAGCAGCTTTGAACAATAAAAATTGTTAAAATATACCGGGTGTGCTTCAAAAGTGGCTCACCCCTATAACTTTTTTATTTTTTCAATTAAAAAAACGATATTTGGTATGTTAGTATATGACATAAATTAGGATTGAGTGACGTATTCACTTGTTTTTAGTCACTTCCTGTTTCACCGGAAATTACTACAACTTTTGATTTTTAAATAGCACCCTCGATATTTTTTTACTTTATTCGATAGAAAATGACGTTCTGAATAGAATGACATATCATATGTCAATTTTGACATTTTTGCATATGGTTTATTTGAAATTATACCTTGCAGTTTGTATCGAAAATTTGACTACTCGAAATACCAAGTGTGTGGTATCAAATTATTCGTAAAAAATTGCTTTTTCCAAATATGCTAATGAGCCACCCTCGTTCCAATTGAAAAAATTGAGATATGATTAAAAATACGATTTGAGCATTTTGTAACTGGCCAGGACAAGACACTAAAAACATTATGGTGCGTTTAGACTTGAGCTCGCACGAGCTGAGCGTGCACGCACGGCGTTCGTTCGCGCTCCGTTCAAATTAAAAACTTATTTTTCGACAAATGAAGTGATCCATTTGTGCGCGCACAGCAGAGTTGTGTTGGCGAAAATAATGAACGATCAAGAAATAGTCGAGGCTGCAGTCATTGTTATGCACAGCTTAATTATTAAAAAGGAGAAAAATCGAAAACATCGTCGCTGGGTGGCAAACACGAATTTTTAGAAATCGATATAATTTACTGCAACAACTTAGTGTCTGAGGAGGGCTATGATCAGTTCAGAAACTTTATAAGAATGACCAGACCCGACTTTGAATATTTACAAAATTTAATAACACCAAAGATTACGAACAAAAGATACAAATTTTAGAATAGCAATTTCATTAATATCGACATATTCAATATTAATTTTATTTACAAGATCTTGCCATGCGTTTTTTTTTTGATTTTTTTAAAATACAAAGAATGTTTAACATCCCATAATATAGGCAACTTTTCATATTCTTCAATTAATAATAATGAAGAATCATTGATCCACTTTTTACGGAGCTTATTTTATGTCATTTATTATTTATTCTACTACTGATAGTTGTATAAAGGTAGTAAATCTAGATGGAAATTGTGGCAGAACTTAAATTAACAGTGACACTATCGCGATTTATCGAAAAAGACTCTAAAATAGTTGGTTGTGTAGCGTGCGGTAGATCTCGGCAAAAATTGAGTGAAATAATGGAACAACTTTTCGCTAGTAAGTGACTATATAATATACATACGTGTAGTAAACCGATCATTTATGAAATTCACTTAAATTAACTAAATTATATATTTTTCTTGCATTTTAGCTTTTATTTATTACTTGTCAAAGATTAGATGTCAAAGAATTTAGATACGTTAATTTGACTTACCTGCTTCAGTAGCGTATCGGATGTTTGTGTTAATAAATACTTATTATAACTTATCTATTTTTATTAGAATTATATATTTTTATAATAATTTTAATAACTACCAACATTTATTCACAACGTAAAATAAAACAACAAATTATTGAGTCTACCCCACGTCTACCCTACATCATAGTTTTACATTTTTTAAATAAAATTAGAACGACACTGATAAACCGGAATTTAAGTCGGCCATATTTGAGGCCCATCGGGGTGTACCTAAGATTTTTGATATGCTCCTTCCTTAGTCTTCTTATTCAAAGGAATAAAGTAAAAAAATACCGAGGGTGTCATTTAAAAATCAAAATTTGTAGTCATTTCCGGCGGAACAGGAAGTGACCAAAATGAATTGAATACGTCAATCAATCCTAATTTATGTCTTATACTAACATACCAAATCTCTTTTTTATATCTGAAAAAATTAAAAAAGTTATTGGGGTGAGCCACTTTTGAGACGCACCCGGTATAGTAGGAGTATTTATTGTTATTTTTTATATCTATTTTTTTACATTAACGGTGTTTAATTAATGATGCCTCAGTTTAAAGCAATGTTGCTGTCAAAAACTCAGCAATTCGAAAGATTTTTAACGTTCAACAAAAAAATAATAAATACATTTTTATGTTTCAACACGTCTTATTACACACATGAAAAAAAAGGTAAACGGAAAACATATCTAAAATGGTGCGTTTAGACTTGAGCACGCACGCACTGATTCTCCGCGAATGCTCAAGTGTAAACGGCTGTGCGCGCACGCTCACTCCGAATCTGTCTGTGCGCGAGCAGCCGCGAACCTGAGCCGTCTGGTGTCGGTTTTTGGTCCGTGCTCAAAGGAATTTTATGTATGCGCGAACGCTCAGTTTGCACCGGCAATTTGCTTTGTGTGCGTTCGTGCGTGCGTGTGTTGATTTTTTTTCGTTTTCTTTATTAAAATTATGGAGTGGATCAATGAATCTTCGTTATTATTAGTTGAAGAATATGAAAAGTTGCCTATATTATGGGATATTAAGCATTCTTTGCATTATTAAAAAATAAAAAAAAACGCATGGCAACATCTTGTAAATAAAATTAATATTGAATATGTCGATATTAATGAAATTGCTATTCTAAAATTTGTATCTTTTGTTCGTAATTTTTGGTGTTATTAAATTTTGTAAATATTCAAAGTCGGGCCGGGTTATTCTTGTATAGTTTTGGAACTGATCATTGCCCCCCTCAGACACTAAATTGTTGCAGTAAATTATATCGATTTCTAAAAATTTGGGTTTGCCACCAGCGAAGATGTTTTCGATTATTCTCCTGTTTAATAATTAAGCTGTGCATAACAATGACTGCAGCCTCGACTATTTCTTAGTCGTCCATTATTTTCGCCAACACAACTCTGCTGTGCGCGCACAAATGGTTCACTTCATTCGTCGAAAAATAAGTTTTTAATTTGAACGGAGTCGAGAGCGCGAACGAATGCCGTGCGCGCACGCTCACCTCGTACGTGCTCAAGTCTATACGCACCATAATAAGTCAGCTGCTGTCGAGTTTCTATCACAACATTTTTTATCAGTGTTATTTTTTTAATAAAAAGTTTATTTAAATATATCGGTGTCTAAAAGTTACCAGAAATAAGTTTTTAAAAATGTTCTCCTAATTATAAAATAAGTAAAACACACGAAGATATGATAAAGTCTTAAACTTACTTCTTTTTGGCTAAATTCTCCACAGTTTTCCTAAAATACGCGTCTCTTCTGAACGACGCTGTAGCAGTGTACATCGAATATCTATTGTCTCCACCTGACGGATTTTTTCTGACATTTTTCACGTCCTTCTTTGACCCTGGCTTTTTATTCTGATTGCCCGCGTATTTGTTCAGACTGGCGTTTGACACTTCGGACTTCAAAACGCTGTCAGTCACCGAACAAGCTCTCTTAGTGCCCAAATCGTCCACATTTTGGATCGCCATTTCCGCATTAATTTTCAAGCTCTAGAAAAATTAAAAATTTGTCACTTGGCTATAACGATGACGTTAAAACTTCAAAATATAGCTTTGATTGTTGTTCTGTTAGTTGTAAAAAAGGTCTCTTGGTAAAAATCGCTACGAGTTATGGTTGTCGAGATATTTGAAATCGAAATTATCAATACCTGTCATCATTGACATAAATTAAACATGTTAACTAAATAGTTATTAGACTGAAATCATAAATTTGAAATGTTTTTGTGCCAAAAGTTCAACAGAAACTGTTTTAACTTCATTTTTTCGAAGAAAAATTTATGATTAATTAAAAAAAAATAAAAAGTTCCCAAATTTATAATTTTAGTCAAATAACAATCTATTCAACATGTTTATTTTTGTCAATAATGACATGCACTGACTATTTATTTCCATTTTAAATATTTTGAGAACGGTTGCTCCTAGCGATTTTTAGCAAGAGAATTTTTTTACGTAAAAAATCACGAAAATGTATATTTTTTCACTCAGTAGTTTTATACAGGTACGGACGAAAAGTTATTACTCTTCAAAACAGTTAAAACACATATAGGTGAAGCCATAAAATAATTAACTAGAAAGAAGTGTCAACTCTGTGTTAAATCGTGGAAACACGATACGCCACCGAAAGCCTTCGTTGTCGTCTGGAGAACTAATTTTCCAATTGACAGATTGACATGATGGCTTAATTTTCATTTCCGTTTCCGTTTATTCAATGGCGGGCCCTCTTTCAGTTCAAATGTATTTTGTATTTTTTCTTATTATAAATAAAACCAAAAAATAATTTATTCACATATATTTATTTGAAATATGGAACAACGTGACTAAATAAATATAAAAATATAGAGGATTGTATTGATTCAATATCAATTAGTTAATTATATGCACTTTTAACGTAAATTAGTTAAGGTATAAGCATGACTTACAGTAATTTGTAAATAAACAGACTTCAAGGACAGAAAACGGACACAGGAACATGAAAACGGGAGCCTTACACAAAAACCTGAAAACAGAAAAACATATTTTTTAAACCAAAACTACAGATTAGGTATCCTATAAGCATACAGATAAAAATCTTGTCCCTAATTCGTGGTACGAAAAGTGTTTTTTATGACGATGTGCAAAATATGTCATTTTATGACCATGTGTAAAATAACAATAAACAGCGTAATAGAGAGATATCGCTAAACCGAATAGCGTGCATGGACGTTATTAAGGCCAGGTGTTATTTCCTTTACGTGAGGTGGTATTAACTCTCTTCATTTATAGTTATCGGATCGGAAAGAATTCTGATCGCGTCGCGTCCGCTATTTAAACTTAACTTTGAATTTAAAACTTTGAAATTGTTTTGTTTACTATTTTAAAACTAAAGGGCTAAAGTGCTTATTTCCAGTGCTTTATTGTTCAACGCCTGCCAATGGGTTTAGGGCAATAAGCAACAAATTCTCTTAGAAGGGCTAAGTCGTAATCTGCTGTAAACCTAAGACTCTTTATAGATTCTTTAGTATTGGAAGAGGTGGAATCCATATTTTGGGTCATATTTATTTAATTTAAACTAATCCCAGCTACTTAAATATCAAATTACCTAATAAAACTAAAGCAATAATTCAAAACAATTCAAACATAACCTAAAATAAAAGATCTCGCCGGCCGGCTCCGGTTGTCAAATACCCGCACATGCCCATTTAAGCAATTTTTAAACGTTATCAGAGGTTATTATTTAGAAAGAGCGCTTGGTGTAATTGATCCGCAAATTACGTCTGGCGGTAACGTTATTAGCGGGTGTTGCGTTAAAAATTGACTCGCGCATATCGTAACCATGATAAGGTACGCGTAAATACTGCATGACGCTATTCGGTTTTCCGATATCTCTCTAATAACTGTGCCGGTCAGGCGCTGTGCACAATTTTACAGGCCATAAGTGGGCGTGCTATGTGCACAAACTAGTCACCTAACTAGTGCCCGATTCCGAAAATTGGAACCACGAAAAACAATAAAGAAAAAAACAAAGATTATAATCTGTATAATCTGTGCCAAAACTAACAATGTAAAAATATGAATATAAAATATAAATATACTAAGTCTACACTAAGATGCATTTAGGAAATTTAACAAAACTTGAAAATAAAATAAATATGAAATAAACCTAATCTCCCTTTTACATTTTAAAATAAAGATAAATACCTAAGTATAAAGAACAAATTTATCACCTAATATGTATCTTATAGATTTATTGTATTATAGATAATAGGGAGTTTTCGTTGCTTTAAAAAAATTCAACGGTACGGTTAACGGATACGTAACTATAACCGCTATTTTGACAGATAAAAAAACAGTTTTCGGACTTTCGGTTCATCGGTTCGGAGCCGATATACGATACGATAACCGAAAACTGACAGCTAAGCACAGCCCGTAGCGTAGTGTTTTGATTTTTGGTTTTTGTATTGTTGTTTGATTTGAAAGTGCTTTATATGACTTTATTGGGTATCGCTATATAGGATGGACAATTTAATTTTATTGGACTCTAGTGATGAATCGGATTTGGAAGAGCTATGCTGTTGGAAGGGTTTGAAAACAACATCGAATATCGAGCAGAACTTTATGGGAAGTTCAACTTAGAAATATTATCTGACCAAGAGTGCAAAGCTAATTTCTGCTTTGAAAAAAAAGACATTCCTCGATTAGTTGAAGCACTAAGAATTCCCAACGAGTTTAACACAGATAAAATAAATAATCAAAACATAAACAAAATAGAATGATGTTAGGTTAGATCTGTATTTTTCAATGTTGTGTTTCTACTGCGTTAGTGCGCATGCGTACCGCGATGTTAACGGCTTTGGCTAACGTCCGTAAAATATCGGCAGCTAGCGGTTACGATATACGATAATCGAAATTGAAATGTCAAAGTTGTCAATTAGCGTTAACCGGAATTGCAATTTGTAAGCAACGAAAACTCCCTAATAAACCACACATACTGCAGATAATTAATGTGGGTTATAGTTAAAAATAATCTTACCTTGCAGTAAATTGTTTCCATTTTCAAAAAAATCGCCGATCAAAGAGATTATAACACCATTTTCTTGCATCTAAAAAATGTAAAAACAGTGTTTATTTACTACCTATTTTTCATATACATGGGACATACCTAGTACTGCAGAAACGCCGTTTTCTCCAGGATTCTTCATGTAATATATATTTTATATACTTTATTACCTTATAAATTTCAGCCGAAATATTCAATTGAACTTCCAAAACAAAACTAAACGGAGTGAATTAAAATGGCGTCGAATATTTCTAATTTTTTGTTCTAGAACAAATCTCAAGTTGTCTCTGAAACTGAAATCTGTCAATTCTAAACTGTGAAGTTAGACAATAGTTAGACAAAAACAATGCTGCCCTTGTCTAGGCGGCCATACTTGTCGTGAGGAGAATGACAGGAATGACACTAATGACTGTTTCCAATTTTCCTATTTCACTGTCACCCCCCTGGGTGAAGCCCCCTACAAATAGAAGTATTTAATTGACATCAAAATCAAATTTCGCATGTCAAAAAACTCCCAGACATCAATTTTCATCCAAATATTGGCGAAATTTGAAAAAAATCGAAATAAAAATGAAACTTCTACACCCTTAAAACTAAGCCATTTTAGGACATACATTTATACGAACTTTTTTACTTATTTTTATCTGCAGAATATGCTGCCGAAGAATATCTACAGAATAAGTTTCCGGAATACAGTTCGGACCACCCTGTATATCGTTCAAAAAACGCACAACGATATAATAAATACAGTGTCAGTAAAAAAACAGTTGTGTGACTTACATCAACAAATTCCATTACATAGTCCACATCGCCATCTTTAATCAATGTCCTGTGAACTTCGCACAGTTCAACAATGCTGTCCATCAATATTTTCAGTTGATTGTAGCTGGTTTCACCGCCGGAAGTGGTTAGATGGCTCTGGTAAGCTTGCAAACCGTTGAGGACGATTTGGTAGGAAGTTAGAATTTTTTGCTTGGCCAGCATTTCATTGAGTGCAGGCGGGGACAGTTCTTTTACCTTCAAAATTAGTTACAAAAAATACACTTCCCCAATAAATTAACGCACCACAAAAAAATAACCAAAAGTTTTTGTAAAAAACCACTTATCCGATTTGGACGATTTTTTTTTTTGGATAATAGGTTATTCTTTCCACAATGTTGCTATACTAACTGTATTTTGATAGGAACCCTTTTTATACTAATACCGGGTGTAGCAATTATAACGTGTTTTTTTTTAATAAAATTTGTGACACCCTGTAGATTTGGTCAGTTACAGTATCAAATTAAAATTGAGATCACATTTTAGCCTGAACTTTTTTTTACATTTTGTTTTTTTATTTACTCCATTATCTTTCTTATTACACGAGAAACAACATTTTATAGGATGACATGATTTAATTTTGGTTTTAATTAACATTTTTCCATTTTACTCACTAAAGTAAGTAGCAGGCTATGGAAAAACACGGATTACCAGTAAATGTCAAATAGAGATGCTAGTTTCTGTGCAAACTTGTCAAGGGCGTAGATAAGGGGGGGGTACTGGGGGACAGTACCCCCCTGACGCTTGACGAGATACGAGAATTGAAATAGTCATTGACTATGAAAGGATTTTTTTTAATTAATATCCGACATATAAGAACACTTTGTATGCTTTTAATTATGTTGATTTATCGTTTATAATATGTTCGACCTAATTAAAAAGCACACAAAAAATGTTCTTATTCATAACAGATTGATTGGGGTTAACTCTAATCAATATCCATAAAGATATTGAAAAAATGTTGATGCTGTTATTGATAGGTTTTTCCAGAAAACTTAATTTTTGTTTTGTAGTTTTATTTATAGTTTATAGTTTTTATAGCTTTTTTGATAGTTTAGAGTTTTTTTTTATTTATAGTTTATAGAAAATTAACTAATTAACGTCGTTGTTTCATTTTTGTTTATGTTATTTACAAATCTATATTTTAATTTTTGTGTTATGTTTTTATATCTTTTTTGAAGTAAAAAATCGCCGTCGTTTTAATTCGACAAAAAATTCCGACGGTGATTTTTTTTGCGACTTAATCATAGTACGGCTGCTTATATACGGTTGAAGAATTTTTTCGTCTCTTAAGAAATATATACCATCAAAGACTATAAGTATCAATTATGTGACACACTTATTTTATCTTTATTTGATTATGGCGATGTTGTTTATGGTACATCCATAAACGCTAGATTCTCTAAGAAAATCCAAATACTTCAAAATTCATTGTCTACGGTTTTCTTTTTAACATTCCTTTTAGAGATCATATAACGCCACATCTTAAAAATTTATCTATTTTATCCATATGACTAACAGACGACAATTTCATTTAATGACATTTCATTTATCGAATTTTAACTACAGAGCAGCCTCCCTATTTGTTCTCATTGTTTCACTACGTTGACCATGATCATTCAACTAGACAAGTGCATTATTTTAAAATTCCTCAACACCGAACAGCTAATTTCCTGTAAAAAATCTTTCAGTTTCATGGCGCACATTTGTGGAATAATATTTCTAATAACTTTAAATTTCAATCCTTTACAGATTATAAAAACAAATTAAAAAATCATTTACTAAATTCGTAAATATTATAATTTCTTCGACTGATTTGTGAGATCTTGTTCTTCTGATATGCCCGTCATTGGTTGCTGTTCCGGCATTTTTACACTGTTTCATTATGCTCTCTGCTGTATCTCCGCTCATCCCTGATAAAATTATATTTTCACCTTTTTTTATATAATTTTAATTTTTTTAATTTTGGTTTATTTCTATAATTTAAATTATTTCTATTTTTGTATTTGGGGTCTTTCCTCTTGGCACTTTATGTGCCATTCTATCAGTTTTTTAATCGCGGTGCGATCCCTTTAGACACACATTTATTAATACTAATATTATTCTGTAAAACTTAATGGAGTCTAATAAAGAAATTTGAATTTGAATTTGAATTTGAGTACCACCCCCATAGCATACACCTATCTACGCCCCTGAAACTTGTAGACCATTAGTATCTCTGAGCTGAGTTTGAAGGGTCCGAGCTGTTACGAAACGTTGTCTTAATGTTGAGAGTTTTAAAAAACGTTCCTGAATCGGATTGGTTCTTCGATTCCTGCCTTGTCCCGGCCTGCGACAATTACTCCCAGTATCTCTATACCGTTGTATAACTCGTGAAATGGTTGAGTGAGTTACATTAAATCGTTCACCAATTCTTCGGTAGCTCCAACCTTCCTCAGACAATATTAATGCTTGAGCACATTCTTCGCCAGTAAGATTTCTTGTTTCACGTGCAAGTTGCATATTTTTGATAAAATAAAAGGACGAAAACGACTGACACTAACAACAAGCATCTCTATTTGACATTTACTGGTAATCCGTGTTTTTCCATAGCCTGCTACTTACTTTAGTGAGTAAAATGGAAAAATGTTAATTAAAACCAATGTTAAATCATGTCATCCTATAAAATGTTGTTTCTCGTGTAATAAGGAAGATAATGGAGTAAATAAAAAAACAAAATGTAAAAAAAAGATAAGGCTAAAATGTGATTTCAATTTTAACTTGATATGTAACTGATCAACTCTACAGAGTGTCACAAATTTTATTAAAAAACACGTTATAATTGCTACACCCGGTATTAGTATAAAAAGGGTTCCTATCAAAATACAGTTAGTATAGCAACATTGTGGAAAGAATAACCTATCATTCAAAAAAAAATCGTCCAAATCGGATAAGTGGTTTTGACAAAAACTTAACTTAAACTTTTGGTTATTTTTTTGTGTTGCGTTAATTTATTGGGGGAAGTGTATATTAATTATTCGCTTATGATCGAAAAATCGACGTCAAAGATGGCTGGGGAATGATAATCAATGATAATTTTAGCGAGTTCGAGCCCTAGGAACGTCATTTATTAAAAAATGACATTAAACTTGTCAAAAATTAACACTCTCTCTTGACCTCGCCAAAATTATTATCGATTGTCATTCCCCTGCCGTCTGTGACGTCGATTTATTTTCGATCGTCTTGTATGGTATTGGGTTGCAGCAAAGAGTCCTATGTATTCTATTTCACAAATATACAGGAACTTTAAAAAGATATCACTATTTTTTTCCGGAAATATACAGGGTGCCCTAGAAATAAGTGCAAGTATTTTAAAGGGTGGTAGATCTCCATAAAAGAAACATATTTTCTCTTTGTCGTTTTTCAAATAAGTCCAAAATAACGGAGTTATTTTACTTTGAAAATTTCCAAAAAAAAATTTTGAGAAGCACTGGATCTTTTCTGGATTTTCTTTCTTGTAAATTTAATCTAATACCTACGTTGCTATATTATCAAGAAACTTATGTTTTTTAACTAAAATTTAAAAAAATTCCAAAAAATTTCGAATTTTCAATTTTTAAAAAAAAACTCATAGGCGTGTTTCTGGGGTTGAACTATACTACTAGTGATGTTGGTAGCGAATATTTCCATTCGAATTTTGCAGGAAATTTCAGACATTTCCGAAATATTCGGTCCCAAAATCGCGAATATTCGCAAAAATCCGAATTTTGCAAGAAATTTCTTTCAAAATTCAAGACATTGAGCAAAAATTTAACGAAAGTGTATCAAGTATGCCGATTCTTAAGTCAGAAGAAAAGAATGCTTCTCCGCCTTACAAAATAAAAAACCTATGGCTCTAATCAGAACCAATGCATTTTGCCGCGAATCTCTTGGACCCCTGTTTCCTGGGAGAGCACCTTAACAATGAAGAACACATAGCCGCTATGGAATTTATCAACAATATCAACAACAATCATCCTCAGTTTGTCAATAATACGCCATTTTTACAGATGTAACAAATTATTGCGCCAAATCGGGTTTATGGGCTCTCGACTACGTTTGGATGTCAGTTAAAAATGAAGACTGTCTAAGTTTGTGGCAAGCAATGTGTAAAAATACTCAGTTGAAATATTTAGCTGTTGCTCTGCTGTCTTTACCAACGTAATTTGCAGCCACAGAGAGAAGTTTCAGTACTTACAGTTTTATCCATACTAAAAAAAGGAATCGCTTGACTGCACAAAGAGCCGGTAAAATAATGTTCGTAGCTCATAACAATAAATTATTACTACAAAAAGAAAAAGTGGATAGGGAGCATGATATTCAACAACATGAAATTCCTCCAGAACCACTAGAACTCGTGGAGGTAGAGGTCCATCCTTCAGAATCAGAACCAGATGATACATCAAATATATCTGATTTGGAAATAGAAACTGACAAAGACAGTACTACTACTACTATAATACCCTATGAAGATGGGTCCAGCTTAGCGCCTGATATTCCGGAATAGAATAATTCAGTTATTTGTGTTTTACGTTTTTTAAATTTATATTTCGTGCTTTTTTTTTTTAAACTCATAGTCATAGTTCGTGGTTTATGCACAAAAGACAAATGTTACCAAATGACTTTTGTTATGGGTTATGTTTATGACTTTTATGGGTTATGTATTGTTTATTAAAAATATAACAACTAATATTATGTTTATTGTTTTTTTTCCACTTACATGTTGGTATCAAATGTCTATCTAATTTATTCCTTTGTTGTATCGACAAAAAATATGTAAAATTGTAAAATTTCCTAATATTTCATAAATTTCCGAAAGTTTCAGAAATTTCCTGCAACAAAAAATTTCTGAAATATTAACATCACTATATACTACCAGTTAAAATACTTGCACTTATTTCTGAGACACCCTGTATAGAAAAAACTTACCTGTCTCGATAGCGGATATAGATAATTTCTAGAAAATCTGTTGGAAAATTCCTTAATTCTTACGTTTCTCCTTTGTTCGTCCTCTTCCCCGTCAGGTGGAGTTATACCTTTAGCCAGTGTAGTTCTAAAAAATAGTAAAAATCAACTTAAAAATAGTGTTTTACTTCACTATTTTTTTAATAGCATTACCTAATTTCAGTCAAAAACTGTATATTCTTCTCCAACACCAGTTTACATTTCTTCTCAAACTCCAACAACGTCAAACTTTTGCTATAGAAATTCTGAATCTTTGGTCCGGGCTTTCTCGAATCTTTGTTATTTTTCTCTTTGTTGTTGTTCCCAGGTTTGTTGTAGTCTTCAAAGTCCAGCGATTCACCGCTGCTCGTGTCGTAGTATCCGCCTACCGGCAGAGTTCTGAATCTCTCGTTGATGATTTCCTTGGATACGTCAAAATTATTCCTGACAGACACCGGTGACGTTTGAAGTGGGCTCTTGTCAAGGATGCACAAACTTTCGTGCAACTTTTGGCGAATGCTCTGGGCCTTTTGCTATAAAATAACAGAAAACTTTAAAAGTATAAACAGTGTGTCTCTTCTTAAGAGCCTATTACCACATATTATAAACTTAGTTTTTTCTTTATTGTTTTTGGTGGTTCCAATTTTCGGAATCGGGCACTAGTTAGGTGACTAGTTTGCGCACATAGCACGCCCACTTATGGCCTCTAAAATTGTGCACAGCGCCTGACCGGCACAGTTGTTAGAGAGATATCGGAAAACCGAATAGCGTCATGCAGTATTTACGCGTACCTTATCATGGTTACGATATGCGCGAGTCAATTTTTAACGCAACACCCGCTAATAACGTTACCGCCTGACGTAATTTGCGGATCAATTACACCAAGCGCTATTTCTAAATATCGTTTAAAAATTGCTTAAATGGGCATCATAGACAAACAGAAAAATTAAAAGACTGCCAGAAGACATACGACGCGCAGGCAAATGTTCCTGTAGCGCATCGACGCAAGTGCCGAAATACGTCCATCTAGCTATCTGTGTTTCGACACTAGTCCGTTAGTCTCAGCATATTCAGAAAGAACACGCTAACCTCCAGCGTTGCCATTTCGTGGGGAATTCCCCAAATTTTGGGGAATCCGGAGCCGATTGGGAATTTTGTGGGGATTAGCAATAGGCGGCGAAAATAAGGGTTTCAACATTTTATTGCTGATTGAAAACGGCGTAAAATTTTTAGCTTTAAAAACGAAGCGGGACGATATATCTTTCCCAACTTAAAAATTATAATCTGCTTCCCTTTGCAAATGCTTCAGTTGAAAGAAAATTTAGTGACCTCAAATTATTTAATGACTACTAGGGAAGGGATTAAAAAACAAGGAGGTAATTTACAGTTTAATCCCTCTAACATATATAATAAATATTGTATTATTATTAAAATTATTTTTTTTTTGTTAAAATAATCATATGGGGAATTTTTGGTGAATCGGGACATTTTTCTCCCCAAATTGGCGAATTTAATTTAGATTTTGGGTAGTTTAGAAAATTGACATTGGCACCGCGAACATTCTTTGTTTGTTGTTTGTTCAAAACCGGCACACGGCGTAGTACAAGGCTTGATCATCTTTTAAGAAATTTTTGATTGTTAATTTTATTTTTGTGTAAACTAAACAGTTGTTTTTATTAAAAAATAGCAGACAAAGGTAAGAAAGGTAATGTCCATGCAGAAGTTTTTATTTCACAGGCTATTCTTTCTAGAAAATTATACCATCCAGCCCTCCTATTTAATTATTAAATGAAAGTGTGAAAGAGATATCAAGGGCTATTCTGTTAAAATATCATCCGGCCAGTCTAGGCCCTGTTGTGAACCAGAAGGTCTGCTAAGTTGGATGTTGGATATAGAATGGCAGGAATATCATGGCCGAGAACAAGGCATAATTGTATGTCCCTTGATGTAGAAGGGTAGGTTTGTTTCTAATAGGCAGTAAAACCAAAAATTTTACTGTGAATCGTCATATTCTAGGCCTGTAAAGATAAATAATTCCTGGAGCTATCTCGAGGTATAGTACTCAAGTTGGAGCGAATCAATTGATAGCAAGATGAAAAGAAATAATAGCCATCATAAAACTGTAAATATGTATATAACTAGTACAATGTAGCTAGATATTTAGTAGAATAGGGGTATTATAAATTAATACAAAATACAATAATTGGTCATTCTTTCCATTCCCATTCAATTCTTCCCATTTAATCGTTTTCCCATAAACAAAAAGGAAAATTAAATTAAGAGTGCCCTTTAACAAAATAGTGAAATAAATGGAGATAGTCAAATTTTATATTAGCGTGACTTTGAATAAAAAGGTGTAAAAGGATTATAAATGCTGTATTTATATCCTTTAATATCATGATAATATAAAATTTGAGTAGGTATCTCCATTTATTTCACTGTTTTTGGTTAAGGGCACTCTTAGTTTTAATTGCCTTAAAAATAATAAGTAAAATATAATAATTTAAATCTCCCGCTTTTTCATAGTTCGTTCCTGTAGCCAACTAGAGGGCGCCAAAAGCGCAATCTCCCAACATTTTACCACGCGATTTACCACTCTCTAAACTATTAACTTTCTCTATGATGGGCATGTGCGGGTATTTGACAACACTTGTGTCTAGCCCTAGCAGGCAACTGTTAAGCCCGACCAATCACGTTAGAGTTTTTGACAAACACAAATGAATTAACACACTCCAAATAACCACGCTAACCAACCTGATTGGTCAAGCTTAATAGTTGACGGCTAGGACTAGACACTTCTTTTGACAACCAGGCCGGCCGGCGAGATCTTTTATTTTAGGTTATGTTTGAATTGTTTTGAATTATTACTTTAGTTTTATTAGGCAATTTGATATTTTAGTAGCTGGGATTAGTTTTAATTAAATTAATATGGCCCTAAATATGGAGTCCACCTCTTCCAATATTAAAGAACCTATAAAGAGGCTTAGGTTTACAGCAGATGACGACTTAGCCCTTCTAAGAGAATTTGTTGCTTGTTGCCCTAAACCCACTGGCCGACGTTGAACAATAAAGCACTGGAAATAAGAACTTTAGCCCTTTAGTTTTAAAATACCTAGTAAACAAAACAATTTCAAAGTTTTAAATTCAAAGTTAGGTTAAGTTTGAATAGCGGACGCGACGCGAACAGAATTCTTTCCGATCCGATAACTATAAATGAAGAGAGTTAATACCACCTCACGTAAAGGAAATAACACCTGGCCTTATTAACGTCCATGCACGCTATTCGGTTTAGCGATATCTCTCTATTAAGCTGTTTATTGTTATTTTACGCAAATTTATTTTTGCGCACAGGAAATTTTACTCGTTTGCACATCGTCATAAAAAACAATTTTCGTACCACGAATTAGGGATAAGATTTTTATCTGTATACATATAGTATACGTAATCTGAGGTAACTCAAACAATATTTTCCTTCGGTCGATGCGGCGCGTGCGGCTCTGGTCAGTGTGCGCGTACCTTTATCCTCTCTCGTGCAAATAATTAAATATAGTATTAAATATTTATTTAACGGTTATTTTGGACTTATTTGAAAAATGGAAAAGAGAATATAGTAGCCTTGAAAATATTTTCACATATTTAAAACTCATCCTGTATAAATAAAATCTGTCCAACCAGTAAAGCAAGAACAAATAAAAATGACAGACAGCAACTGCGAATCTCATTTATATCCTTTCTCATTTGAGAGACTTTACAAAAACAATTGTAAATATTCAGGGTTGTGTAAAATATAGAGATTATTAAATACCTTTCTTTCCTGATAAACTGACGGTTTGTTGGTGTCAACCCTCGAAGCACTTGAAGAACCGGTTGGTACTAATCGTGGGGTAATTATTACTGATAGAGTACTCTCCGAATCGGACGATAATCTTTTGGGATGAGCCTTGAACGTCCTCCGTTCATTTCTCATTTTGTTGGCCTTTTCCTCCAACCTAGCGTGCTGCTGTTCCAATCGCCTGATTATTGACATGTCTCTTCTCAGACCTGACTAAAATGTACCAAAAAAAAGAGGTAAAAAAATTTATAAACAAGAAAGAAATAGTGAGGGAAATGGATAAAAAAGAAGAAAGAGATTAAACGGCTCAGTCCTCAACAACTCGTAACCGTATACACCAGTATACACTCACACACTCACACAACCACACCTACACTAGTGTACACTCATGTAACTGCATTCAGGCTTCATCAGTACGGTAAGGAATCAGGAAGCGATGAAACCGGTCCCAAAACACAAAAAGCCAGGAAGCAAACGATGCAACTAGGCACCGTTTGCAACCCAGGAGATGGTGTAGGTATACGTATACATTTTTCATCCTAATTTTCATTATTGTGATTTCTTCTGTCCAAAAATAAAAAAAATAGTCAATAGATTATGTCAAATAAAAATTATCAGGAAAAAAATTGTACACTCGCTAGTATAAAAGGTCCACAATAAAGTATAACTACACTAAAAGCTCTTACTTACATCGTTGATGACAAAATCTCCACTCATTTTCCTCTAAATCAATTTCTTTCAACTCTTTCAACAAAAGTCACAACCTAACTCAACAGCAAAAAACCTCAAAAAAAATTGATACAACGACAGCATGACTTTTCTTATTAGTATCCCTGACAACTGTTTGCAGTTGTTTGTTTGTAGTCCAAGGGGTTGCTATGGTGATGAGACAGTGGGTTGCAGAGAGCAGTTAAAGGGACAAAAAAAAAATAGTATTTTAGTAATTAATTGATTTATTTGTTTTATAGCTTATTTTACTTATTACATATTGGCAAAAACTAGTCCATTATGAAGATTATTCTAAGCTTTATTAAGGGTTATTTATTTATTTATTGATGTACATCTTCCAACGCCATAAGTGGTAATAACAAGAAAGAGGGTGCTATTAATGCACAAACTAAATAATCACAGAATTTAATAAAAACTAACATAGAATTTAAAATACTTAAGTGCTGATATAAAGAAGTTAGAATATCAAGGTGAGATTTTTTTCTTGTTGAAGAAGTTATTTAAAAGTAATAAAACCATTGTTTATACTCGTAGAGCATAGAGTGAATCATAATGATAACAGTTCGATTGGATACGTTCAATAAAAAGAGGGCTTCTGTACAATCAAACAAAAGGCCAAGTAGCAAGCAACAAGTAGAAAAACATGAAACATGCCACTTGTGTCTAGCCCTAGCAGGCAACTATTAAGCCCGACCAATTACGTTAGGGTTTTTGACAAACACAAATGTTGGTCAAGCTTAAAAGTTGACTGCTAGGGCTAGACACTTCTAAACATGCCCATTAAATACTGGAATTATGTCCCTTTATTTAGTATTTTAGTCCAAAGAATTTGTTTATTTCCATAGTAACGTCAAGTTGATGGTTCAAAAACGGGAAATGATTGAAAAATGTAGGAACTATTCGATTTTCCATCAATCAGACTGAAACAGACTGCATTTTTTTTCTAATCATTACAAAATGTGGTTAACAAAGAGCTTGACAATATTCTATGTCGCGTCACAGTAGTTTTTTAAGGTTTTCTACGGATTTTAAACTGAAAAATGACCAGTAATTCGTTGGTAAGTTAGATTAACTCAAGGTATTTAACAAAAATTATCTGTAGGTAATATTTTTTCAGGTTTAAATTGATTTAAATAAATGATGAGACAAATTAAATATGCCAGGAAGCATTCGCTAGTTGGTGAACATAGAAAAGTGCCTTTGAATACGATAATTCTACCTCCGATAACACCGCCATTACTCGATAATGAGCCGCATCTTTTGCGTACTATCCTGGTAAGTACTCTCTATTTTTTGTACAGAGTGAGTCAACAACAAAGCAAATTTAAAAAAAAATCTTATTTGTTTCAAAAAACAAAATAAAATATACGTGTTTAAGCGTTTTTTCGGAAACTTGACCGTTTTTTAAATAAAAATTATTGTAATATTTGAGGGGTGGTTTCACCCTCTTGGAACTGGAATTTCGAAAAATCCCTTCTTACCGAACCTCTACACCCTAGAGTCAACCTGTATGCCAAAATTGAGCTTCTTACGTTGAGTGGTTTGAGCAGGATCGTGATTAATCAGTATGTCACTTAAGGATTTTATATATTGGTATAGATTGAGTAAAAATGATTTTTAAATGGTGTAGTTTAAAATTTGAGAAAAAATATTTTTTTGAAAATAGATTTGTGTGTGGCTCTATCCTTTTTTAATCTAGAGATTGACCTCGACAAAATTATCGTTGATTGTCATTCCCCAGCCGTCTTGACTCCGTTTTTTTTTTCATTATACGGTACAACTTTAGTGTAAAAATAAATTTTAGTCAACCTGTATATTGACAAAAATATTTTGTGAAAAAAAATATTGATACAAATCTTGAACATGAAACTTAAAAAAAAATATATGGGAACATGCGTTTCTAGTTATTTCGTGCATAACAGTCTAAGAACATAAGAACTGGTGCTGTTAGGGATGTTTCAGAAGATCGATATCTTAACGATATCTAGAGATTGATTTTACTGCTATTTTGTCCTAAATTCTACATTATAACACAGATACTATACCGGGTGTTGCATCGTCGAGCGGGACATAGGAAATCCCATGTAAATTTTAATAGGGTCAATTCTTGGCTTCTCTAATTATTTTGGAGAATAATTCTATTTAAGTTTATTGAAGAGCACTAAAACCCACATTCAAAAGAATAACTTTATATATTTTTGATTAGCCCGTTAATATTTCTCCTTTCTTATGGCCCTGTATTTACTTATGAGCACCAGTCAAGGTAAAAGATAACTGTCAAATGAAGTTGTCATTTCAGAAATTTATCTATTTAGTGCTTTATTATTATTATTAAAAACTCATACTTACATCGAAAATATGAGCCATAAATTACACTACCGAAGAAAAAGTATTGATGATTAAATGGTATTATCAAGGAAATAGTTATCAAAAGGTGTCGGACATGTTTGCTGCTCTGTATCCGAATAGACCGATACCTGGAAAATCTACAATCGCAAGGAGTATCCAGAGCTTTGAGGCAAAAAATGTACCCTAATAAATAACTGCAGATGTGAAGCAAGGCAGGAACAAAGAGAAGATGCAAGAAATGATACCGACTTGGAAGTTTTATTGTGCGTGGAAGAGAACGATGGAAAGATCAGCACAAGGAAACTTGAGGATGAAATAGGAATAGATCACACTACAGCGTTTCGAATTTTGAAACGACATAAATACTATTCCTTCAAATATGAAAAGCACCAAGAGCTACGAGATGGGGACGAAATACGGCGGCAGGCGTTTTGTTTTGATATGATGGAAAGAGCAAACACGGATAGGGAATTTTTAAAAAACATATGTTTCACTGACGAATGCACGTTTACTTTAAATAATGAACCCAATGTTCAAAATTATCGATATTGGAACAAATAAAACCAACACAGGTTTGTCGAAACAAGGACGCAATATCCACAGAAAGTAAATATTTGGGCAGGGATATTCGGACACAATATTATCGAGCCATTATTTCTTACGCGAAATTTAAATGAATATTATTTGGAACTACTCGAAAATCATATTTTACCTGCTTTACATGATGCCGCTAGGGAAAATCAGGAAGTTTGGTACCAAATGGATGGCTGCCCATTCATCATTCACATTCCTTGGCTGTTCGGGAATATTTAGACAATAGTTTTAACGGAAACGTTATTGGCCTAAATCATCTATACAAGGATAAAAAATACCCAAATCTAGACGAGTTAAAAATGCTATTTCTGCCGAATGCAATAGAATTTCAGTTTACGAACTAGTGAATGTAAGAAGAGAATTTTATGATCGCCTGGGTTATTGTCTAGCAGTCGATGGAGAAATATTTGAACATCTTCTTAAATCCTAAAGTTGTAACAATTTAATAGTACCTAAATTAATAAGTTATTGAATATTGTAATAATACTATAATTAACCTTGTAATTGATTACTTTATTTTACTTTAATTTATATTAATTTGTATTTATAAATACATCTTTAAGATTTCCGATGTAGGAATGAGTTTTCAATAATAATAAAGCACTAAATAGGTAAATTTCTGAAATGACAACTTCATTTGACAGTTATCTTTTACCTTGACTGGTGCTCATAAGTAAATACAGTGCCATAAGAAAGGAGAATTATTTAAAAAGAATTCGGCGATAACTCGTAAACGAGCTAATCAAAAATATCTAGTTACTATAGAAGTTATTCTTTTGAAAGTGGGTTTTAGTGCTCTTCAATAAACCTAAATAGAATTATTCTCTAAAATAATTAGGGAAGCCAATAATTGACCCCATTAAAAGTTACCTGGGATTTCCTATATGTCCCGTCCGACGATGCAACACCCGGTATGTTATCTGGGATTATAGTGTTACTTGTTGGTTAAAAATGAAGGATTGTTAAGTTATTTATGGTACTTTTTTATGTCAAATTTGGCAAACATATCGATATTCAGGGTGGTCCGAACGGTATTCCGGAAACTTCGGCAGCATATCCTGCAGATAAAAATGAGTAAAAAAGTTCGTATAAATGTATGTCTTAAAATGATTAGTTTCGGAGATACAGGGTGTAGAAGTTTTATTTTTATTTCGATTTTTTCCAAATAATTTATGAAGTAACGTCAATAATGGGATGAAAATTGGTGTTTGGTAGTTTTTTGACATGAGAAATTTGATTTTGATGTCAAAATGACTCCTACTTGTAGAGGGCGCCACCTACACATTTATTAACTTGTTTGAAGAGTAATAACTTTTCGTCTGTACCTGTATAAAACTAATGAGTAAAAAAATATACATTTATGATGTTTTTTACGTAAAAATGATCTCTTGGTAAAAATCGCTACGGGTAATGGTTCTCAAGATATTTACTTATTGCTCGAGAAAAGTTATTGCTCTTCAAAACAGTTAAAACACACGTAGGTGGCGCCCCTTACAAATAGGAGTCATATTGACATCAAAATCAAATTTCTCATCTCAAAAAACTCCCAGACATCAATTTTGATTCAAATATTAACGGCACTTCAGAAATTATTTGGAAAAAATCGAAATAAAAATGAAACTTCTACACCCTGTATCTCCGAAACTAAGCATTTTAGGACATACATTTAAACGAACTTTTTTACTTATTTTTACCTGCAGAATATGCTGCCGAAGTTTCCGGAATACAGTTCGGACCACCCTGTATTTAGAAAAGTATCGATATTTTTGATACATCGATATCTGGATACATCCCTACCAAATATACGACCCTTGATTAAAAGCTCGCAACGGGCATGTCAAGAGCGCGGAATCAATAAAACGCGAGCTTGTAGTATTTTCCAGCCCCTAAAAGACTGGATTTGTTTCCATTTTAAGTGCATCCAGTTTATTTTCAGTAAAAAAAAAGTATTCAAACAACTTAGCAGCTTTGTTTAAAGCAAGAAAACGATATAATGAGATTCTGATTGCCTGTCCGTAAATATTAACGTTTTTTTTTCCAAAATAAATTAATATTTTTACCGGCTAGGTATGTTTTCCCGGTTTTTAACGTTTTTTAACGATTTTTTCGCGGGTTGAAAGAACTTGCCGTCGTGGAAAGCTAAAAATATATATTCAGCAGTCGATATTAGTCACTATAGTGTTGTATAGTAGTCGCAAAATCAGTTTTACGCAGTTAGTTTTCGTGCGATTTCCTATAAAACTTGATGCCGGGCAGTTGTTATTATTTTTTGGTAAACAATGGCTTCGAAAGTTATTGTAAAATTGCCTGTGGCACCTTTTGGACAGGTGAGTGTGTTTGAATTTCGAATCTATTTTCAAAAACAAAGAGTATTCGAAAAAATAAGATGCGTGACTTGCAAATTTTTATCGGCAGGAATCTGGACATTAGGCAACATGAAATGTTTTGGATATTTTCTTTGTAGTTAGTTTGGATATTTTCTTTGTAGTCACGGCATAAAAGAAACATATTTTCTCTTTACCGTTTTTCAATTAAGTCCAAAATAACCGAATTATTCAAGTTTGAAAATATTTAAAAAAATTGATTTATTTAAAAAAAATTGAGACCACCAGATTTTTTTCTGTATTTGCATCCCTTTTAGTGTCGTAACCATAGAGTAAAGCCGTAACTATTGGAATATCAGAGATTATAAAAGAAATTATACCTTGAAAAAAATTGCGGTGAATAGGCAGTACTAAAAAGTTTTCTAAAATATACAGGAAAATTTAAAGGAAAATGCACGATTTCCAATTTTTTTTTCAGAAAAAGACCTCATAAATCTATTCCTGGGGTCGAGCATTGGTATCTCGGAAACCGTAAGAGATACAAAGATGGTTATATTGGGGCAAAGTTAAGCCTTTAGGATGTTCACCAAGATGCCATCAAAAAAGTTTTAAAAATTTCAAGGATTGCTGAGTTTTTTGGAAAAAAGTGATTTTTTTGAAAATCAGTTTTATTTTTTTCTGTCGTTACTTTTAAGAAAATCAAAAAACTGATTGCTCATTTTCATAGCCACTTTTTTAAGGCTTGCACCCTGTATACATGTTACAGCAAATTTAATTGATGAATAATGTATAATATTATTTAAGACTCACCCTGTATAAGGCTGTTAATAATTTGTCAACATTCACTGGACACAGGACATAAAATAGACTTTAACAATGCAAAAATTAAAGTAAAGATTTCAGTTAACTTTTTATTATTATTATTTCTGTTTTTTATTTCTGTTCGTCTCCTTTTTGCTGCCATGGCTGCCATGGCTATTTCCCTTGAACAACAAACCATAGAGCACGATAGAGACTTTCGAACCGGTCACCCGTCCATCCACCAGTATCGCCTTACGTCGCTTAACTTCGGTGTTCTAATGGATTAGAAGCAAAAATTAGAATAACAGTTAAATTGGAAATATTTTTCGTTTTGGCAGGTGAATAAACCGTCATCGGGATCAGTAAACAATGATCTGATCCTTCCCAAGCCTCAGGAGGTTCAGAAGATCGAGGAACCGGCCTCGAGGGCTAGCCAGGATCAGGGCAGGATCAGCCAGCTCGAGCAGAACATCAGGTTCCTGCAGGAGCAGCATCAGCTGATGCTGGCAGGATTGCACGGAGAAATTGAGAAGTTGAAGCAGAGAAACAAAGGTAGATACTGTTAAAATGACTGTGAAATTATAAAATACATGCTTGGGCTGATTGATTTAAGCTAAAGCAAAATTAGTGGTTTAAATTAGCGTAGAAGTTTGATCCTCTAATTTCAATGTAAGTATTTAGAACGTTAAAATTAGTAGTAGACGTTTTCAGTTAGTATTAACTTTTAACTTTTCCACTAATTATACTTCAAAATTTCACGATAGATGTCTTGTAATATGTTTCAGAGCTTCAATTTCAACTGGTTTTTGGAAAAGGTCCCATTCCTTCGAGTTCACCGTCGCCATCTTCACCCGAAGAGGATTCCAAGCATAAAGTAAACACCAATTAACAGTTAATAACTAACATATTCTATCTATTATATATTTTATAGTTGTATACGAGTCCCAAAGTCATAACCAACACCACCCCACTGCAAGTGGAACTCCTGGAAAAGGAATTGGGCGAACTGAAAATCCAGATGCAAGAACTGGACACCAGGAACGTCTATTTGTCCGCGATAGTCGACGAACAAAAAAAGTGAGGTTATATCGCAACTAATCGAATTCTCTAATTGTAATTGCGCTTTTTTTAACGTAGAAAACTCGAGCGTTTCGACAGGCGTCGCGAGAAAGAGCGAGAACAGCGCGCCAACGGAAAAGGCGACGAGGTGGAGCTGCTGCGCAAGCTAGAAGACGCCGAGGCCCTGATAAGGAGGCTACGCAGAGAGAATTCGGATCTGCGCAGGGAGGCGCAGGGCGGTAGCGGTTCGGCTGCGCAGCAGAACCAGGGGCACTATCAGGAACAGCAACAACAACAGGCTCAGCATCATGGCAGAGAAAACAACGGGTAAGTTTTTGTGAAAACTTTTATTTCTCTATCTGCTACCAAATATGTACAGTATTCTTTTTATTTTGATTAATATAGGGAATTTTTTATTAACAGTTATTCGTCGCCCAGAGGTCAGAACCATAGAAACGGCAGCGGTAGGGGACACAGGAGCAACAACGGACACTACAGTAGGGGAGGGTGGTTTCCGCCGCTTCATTCGCAGAGTTTTTGGCAGGGTGAGTTTCATAAAAAGTGTACTTAGAGGGGTTCAAAAATTCTTGTTTTATAAGTGTGTCTTAAAGCTCTCTATATTTTTTCGTCATTTCGTTATTATATATATATAATAATAAATTAACTCCTGAATTTTGTAAGAAATTAACTATTTACAATCAAAGTTCTCCAAAATTTTATGGTTTACCTAAAATCCATAAAGAAAATATACCTTTAAGACCAATCGTTTCTTCAATAAATTCTCCTAATAGTAAATGGTCTCAATATGTTACTAATGTTTTAACCTTGTCTTATAATAAGATAATGAATATTTTACTCATGATACTTTTAAATTTGTTGATTTTATTATGAATAAAAGAATTCCTCAAAATTATGTTCTGATAAGTCTTGATGTTGTTTCATTATTTAGTAACATTCCTTATTGTCTTATTAAGAATAGTATTGAGAAGCATTGGTTGGATATTTCTAGTAACACATTATTAAATAAAAATAATTTTTTAGAAATTGTTGAATTTATTTTTAATTCAACTTATTGTAAATTTGAAGGAAAATTTTACAAGCAAATTTTTGGTACACCAATGGGTGCTACTGTTTCTCCAATTATTTCACAATATGTTATGGATGATTTATTAAATGAGTGTATACCAAAATTAAATTTTCAATTACCATTTTTTAAAAAATATGTAGATGATATAATTACATCTGTACCTTTTGATAAGATTGATATCATTATGGATATTTTTAATTCATATCATGAAAAAATACAATTTACTATTGAAACAGAAACTGATTATAGCGTTCCTTTCCTTGATACAAAAGTTATTAGGACATTTGATAACTTTATCTTAGTAGATTGGTATACAAAACCTACTTATTCAGGCAGATATTTGAATTTTAACTCATACCATCCACTAAAAATGAAAATTAATTTAATTGTCGGATTAAATAATAGAATTAGAAGAATTTGCCATCCTCAATTTTTGTCGAAAAACTTAAAAAGAATTTATAATATTTTATTACAAAATTCATATCCTGAATTATTATTAAAGAAATTTTTATATAATAATTTGTTGGTTAATGATCAATCAAGTTTTGGAGAAAACTTACATAATAATGTTATTTCGAGTAATAATGTTCTTGCTTATGATGTTCAACTTTGTGATAATATTGATAACAATAATGTTAACGGTTATTATTTCTCATTACCGTATGTAAATTCCTTAAATAATAATTTAACAAAGATCTTATCTATTCCTCAACAGGTTAAAATATGTGGTAAACATATATTAAAGATTAATAATTTATATACTAAATTAAAAGATTTAGATCTTCCTTTATATAAATCTGGTGTTGTTTATAATATTAGTTGTCTTGATTGTAATCTTTCTTATATTGGACAAACTTCTACTGTTCTTAAAGAACGTATTAATAGACATATTAGTGATTTTAGATTATGTAAACGTAGTTGTGCATTATCAGAACATGTGATTGATACACTACATAATATTGATTTTAAAAATGCAAAAATTTTGGATACTGAATTTAATACTAATAAAAGACTTTTTCTTGAAATGGTAGAAATTTACATTAATGATAATTGTATTAATAAAAGAAAAGATATTGAGGATCTTAGTAATATATATTCTTTCTTACTCCATTTTATTAAAAATAAAAATAATATTTAAAATTTGATTTTTTCTTTATTTTTATTTGTAACTTGTGATTAACCTTATATGTTTTTTACGTGTTTTTTATTAATAATTAAATTTACCTTTCTATGTCAAAATAATTTTTAGTAATGTCAGAAATCATGAATATTTAAGAAGATTTTAACTTTTATACAAAATTTTAGTTCCTTTCTTCCATATGGAAATTGATATATTTTTCTATTTTTATAATTAAACTTTTTACACGTAAGTTTATATAATATTATATTATATTCAGTTGACTTTTGTGATATTTTTTAGCCTTGAAAAAGGAAATATATTTTTAACTTTATAACTAATATATATATATATATATATATATATATATATATATATATATATATATATATATATATATATATATATATATATATATATATATATATATATATATATATATATATATATATATATATATATTAGTTGACGGGATTGATTTTTTATTGACAGGCGGTAGACAGCACAACGACAGGTCCCACAACGGATCCCAGGACGCCAACCTGCCAAACATCTCCATGAACGATGGTATGCCAAGCAGTCCGCCCAACCAACAACAGCCCTACCACGGTGGTCAAGGTCGCAAAGGCTCCAACAACAACCACTACCACAATGGGGACAACGGTCGAAAATACAGGGGAGGTCACAGCAAAAACCACAAACCCTCGTAATGGTGATTCTTCGACGAGAATGAGAAGTACAACGTTATATTTTCGTTTTTTGCAAAGGTACCGAACATGCGAGGTCGAGATCGCTCAAGAACCGGGCTGTCAAAGAGGTTTTTGACAGCTCTAGAGATGTGGGTGGTTCGCTTTGTTCAAATGCATATATAGGTCGAGAGACAAAAATAGTTATAAAGTGTGTCTAAAAAAAATCTATAGCGTCCCAGTAAGTTTGTAACTCAAAATTTTTAGGTTCTTTGATATTTTCTTACTTTTAAAATTTATACCATCTTGTCAGTACAAAACGATCGAAAAAAAAACGCTGTCAAAGACGGCAAGGGAACGACAATCGATGATAATTTTGGCGAGGTCAAGCCCTGGGCGTCATTTTTCTCTATTTTGTAATGACGCTTACTGTAACAGAGTTGTAATTTATTTTTATATTGAATAAAAATGTGTTAATTTTTGAAAAGTTTTACGTTAATTTTTACTCAACGACGTCTAGAGATTGACCTCGCCAAAATTACCATCGATTGCCATTCCCCTGCCGTCTTTGACGCCGTTTTTTTTTCGATCATACGATATTATTATATAGACACACACTTTATAACATACCAGCTGATATTTTAGCTTGGGATGTATATAAGACAATATTTCTTAACGATTTACCATCTATAATTATATTACAGAACAAGATATACTGATATTAATTAAATGAGACTTAAAATTTCTAAATGTACCTATCTAACTTTCAAATATACAGGGCTTTCTGTAGTGTTCTAATAAAGCTCCATATTAAGTTTTCTATTTGAAATATTTATTATATTATACAATGTGTTTTTTACAAAACGTGGGGTAGAATAATAATATCACCATTATGAAATGGAATATGGAAATTTTACGAAACACTTTCGGGTAACCCTGTATAAACTATTCGTTATGCAACATATACGGTCATTCAAAAATATATCTATCGCTGCCAATAAGAGCATATTAAAGAATAATCAAGCTATGCTCGTACTCATACTTGCTCTGTGGAGAATAGCAAGATTTGGATGTTCTGTTAAATGTTTTCATATATTTATGTAATCACAGAATATTAAATGGTATAATATTATGCTTTCATATTTTGATTAAACTTTGTATTATTGTTCTTGATATTGTCCATTTTTAAAATAGATAGCAAAATTTCTGTACCTATTTCTCCCATCGAACAGTTCGAAAAAAAACTGCGTCACAGTATGCTTTGAAATGACGATGATTGTCAAGTCAAAGGATACTCTAACGCTTTTTTTAGGTATTCTAACAAACTGGGAATACTGGATAACCAAAATCTTGTTGAATTCTAGCTTATTTAAAAATTTAGAGAGTATATACTTATATGTGTAAACATAACGGTGTGATAGAAATTACCTACTGGAACTATTTTAAACTATTGCTGTTTCAAATATATAAAAAAAGGATATAGTATAGCTGTGATTGCACTTTCTCGTTAAGTTTTCTCGGGATATTGTGAAAATTTCGATTTTTTTCCATATTAAAATGATCTAATATGTAAACCATGTGATTTAGTCTAATAAAGATATATAAGAAACATTTTTTTTCATTTATTTCTTCTATTTTTCAAATGCCCAACAATCTAGCATGTTTCTGTTTTCATTGGGTAACTCCGTTAGAGATATATGCAACTAAACATACACCTAACAAATCCTGCTGGCTCCTGCTGGTCAATTTTACGGCAAGGTCAAGGATAAAATTGTTTTGTTAACATCCAACGTTGCCAATAGATTAAAAATATCTTTTATTATGAATATATAAATAAGAATGATCATTATTGCAACTGATTATAATAATTAAAATTAAGGTACCGAATGGTTTCAATAAATGCCATTTTAGTTGATCCATAACCTAAGATAAAAAAGAGTTATCTAAAGGTGGCTTGTAAACATTGTAATGCAAATAATTTAAGTTATTTTGGTCACGCACAGCAGATAATAAGCTCTCAATCATCTATAAATTTTGATGGTCTAAAAATATTCACTCAGTAAACAAAAGGTTTCAGCAGGATACAGACAAAAGTGTTTTACTTTTAGCAGTTTTTTTTCTGTGTGTTATCCAAAGGTGTTATCGTAAAATATGGCAGCTGTAGATATTAAATATACGAAGGTATATAATTTTCGTCTTGAATTAATAATTTTTATGTGGAATTAAAGATTTTTTATGTTATTGTTTTAATGATAATATATAAAGTTGTTTTTATTTTTCGTATATTAAAAAACAGATATTACATTTTTTTATATTACCGGCATTTTTTATAGTACCTATTGGTATTTTTTAGGTATGTATTTATTTGTATTTTGATTGATAATTTTATTTCTAAACATTTCAAGGCCTCATGAATTGAGACCAATTATTTTTTTAATAGAATAAAAATGCCTTCCATACTATACTAGAGATAATATACAGGGTGACACAGTCTCTTAAAAATATGATAAAGGATTTTTTTTTACTTGGTTTCTTAAAAATTCTAGTCTATTTGTTAATATACAGGGTATTTCAAACTTATTTTCTTAAATATAATACCGTATGATCGAAAAGAAAACGGCGCCAAGTTGGCTTGGAAATAACGATCAATGACATATCCTATATAATTTTACATATAAATAATATGACAGCGATCTTCATTTCATAGCCAACGCTGACACCGTTTTTTCTCGATCATACGGTACCATATATATATATATATATATATATATATATATATATATATATATATATATATATATATATATATATATATATATATATATATATATATATATATATATATATATATATATATATATATATATATATATATATATATATATATATATATATATATACAGGATGTTTAGTAAATATATGTGCAATATTTTAATTTATGGGTATAAAACAATTTCATGGCATTCTCCGAGCAATTCAAAAAAAACTTTTTAGTGCCACATATTCATTCTCCTTAAATGTCTTGACGGTGCATCCAATCTCTGCAACGTTGCCACCTCCTACGTTACCCACAATCTGCATATTTACGTGTTTATAAGTTCACAGTAATTTTATTTTGCTATACAGGGTGTCCCAGAAATAAGTGCAAGTATTTTAACTGGTAGTATAGTTCAACCCCAGAAACACGCCTATGAGGTATTTTTGTTTTTTTTTGAAAATTCGAAATTTTTTGGAAATTTTTTTAGTTTTAGGATAAAACACATAATTTCTTGATAATAGGGCAACATAGGTATTAGATTAAATTTAGAAGAAAGAAAATCCAGAATAGATCCAGTGATTCTCAAAATTTTAGCAAAAAAATCATTTTTTTTAAGTAAAATAACTCCGTTATTTTGGACTTATTTGAAAAACGATAAAGGGAAAATATGTTCTTTTATCGAGATCTACCACCCTTTAAAATACTTGCACTTATTTCTAGGACACCCTGTATAATAAATTACGAAAATTTGTATTATTTTTATCAGTGCCATTCTAATAATTATAGATAAACACATTTCGGTTATTTTCTATTTATTTTTAAAATATGTTATTTCTTTTATCAAAATCCAGCATCTCTATAATACTTGCACTTATTTATGGGACACCCTGTATAGACTATGTTCAGCGAAAGAATATATGACATTATTGACAGTTCTCGTCAGTTTTTTTTGCTGTCGTTTGTTAAAATTGCTGGATATACTAAACACAAGATCTAAAATATTTTGCAGCTGTTCATCAACAATCAGTTTGTCGACTCAGTCAGCAAAAAAACCTTTCCAACGGTGAATCCAGCAAATGGAGAGAAAATTGCTGACGTAGCTGAAGCTCAGAAGGTACTGTATCAAAACTCAAAAGTTCTTAATTTTGTCGAATAATTTTGTTTCGAAGTACTTCTATTTTCTTTTGAGCGAATCCTAATTTACTATAATATAAATCGTACATATCTAACTTAGGAAGATGTTGATATTGCTGTGGCAGCAGCTAAAAAAGCCTTTGCTAGAAACTCACCATGGAGAAATTTGGACGCTTCACAAAGAGGAAAACTTATAAATAAAGTACGCTTTCAAATTACGCACATTAAAACAAATCATTTATTATTTTTTATATAAAATATTTTGCAGTTTGCTGATCTCTTGCAAAGAGACTCTGAATACCTGGCAAAGTTAGAAACTCTGAATTCTGGCAAGCCTGTTCAAGCTGTTATAGGCGAGCTAGAAGTATACGCGAATATCCTGAGATACTACGCAGGATACTGTGATAAAATCCATGGCAACACTGTACCAGTTGGTAATTATTTTTCACTTTATTTTGAATGATTTTATTTATTAATGTTTACCTATTATTTCATACCAAAAAAAGTACGTGCTATACAGGGTGTCCGAGAAATAAGTGGAATTATTTTAAGGAGTGGTAGATCTCGATAAAAGAAACATATTTTCTCTTTATCGTTTTTCAAATAAGTCCAAAATAAAGAAGTTATTTTACTTTGAAAATTAAAAAAAAAATGATTTTTTTGCTCAAATTTTGAGAACCACTGGATCTTTTCTGGATTTTCTTTCTTGTAAATTTAATCTACTACCTATGTTGCCATATTATCATGAAATTATGTTTTTTAACTAAAAACTAAAAAAAAATTCGTGAAAAAAACCTCATAGGCGTGTTTCTGGGGTTGAACTATATACTACCTGTTAAAATACTTGCACTTATTTCTGGGACACCTGTTGTTGTATGTATAGCGAGAGAATTTATGATTAGACCAGAGATAAACATAGAGATAGGGAGAATGAGGTTTCTTTTGTACCTCTATATCTCTAGCTTAGACAGCGTTAGACTAAAATTAGACTATATTAGACTAATTATTTGATTAAGTTGTTTTTTTTTTCAAATAATATTAATTTTTTAGATGGTAATGGTTTTGCGTTGACCAAAAAAGAACCAGTAGGCGTAGTGGCCCAAATAATTCCCTGGAACTACCCAATAGGAATGGCTATTTGGAAACTAGGCCCTGCTCTATGTTCTGGATGTACCCTAATTTTAAAACCTGCAGAGCAAACGCCTTTGACAGCACTAGGTAAGTAAAAATCATTGTGCCTGGAAACTTATATGGTCTTAAATAATTTAGTACTCACTAAAAACACGGTACGTCGCTAGTGGTAGGAAAAATAATTTTTAGAGGTTACTAGTTTATTTGGTTGCTTTGAATAAGAAGACTAAAGCCCCGTTCTCAGAACAACGTCGTGTCGCGGGCGACACAGTTTGACATTTCAAACAACCAATGGGAGCTGTACTAAATTTAAAATTGACAGCTGTTTGAATTTTGTACAAATCTGATTGGTTCTTTTGTCGTGTCGCTGGCGACAGTCACAGTTCTGAGAACGGGGCTTAAGGAAGGAGCATATCAAAAATCTTAGGTACACCGCGATGGGCCTCAAATATGGCCGACTTAAATTCCGGTTTATCAGTGTCGTTCTAATTTTATTTAAAAAATGTAAAACTATGATGTAGGGTAGACGTGGGGTAGACTCAATAATTTGTTGTTTTATTTTACGTTGCGAATAAATGTTGGTAGTTATTAAAATTGTTATAAAAATATATAATTCTAATAAAAATAGTTAAGTTATAATAAGTATTTATTAACACAAACATCCGATACGCTACTGAAGCAGGTAAGTCAAATTAACGTATCTAAATTCTTTGACATCTAATCTTTGACAAGTAATAAATAAAAGCTAAAATGCAAGAAAAATATATAATTTAGTTAATTTAAGCGAATTTCATAAATGATCGGTTTACTACACGTATGTATATTCATTTTTTCACTAGAATGAATAATAAATAACATAAAATAAGCTCCATAAAGACTGGCAAATCCACAAAATTTCAAATCAAATTCAAATGTGTCAAATGAATCTTCAAACAGAACTGTCAAGGATCCCCACCCTAGAGAGCTTTTATGGTGCCTTTTCCGCCCACCATGCATGAATACATGGATAGCATTATGCTCCTTCCTTAAGCCCCGTTCTCAGAACTGCGTCGTGTCGACAGCGACACTGATTGACACTTCAAACGACCAATGGGAGCTGTACTAAATTTAAAATTGACAGCTGTTTGAATTTTGTACAAATCTCATTGGTTCTTTTGTCGTGTCGACAGCGACACTGATTGACACTTCAAACGACCAATGGGAGCTGTACTAAATTTAAAATTGACAGCTGTTTGAATTTTGTACAAATCTCATTGGTTCTTTTGTCGTGTCGCTGGCGACAGTCGCAGTTCTGAGAACGGGGCTTTAGTCTTCTTAAGCCCCGTTCTCAGAACAACGTCGTCTCGCGGGCGACACAGTTTGACGTTTCAAACAACCAATGGGAGCTGTACTAAATTTAAAATTGACGGCTGTTTGAATTTTGTACAAATCTGATTGGTTCTCTTGTCGTGTCGCTGGCGACAGTCGCAGTTCTGAGAACAGGGCTTTATTCAAAGTTTGGTTGCCTGTGATATGCATATACAGGGTGTTTCCTAATTAATCTGAAAAATAAAAAAATCATTAGAAAACAAATTAAGGCGGGCTCTTAATAAGTATATTTATTTTTTTCTCGACAACCGTTTGATGAACAAGAAAAACTCAAAAGATCAATTTTGTTTGAAAAAGGATGGCCAGTCAAGAAAAAAAATTATTTTCTTTAAAAAAGCAGTGGTGTGCCATTTATGTTAAGCAAAAAAATTGATTTTTTTTTAATTTTTAACACCCTGTAGATCAGAAAGGAAGTACTTTAGATCTAATGGTTATATAAAAATTGTTTTAAGGACACATGAGGAATCACACCATAATTTTTTTACACTATTTCGAAAAGACCCTGTATATTGTCAACTTGACAATGACTGCTGATAAATCAAAAAATACCTTTTCTGTGAAAAAAGCCCGATTTTCGCAGGAAAAATTTTGGTTTTTATTGAATTTGGGCCTGCGTCTGCAAATACTGGTTTGTTTTTTAATTTTCTATCTATCTAAATTTTAAATATCATAGTCAGAAATAGTTTTATTATTTATTAACTGTAAAAATGGTGTTTTCTTGTTGTGTTGCATCTTGCAAAGAAACTAACAAAACTGCAAAAATGTACGTGTTTCCAAAATACGATAAGGTATGTATCTTAGATAAAAGAAAAATATATGGTATGTCTTCGTTGTTTGATTTTTTTTCGTTCACTTTAAATCTATAAATCTCGGTCTATTCATTAGACAGCCAGTCGACTTACGATCATTTACATGAAACTCTGTAAAATAAATAAAAAAATAAATTGTAAAATATATATATATATATATATATATATATATTCTTATGTTTTATTAAAGTTACTCTGATATACTAATATATCAGTGTAACTTTAAAAATAAATCAGCAGAAAAGGCGAAGGCGCTGGGTTAAACGTAGTCTCCACTAAAAACACGGAGGGGCGCTTTGATCCAAAATTTTATTATTAAGTTTCATATCTATCTTAATAGTAGATTATTTTCTTTTATCTATGGTAAAAATCTAGACCGATCATTCTCGACCTTATGTCAACTACGGTTAAGGGCGAAATTAAACGAGCAAATCGGTGTAATGTTAGTTGCATACTTTAAAGGCGTTGTAGATCTATGGTATTTTTTTCCACACAGTGCTAGGTGCCTTAACTAAAGAAGCTGGATTTCCTGATGGGGTGGTGAATATTCTTCCTGGATATGGACCTATTGCAGGAGAGGCACTGTGTCTACATTTGGATGTCAGGAAAGTCGCATTTACTGGTTCGACTGATGTAATTCTCTTATTTTTGTCTAATTTTCCTATACCGAGTGTCTTTTAATGAGGTGCAAGTATTTTAAGGGTGGTAGATTTATTTTCTATTAATTATTTTTAAAATAAATTAATAATAATCGAGTTACTTTTTTCGTTTTTCTAAAATTATTAATATATCCAATGATATAGTAATTAAAACTAATTTATTGTGTAGAAAATTAAAATTGCTTTGAACTTAACATTAATAAACCCACAAATATGTAGAATGCGAGTAAGGTAGGAGGTAGCAACATTGCAGAGTCAAGAAATTTCAGAATGAACCTGCGGAACTAAAAAGTTTTTTTTAATTTCTCGTCAAAGTGTCAAGAAAAATTAAAATTCTTTACTACAATTTTTTTGCAAATAAAAAGGTTGTCGAAATACTACCATTTAAAATACTTGCACTAATTTAAGCAACACTCTGTATTGCGAAATATTTGTACTTTAGATTGGTCATAAGATATTGGAGTACTCAGCCCATTCAAACCTTAAAAGAGTGTCTTTAGAGCTTGGAGGAAAAAGTCCATTGGTTATATTTGACGATGCAGATAGTAAGTATTATAAAAAACACGAATTTCCATTTCGAAGGTCACCATGACACCTTTTTTTTTCTCGAAATAACGGCATCTAATTTTTTTTTCTTTCAATTAACAGTCGATGAAGCTGTTGGTATTGCCCACGCTGCCATTTTTGAAAATCACGGACAAAATTGTTGTGCTGGCTCGAGAACTTTTGTCCAATCAGGAATATACGAGAATTTTGTGAAAAAGGCTACAGAAAAAGCCAAAGCACGCAAAGTGGGAAATCCTTTTGATAAAGATGTTCTTCAAGGACCCCAGGTAAGGTTACTGTGACTTCAATTTTTTTTTGCTTGAAGTCATTGATGAAAATGAATTAAAAGTAAAAAAATACAGTGTTGTTTCCTCCATGTTTTGCATTTTTTACGCCTTGTATACAGGGTTGTTCACCACATACGACACGGAGTATTGTAAATAAACGATTAGATTTTTACAAATTGTAAGTTTTGGGTTCGTTGAAGGACTATTAGAGCTACAATTTAAAAATATTTTTACAAGTGTCCCAAATAAATAAAAAATATCAAAGTTGTATTTTTTTAAATGGAACACCCTGTATATTATTACATTTTTAGTTTCTACGATCAAAATAAAGGTAAATTTGATATAGGTTTATTACACTTAAACCTTACCGTTTTTGAAATATTTTCAATTTTGTGAAATTGCAGTCAAAATTTTAAGGCTTCATTTCTCCCAGGGTATCAAAGTTTTTAATACTAAATATTTACTGAAGTTTATTTATCGATCAGTTATTGTGCTGCAATAATAAAAATTATACTACCTTATACAGTGTCCAAAATGTTATTTTAAATAATTAATATCTTTAAAGGGCAATAACTTGTTTAATTTAAATGGAACACCCTGTATGTTTTATGAGAATCAGATGCACAATTTAATTGTCTATCAAATTGTATTATACCATTTTTTACCTATCTCTTCAAGTTTCCGTAGAAAATGCATTTACTTGTAATTTAAAACTCATTTATCAATATACCCATGGAATACTGAGATTTTAGATTATTTTCAAAAATGTAACAAATTTTTAAAGAGATACTAATATTGTCGATATAGTTTGTTTATTTCATTAAAAATTAAAAAGAAACTGTTTAAATATTTGTTAAAGAGGACCAATTAATATGATTCCATTATTCAAACTACATTAATTGACTGTTTGCGTTGATTAATAATAATTACTCCAAATACTAAAAAACTGAATTTTGTATGTGTATTAGACAGTGTGGTAAAAAGTAACACCTTAAAAATGATATTTCATTTTTTGACAATGCTTATTTATAACAACAGAGACATTCATTTTCATAACTTGATATTGATTTCTGATTCAAATCCACATTTATTTAGAATAATTTATTAACGAACATAATTAAGTATGTAATTAATTAGTATTTGGGCAGAAATAATGGTGGTATATTTAATTAATTGTATACTCTTTTATAAAGATTTAAATAGTTTTCTTTTTGCATACAAATGGGCTAGTAATATTATCATGTTGCTAAAAACGATAATATTACTAGCCTGTACATTTTGTACGTTTGTTGCTTTCAAAACAATCTAAAATGTCAATATTTCATGGGTATATTGAATGCATTTTAAAAGAATACAACTTTGATATTTTTTATTTATTTGGGGCACTCTGTATCTTGTAAAAATATTTTTTAAATTATAGCTCTAATAGTCCTTCAACGAACCTAAAACTTACAATTTGTAAAAACCTAATCGTTTAGCTACAATACTCCGTGTCGTGTGTGGTGAACAACCCTGTATATTGATTTCAGATTGACAAGCCATCTTTGGACAAAATACTGAGGCTGGTTGAAACAGGCAAACAGCAAGGAGCTAAACTGGAAACAGGTGGTTCTAGAATCGGTACCAGTGGATACTTTGTGGAACCAACTGTTTTTTCAAACGTCAAAGATGAAATGACAATAGCCACAGATGAGGTAATATACAACCCGATAATATTTATTATATTTAAACTAATTTTTGATTTTTTTATTGTATGTAAAGTTCATGTTGTTAAAATATACGGTTAACATAAAATTGTATAAAGAATTATATTATTCATCATAATTTTTAAACTTTAAAATTCATGATTTGATTGACTTTTTCTAGATTTTTGGACCTGTTCAATCTATATTGAAGTTCGACACTCTAGATGAAGTGATTGAAAGAGCTAACAACACTCCATATGGTCTAGCAGCTGGTGTGATCACTAAAAACATCAACAACGCTCTAGTGTTTGCCAATGCTGTAGAAGCAGGCTCTGTTTGGTAATTTTTTCGATTAATATGGAGTTTTAAATTTTATTTAAAATTATTCATAATATTTTAGGATAAATTGCTATGATTATATTACGCCTCAAACTCCATTCGGTGGATATAAAAAGTCTGGATTCGGAAAGGATTTGTAAGTTTAAAAAAAAACGGCGTCACACCGACCTTCGACAAAACAATTTTTTTTATCGTTTTTCTGTTGTAAAAAAATTGTCATTTCGGAGGCTACTATGACGCATTTTTTGTTTCGATTTTAAGCTATATTTATGTTTTAAATGTAACGCAATATTTAATAAGTATTTTGTGCTGTTTTAGGGGTCCGGATTCTCTCGATGATTACTTGGAAACAAAGTCTATTAACATCCTTTTGCCTGTAAAAGTTTGAATTATTTTTGTGTATTTTATATTCGTTTATAATTATTAAACCATAAGATATCTAGACTTGCTTTTATTGAGCCTGAAACTTGTCGCCAAAATAAAGTATTGTTGTTATTTTTGCAGGGCTTAGTGTTATTTATTAGCGATGGGAACTATCGAATGAATTAGACTATCGAATGGTTAATGAATGAATGATTTCAACTATCGAATGGTTTTATTCGAATAAAATCATTCATTCATTTGTATACTAAAGCACATGTGACAACCTCGCCGTGCGACTAAATGGTTATCGTTGAGCCACGACTATCGAATGCTTTTGATAAATGAAATTTAGTATTCGTTTGATTTTTGTATGCGTCAGTGCATTATTAGTTCTTCCAAATTTTTATAACTTCGCCGTATAAATACTGTACTATTTTTGCGTTTATTAAAATAGTTAAAATACTAAAATAGTAGTTATTTTTAATTTTATTTATTGACGATTGTGTGCATGTGCAGGTGGTCAAAATTTTTCCGAAAATTTGTGTGGTGTTCCGTAGTCTGATCTTTCAATTATTTAATTTTATATGGTATATGGTTTGGTTTGGTGAACTTACAATTAATTTTAAAAATACATATTTGTATTTTAGATGTTTTAATAATATGAATTAGTTGGAACTTAATAATCATATTTAAGTAATGTGGTTAAGTAAATGGTTATCGAACTCAAACTATGGGGTGAGAAAATTAAAATGAAAGTTTTACACGTGCCAATTTTAAAAAAAAGTTAACGATGTTGGTATTTTGTTTATGCTAATTCTCTTACATGTAGTTTTTTGCGAAGAAATATTTCATTTATTTTTTAAAGTAAATGCCAGTAAAAGTAAATATAATTTTTAAATAGTAATATAAAGCACCTATTATAAATAATTTTGATTTCTAATTTTTTATTTATATTTTCCTTCCATTACAGTGCATGCTTAGAAAATTAATAAATGTTTATATTTCATGATTTTAAAATTTATTGTTAATATAACAAATTAGTTCTGTAATTATTATTATTTAATAAACCAACGTTGCCACACACAAAAAATTTAGAGACTATATTATTTTTAAATAGGATCTAATATAAATAATTTTGACATCTAATTTGTTGTTTATATTTTGCTACTACTTAAAAAAATATTTATATTAAATGATTTTAAATTTTGTTGTTAATAGGTATAACAAATTATTACTGTTATTATTATTTATTAAACCAGTTTTTGCTTAAAAACATTAAAAATAATTTTCCTACATCCAAAATAACAAGTATTATTGCAGTGTAACAACAGAATATTAATAAAAAAATGCAGAATATATAGACATACTAACCCTAACTAACTAAAGCCAAACAATAATATTCTTTGCTAATATCAACTAATACCAAAATATGGCAACAGCGCCCTTCATAATGTATTTTCTGTGTAAATACTAGCACCTCAATAAAAAAAATAATGTGTCCTTATCTATATCTGACTCCGCAAAAAATCAAAGATGCCGGCTTCTTTCATAGCATTGCCACCGACCGCTGTCGGGTTTCTCGGAAAGAAACCTACGTCGCCGGGCGACAACTAAAATTCAGTTAATATTTTATTATAATCGATCCTGACGAATAAATGAATTTCATAAATGAATGAATTTTATAAATGAATGGTTTTTGCTGCCGAATTACTAGAATACAATATTTCAAGGCAGATGACGGATCTATTCGATAATTTTTATTCGAATAGTTTTCAACGAATGTTTTCTTACTAACTATCGAATTATTCGAATGAATTGCAACTATCGAATGTTTCGATAGTATTCATTTGATACTTCCCACTACTATTATTTATATAGAGATATTTATATTTTTGATAAATGTTTTGACTACGCCTATGGTGTATGCGGTGGTATCATAAAGTATCATACCAATTAATAAAGAAAAAACAATACTAGAAATAAAACAAAAGTTAAAGTCAGCTCATTTATTAATAACTAATAAAATATATACTGACAAAAAATCACAAAAATCTTCGTCGAATACATACTAAAGATTAACGTCTTACAAAAAAAAACAATCAATATTAAAAAACGATAATAATATCTCACCCAATTAATGATATCTTGTATATTAGATAATATATCTACGGAGAGTAACATTTTTTACATCTTTACATATTTCTTTACATATACCCTTACTCTTTTTATGTAAATAATACTAATGTTAATCTTACAATAGGTAGTAAATACGAGGAAGAAATATAAGTATACATATATCGTTAATAACTATCACGAATTTGATTAAACTATATAAATTAATTATTAATGATCAAAATAAACCTATCAAATTTTTTAGCAACAACTATTTGAATAATTTCTATTTTGTTCAAGAGAAAAATACTTGAAAAAAGCGCCTTCAAATATAAATTCATGGTTTCTTTCTAACTAAATCATCATTTTTATTTAACAATAATATTTTTCTGAAAATAAATTCAATGATTTAATCTGACACTGCCAAAAACTTCGTTATGTCAAAAAACGTTTTAAATTTGAAGGTCTACATTATGTCATTTTGAATATTTTTCGCTGAAAAGCCCCATATTTTTATACCGGAAAATCTAATAAAAAAATACATTGTCAGCTGTATGTTTATTTTAAAAAAAAGTCGATCCTTTTTTGTTAAATTAGTGTAGATCGGTAGCGAAAATATAACCCTGTTGCTGTAGAACGTAGAGGCGTTTCTCTACAGCGTCTTTGTCTGAAAAAGATACAATAAATGTAAAATTTAAATCGAAAAAATGATACAATAGAGGGCGTTTCAAGTTCGACTCACACCATTAGAATCTAAGAAACTGTAAGATATACGGGGTGACTTAAACAGGGCCAAAGTTGCCGAATTTGAATCGCCCGGTATAGGGTGGCGCATTTAAAAAAAAACATTTAGAACAGGTGATATTTGACAAAGTATGATATTGTTACTAATAATATGTATTAAAACTTGATTTAAAAATCTATCTTTTGTTATTAATGTATGTTCTAATGCAGAAAATAAAAAAAATATACAGGGTGTCCAAGATACAATAATAAGAGGTGATAGATCTGGTCAAAAGAAACATCTTTTCTCTTTGCCATTTTTAAAACAAATTGAAAATAACTCAGTTATTTAATTTCGAAAATTTAAAAAAATAATGGTAACATTTTGAGAACCGCTGGCGATAGCCGGCTATTCGACGCCTCAGGTGAATAAACAAGTGGCACTAAAAAGTTTTTTAAAATTTACTGGAGAATGTCAAGAAAAAATGTTTCTGCGGCCAAAATATACTATAGGGACACCCTGTATTAAAGTAATAAAGAAATACAGGGTGATTCCTGTAAGTCAGTCATGCTTTCGAGGAATGATAGGGGACGTCGAAATATTAATTTTGATATAGCACACTATGGGTCGGAAATGCCTCTTCCGCAAGATACAGGGTGTTAAAGTTTTTGAAAAATTAAAGATATTCTTTAATATTTTTTTAACAGTTGAAAGTATAGTTATAACATTTTATTATAAGAATCTGCTTAACAGAGACACTTTAAATGTAAAAAGAAGAGGTTTTAGTTTCAACCAGTGGCGTAGCTGTGATACGCATCGGGTAATATTTTCAAAAAAAAAATAGTACGCCACTGATAAAAATAAAAATTTCGGAGTTTTTTTATTTACTCGGTTTATTTCCAAGAAAAAATGTCTCTTGCAACTTTCTTCTATTTAACACCATTGTCACAATTTAAAAATAAATATTTTTTTACTAAAAACCTTAAATATGCGAATTATTTTAACTACCTTAAAACTACGAATTTTATTATTAACAATAAAAAAAATTCTAGTTTAAATTTATAATTTTTAAAAAAATTATTTAGAGCTAATAGTAAAAAGTACTAAAGTTACTCAAGATGAAGGGAGCTAACGATGCACATGTTTTTCTGCCCTCTAGTTATAATAATTCGCTGTATTTAAGATTTTTATTAAAAAAAATATTTATTTTTAAATTGTGACAAAATGGTGTTAGATAGGAGAAAGTTACAAGAGACATTTTTTCTTGGAAATACACCGAGTAAATAAAAAAACTCCTAAATTTTTATTTTTATCAGTGGCGTACTATTTTTTTTTGAAAAAATTACCCGATGCATATCACATCTACGCCACTGGTTGAAAGTAAAACCTCTTCTTTTTACATTTAAAGTGTCTCTGTTAGGTAGATTCCTATAATAAAATTTTATAACGATATCTTCAACTGTTAAAAAACTATTAAAGAATATCTTTAATTTTTCAAAAACTTTAACACCCTGTATCTTGCGTAAGAGGCATTTCCGACCCATAGTGTGCTATATCAAAATTAATATTTCGACGTCCCCTATCATTCCTCGAAAGCATGACCGACTTACGGGAATCACCCTGTGTATTACGATTAAAGAGAAAACTTCTACTTACACTTAGTTAAGAGTCCTCTATCCTGAGGATTTTGCACTTGCTGAGACAAGCTGTGCAACAGAATCTGAGCGGTCTGGTACCGTTGGAAACATTCGCCCGGATTGCCGAAAAGTTCGTCCAATGCCGCTGTTTGACACTGAAATTATTTTTGAAAAAGAAAATCATTAATTTTAATTTTTTTTTTAAATTAGTAACACTCACCATCTGTATAGCGTGGTTGTAGATAATTTTATCAGCTGTGATATCGGTTGTGGTGATCTTGTTCAATAATCCGGTACTGTTGAGCTGCTTGCATTCAAGCAGGGTGGTACGAAACTTCGTGTTAAGCGTAGAAACAACTACAAAAAAAAAGAAATATACTTGCAATTTTTCAAAAAACTCCAAAATACCCTCTAATTTGGGATTTCTTAATCCCCGCATTAGAGCATATTAAAAAAAACGAACAAATGCAATAAAACTCACCATTTTTCACAGTAGTGCTAGGCCTAAGCTGACCGCTTTTCAGCTGTTTCGTGGCCAAAGCCAACCCGCTGCTGAGCAGCTGAAGCGCGCGCACCAACAGGACAAACTGTTCGGTGCGCCTGTCCGTTTCGGTGGTGGGGAGGGGATTGGCCCCGCCCTTATTAGTGACGTTGTTCACCAACGCGTTGATAGGTGCCGCCCTCTGGGAAGCCAAGTCTATGATGCAACTGCTCAGGGCAAGGACAAAATTGATCTTGGCTAGGGTTTCGTTGTGTTCCTTCTGTAATGTTAATTCATGGGGTAATCTTCATTCACAACCTTGCAATTAGTGATAAACATATGGATGAACTGAAAAAAAAGTGTCATACTAACCTCTAAAAGAGTCTCTTCCGGTAATTCAGGACCCGTGTAAGAAATAGGTTGCGGTTCGCAAGTGGCAGCGTCATTTTCCGTGTTTTGAAACAGGGCATGGTAGTTGCCCATTTCAGAGATCTCTGGCAATGTCACTGCTCGGGTACAGAAAGGTATAATAGGAGAACGACCTACAAAAGAATATTTGTATTAATATAGAGGGCGTTTAAAATTCGAGTACGATTATTGTGTGGGATTTCGGAATCTATTAAAGATAGCGGTACCACACCTCCTTTGGTAGTCCCCTTCGGATTTGGGACACTCTGTACAGTTATAATACAATGTATTGGTCCAAAATAGAAAATACTTACCCAAATTGTTGTTGTCGCTCAAGTTAGGACTACTCAAAATTGGCACCCTGGCCAAGGGACCACTCAACATGGGAGGAGATGTGCCTGAACGTTTTAAGGGTGAACTTAGTGGCATATTTTTGGCGCTAGTTGGCGACACCGTCCACAAACTAGGAGGGGGCGGGGTTTCACACAAAGAACTGGAAGTTGAACGCCTCCTACCGCCACCAGGTGGCGTTCCAATCACAAATTGAACCTACAATAATAGTTATAACTGCATATATAACAATTTTTAATAGGAACTATAATTTGTCATTTTAATTCTAAAGTAGATAATATTTTCCGGAGGTCTGTTTGTCTCGAGCTAGACTAACTATAACAATAATAAATATAAGGAAACAAAAAATAATGCTTACAGATGGAGGCGACAGCGATGCAATATCAATATCCGTGCTCATCTGTCTGTCTGGAGGTCGCTTCATAGTGATTGGTTGAGATCTTGGCACTGTGCTACTTTTTATTGGCTAAAAATTTATCCAAAAACGCTTAGTAAACATCGACAACTAGTATTTTAACGACCGTATACTCAAAAATCTCTATCTGACACTTACTTCCGGTGAGGGCGGAGCCTGCGTATCTTCTCCTTTCTTTTGCGAGTGCATCCTCTCAAACGCTGCCCTCTGCGTGGGCACAGGAATGGGCTCAGATATAGGCAAAAAGTTGGGTCTTGTAGGGCTAATGAGCGCTCCCGGTTCAAAGTTAGTAATACCGGTCCTAACAGGCAACTGCATGCTGTAAAAAGGTATTAGAGATGTCATATATAAATTATATGTGATATCATATATAAATTATATATGACATCATATATAAATTATATGACATCATATATAAATTATATGACATCATATATAAATTATATGACATCATATATAAATTATATGGCATCATATATAAATTATATGACATCATATATAAATTATATGACATCATATATAAATTATATGACATCATATATAAATTATATGACATCATATATAAATTATATATGATCAGATAATTATAATCGCAAGATGAACTAGTTCCGATCAAATTGGCCGAAAATACAGAGTCTTTCCTTATCTATCGCTTATACATACTTGAATGTTTCCTTTTCTTTGTCCTTGTCCTTTTCAAGGCTCATGTCGATGGACTGATCGGACTGGATCTGGATATTCTGCGACACTATAACATAATCATCTTCAGGACTGGAGCTGAGCGCCGTCCTGGCAGACCTAGGCGATTCTGCAAGAGCAGATCGACAGCGGGATTAGTAGAAGCAGCGAACGCAAGCGGTGGAAAAACGTTTTAGTAGACCAGGAAAATCCAGAGAAAATGATACAAGAAAAGTTGTTGTGCGGATAATAAAAAATATCGTTATATATGATGTACGGGGCGGTCCGAACTGTATTCTGCAAATAAAAATAAGTAAAAAAGTTCGTATAAATGTATGTCCTAGAATGAAGAAGTGAGTTTAGGTTAGATTAGAATTAGGTTTTAGTTGGTTTTGCATTAATTAACCTAATCTAAACTTAAGCTAAACTGACCCCCTTTTGCATATTTTGGGCTCCTATGTAGCGTGGGTAGGAGCCCGTCATAGTGTCGTGGCCGTGATCGTGACCATTCACGAATCCGCACACGTTCATGGAAAAAATCGAAATAAAAATGAAACTTCTACACCCTGTATCTCCAAAATTAAGCATTTTACGACATACATATTTACGAACTTTTTTACTTATTTTTATCTGCAGAATATGCTGCCGAAGTTTCCGGAATACAGTTCGAACCACCCTGTATAATAATATGATAGTGTATGTCTCAGTAGGTAGCTGAGACATTTTGATAGATAGTTGATTAAAACTTCAATTTAATAACTATTTAAAGTATTATATGAATTCTTGAATTAGAGGTGTGTAGTTCGTGAACGAACTAGTTCCAATGAACTATTCCGACACCGGAATGAAAGGAACTAGTTCCTGGTTTCTCAAAGAACTAGTCCCTCAGGACCTATTTCGGGATCGAGACTGTGACCGATATAGAACAATATGCGACGGCGACGGATCGGCTAGCGCGCGTAGTTCAATGGTAGGCAGGAGTGGGGAACGCCAGTCGTACGTTATCGGATCCGGACCTAGAGGAACTAAACTAAATAGACTAGTTCACGTACGAACGGATCGGGCCAGCGCGATCGATGCTAGGCAGGAGTGGGGAGTGCCAGCCGTATGCCGTATGTTATCGGATCCGGACCTAAAGGAACTAGAGGAACTAAATAAAAGACTAGTTTACGTATGGATCAGCCAGCGCGATTGATGCTAGGCAGGCATAGGGAGTGCCAGCCGTATGTTATCGGATCCGGACATAGAGGAACTATTAAAAGACTAGTTCACGGAAATCTATCCAGTCGGCAGATCCGAGATATAATACAAGGCGACGACTATAGATTCGGCCTTGTCTATTGCCGCAGCCGGCGCGGGTAATTACCACAGAAAATTGTCGTGGATACTGTTTTTGATTTTTAGTTTGTTTTTTAAATATTTTATGGGAATGTTTCAATTTAGGTCCCTAAAATTAAAAAATATCTTATAAAACGAAGTAGATATTCTGAATTTTTAGACAAAAACAAAAGGCTTGAAGTGGGGAAAATTGCAATTTTTCGTAAAATTTTTGAAATATTTGCTCCAATTGATTTATGATATAGTTTTTTAAATTCTGATTTGAGTTTTTTTTTATTTTTTTTTTATCTGCAATAAAACTTACCTATGTTTTTAACATACACAATTACACGCCTCGTTATATCTCCGTACATTATAAAAATTATACAGATCATACTGTGAATAGTTCTGACTGACAACGAAACGCATTAGCAAGCAAGGGGGATGTCAATGTTAGTCGGGAACTATATTGTGAACTAAAGACCTAGTTCAAGGAACTATTCCTCTGGAGGAACTAGAACTAAGGAACTAGTTCCTCCCAAGGAACTAGAATTCCCACCTCTATCTTGAATAAAAAAACTAATGATGTGAGTCCATTTTCCCAAAAAATGAATAGTTTTGTAAATATGCGGAAATTAAATAATGATTTTTATTAGCACGAAATAAATTTAAAAAACTTACCCGGTTGCGATCTAGGCGGTGTTGCCACCTTTACAGGCGTCGACGGTTTTAAAGGAACTTTGGTTAGCGGAGACGAACCGTATATTGGAAGAGGCAGTTCTGAAATTAATAATAAACATGAAAAAATATCTTTAAAGACATAAAAAACTTAAATAGACACACTGCTAAAAAAGCGTCCATAATTTTCTAATAATTTTAAATAAAAATACCACTTTGTATAGGACTTTGATGATGCTGGACCGGGTCCCTTTGCAAAAATTTGTGGTTAAAAAATATCTCGAACTCCATCCTGTCTTTCGGGCTTCTTTTGAGAAGCCCCATCAATAATTCGTGCAGTTCTGGCGAAGTACTTGGAGGAATTCTGAAGACAAAAGTCAATAATTATAAAAAAAAACTATTCTATAAGAGCGTCTCTTAAATAAGTGCAAATATCAAATGATATTTTCCATTTACCATTTAGAAAAACTAGAAAATAACGGAGTTATTTAACGTTGAAAAGTTAAAAAATAATTCTTACATTTTGTGTAAGAATTATTTTAAGTCTCGAGAAATAACCCACATAGTGCTTTATTATTATTATTAAAAACTCATACCCAACTCATACCTACATCGAAAATATTAGTCATGAATTACACTACCGAAGAAAAAGTATTGATGATTAAATGGTATTATCAAGGAAATAGTTATCAAAAGGTGTCGGACATGTTTGCTGCTCTGTATCCGAATAGACCGATACCTGGAAAATCTAGAGTCGCAAGAAATATCCAGTGATTTTAGACCTAATAAATAATTGCAGATGTGAAGCAAGGCAGGGACAAAGAGATGCAAGAAATGATACCGACTTGGAAATTTTATTGTGCGTGGAAGAGAACGATGGAAAGATCAGCACAAGGAAACTTGAGGATGAAATAGGAATAGATCACACTACAGCGTTTCGAATTTTGAAACGACATAAATACTATTCCTTCAAATATGAAAAGCACCAAGAGCTAAGAGATGGGGACGAAATACGGCGGCAGGCGTTTTGTTTTGATATGATGGAAAGAGCAAACACGGACAGGGAATTTTTAAAAAACATATGTTTCACTGACGAATGCACGTTTACCTTAAATAATGAACCCAATATTCAAAATTATCGATATTGGAACAAAGAAAACCAACACAGGTTTGTCGAAACAAGGACGCAATATCCACAGAAAGTAAATGTTTGGGCAGGGATATTCGGACACAATATTATCGGGCCATTATTTCTTACGCGAAATTTAAATGCAGAATATTATTTGGAACTACTCGAAAATCATATTTTACCTGATTTACATGATGCCGCTATGGAAAACCAGGAAGTTTGGTACCAAATGGATGGCTGCCCGACACATAGTACCCTGGCTGTTCGGGAATATTTAGACAATAGTTTTAACGGAAATGTTATTGGCCTAAATCATACAGTAAATTGGCCAGCAAGGTCTCCTGATATTTCGCCAAATGATTTCTTTCTCTGGGGCCATTTAAAAAACAGGATATACAAGAATAAAAAATACCCAAATCTAGACGAGTTAAAAAATGCTATTTCTGCCGAATGCAATAGAAGTTTACCAACTAGCGAATGTAAGAAGAGAATTTTATGATCGCCTGGGTTATTGTCTAGCAGTCGATGGAGGAATATTTGAACATCTTCTTAAATCCTAAAGTTCTAACAATTTAATAGTACCTAAATTAATAAGTTATTGAATATTGTAATAATACTATAATTAACCTTGTAATTGATTACTTTATTTTACTTTAATTCATATTAATTTGTATTTATAAATACATCTTTAAGATTTCCGATGTAGGAATGAGTTTTCAATAATAATAAAGCACTAAATAGGTAAATTTCTGAAATGACAACTTCATTTGACAGTTATCTTTTACCTTGACTGGTGCTCATAAGTAAATACAGGGCCATAAGAAAGGAGAAATATTTAAAAAGAAATCGGCGATAACTCGTAAACGAGCTGATCAAAAATATCTAAAGTTATTCTTTTGAATGTGGGTTTTAGTGCTCTTCAATAAACCTAAATAGAATTATTCTCTAAAATAATTAGGGAAGCCAATAATGGACCCCATTAAAGTTTACATGGGATTTCCTATGTCCCGTCCGACGATGCGACACCCGGTTTTATTTATATGGTTTTGTAACAAATTGTTCGCTATTTTATGGCAAACGCTGAAGCTCTGCAAACCTTAATCAAGCCTTAATCCAAGCACGTGTGTTTGGAATTTTGGGTGTGGCTTAACACGACAGGATCGGGTTAAGCCTTGGGCAGATTTCTGAAATAAAATATAAATTTCCTATGACCTCTGAGAGCGACCCGAACAGTACAGCGTAACAGACTCTGAAGTGAAGATTTGCTGTTTTAGGTAAAGTGATAAAAAACTTAAAAATTAGTCACGTTCAAATATTCCCGCCATTTAAAGAACCAACAACGGCAACGTCGCTGGATGGGGTTGCACATTTAGCCGCTCCTCCGATTATCGACTGCTGGCGGGCGGCGGCTCTCAAAATGTTGTCATAATTTTTTAAAATTAAATATCTCGGTTATTATTAATTTATTTTAAAAATGGTAAAGGGAAAATATGTTTCTTTTGGCCAGATCTACCATCCCTTAAAATACTTGCACTTATTTCTGGGACACCTTGTTATCCTGCTCATAATTCATACTTGGGAATTAAAACGGGAGTTTTCTCGTAAAACGTCTTCAATTCCTGAGGACTTCTGGCGTAAAACGGCGCTTTCCCAGTCAGAGCCTGGTAAACGATCGTTCCAACACTCCACAGATCGGCTTTGGATTCATAAGGGAGAGACATGATCACTTCCGGCGCCTTAATGTTCCAAAAAATAATAAAAAAAAATATTTAACAGATTTGACGCATATTTTTTATGTATTTTTTCTCTCACCATGTACATGGGACTACCGCATAAAGTAGCTGCCATCACGCCATCTTGCAGGAACCTGGCGAATCCAAAATCAGCTGCAAAAAAATATTTGATTTTAAAGCTTCATTCAGAACCATTTAATTCAGAAATTATTTAACTTTTTCTACTAATTGAAGATAAATAAAATCTTAATTCGGTTCAAGTAAAATACACGTTTTTTCGTCTATACACAGTGTTTTAGGTGATACGTTTTGACTGACAGGCAAAACGTTAAGCGTAGACGTAGCTTTAATCGTTTTTTTGACTACCTACTAAATAAACTAAGCCTGTTTTATCTATTTATTTTATTAAGTGTAAGTATAAATTATGATAATTAAGATAAATATACGGTTTAACGTCAAATTTTGATGAATAACCCAATAAATTGTGTAATATGATCAATATCTGGTAGTTTTAAGCTACGAAACAAAATAATTTGCAAGAAAAACCATGTGATTTCTGTTAATTCACGTGAAGGTTATCTCCTAAAAAATATATTAAATAAATCATTTCATTTCGTGAAAGAGATATAATTTTATTAAATGCTTTGTTAAAAAAATATTGTCTTTCCAAAAATTAGTTTGTTAAAAAATACCCAAGTAACAAAATTCAGACTTCCGACTAGTTTTGACTATGCGCAACGTTGAAATTGGTACTTTTCCCTGCCCTAGGCATACCCAAACCTCAAATTACGTAGCCAAAACGTCGCTACGACGTTGCATTTAAACAGTTGTATATTTTGACCCTTAGCAACGTTGGTAAACGTTGTAGGGCACAACGTTGTTAGAAGTGGGGTTTTATACCGTTGTCATTACGTCGCTAGAAGGCATGTTTATTGTACTACAGAATAACAAACGTAGTACAACGTTGTGCAACGTACTTTTAAATTACGAGTGTAAGTACATACTAACTACAACGTAATACAACGTTTCATTAAACGACCCAAAGCAACTTCAAAATTATAACCAATTACTAAGTTGTAAACTATAATTTTAAAATTAAAACTAGGAAATAAAAAAGGGGTTTTGTCATATTTCGAAGTATCATGGTCACTTTCAACAGTAAACTAATCTTCGTTGATGAATTTCAATTGCCGACATCTCAAAACTTTGCAGATTTGTCGAAGGTAAATTCACCTAGTTATTTCTTAATGGAGCATAATATAATCCATTTCTAATTCATACATCATTCATTTTGGTTTCCCCATGGTTGAATATAGTAATATTTGACGACGAATATTTTTAATTTAACTTTTAGCACACGACGTACTACGTCACCTCAAACAACGTCGCCAACGTTGGCGACGTTGTAGCGACCCTAAAGACATCCACCGTTTTGGTGCAAATATGGGCCGTTAAGACGTCCGTCGCTTCGACGTTGTCCGGCAACGTTGGGTTGCTCCTGGCGACGTTGTGATTACGTTGAGCAACGTAATTTTGCTACTTGGGTATCTTTTACAATTTATTTGGTACTTTGAAACTTTACAGCCATTACTCTAGATCTCTCTAGATCTCGTTCTGAAACAGTAATGTGCAAAAAATCTCCGATCTAGATATTTTAGTTCTCTAGAAACTTCTAATGAACGCTCAGCCTGGGACACCCTGTATATGACTAAATGCAATATTGTTACGAAAATTATTCTATTTCATTATTGGATCAAAATTTACCGATTTTTAATTTAATTTCTGTCGGAGGCGGATACTTTTTTGGTCCGAGTGGCAATCCGGGGTAACTCAGAAGAATGTTCTGAGGCTTCAAATCCCTGTGAACGATTCCCTTGGCGTGCAGGGCCTTCATAGCACCAGCTGCAGATCAAAAAAAAAGAAAGACTGTTAAGGCTGTAGTAGATACACACACACCGGAAAAATCTAGGGATATAATTTTATTAAAGTTAAAAATAAATGTTTTGAATAAACAACCACATATTTGTAGGCCGATTCTTCTACTTCGATTGAAACGAAGTAGTCACACTAGTTATTTCTAAATTTGGGATATTTGCAGAAGTGTTTGTGCATTTTTTGTCAAATGTATAAAAAGCACCTAGCATCAAATGTGGGAATTTAACCTGTACTGGCTATGTTTTTATGATAACTGGCCAGAATTCATTCAGATAACTCTGTTTAGTATTAAACGACATTATGGAGCGTAGACATCTTAACAGAGACCAAATGCTAAGGGCCATGGGTATGCTCGAAGCTGGAATGCGCCAAATCGACGTAGCTAGAGCGTTAAATACAACGCAAAGTGTAATATCGCGATTAAGTGCACGCTACCGTGAAAGTGGTGATGTTGCTGAAAGGTACACAGGGCGACATCGCATTACTACCCCTCAGCAAGATCATTTTTTACAATTAAATGCTCGACGCCGACCGACTCTTACAGCACCAGAGCTTAGTTTAATTCTCCAGGAAACACATAATGTAACCGTTAGTCCTGACACTGTTCGCAATAGATTAAGGGAGGTCAACTTAAGAAGCAGACGCCCCTGGAGAGCTCAACCCTTAACGAGAGGAAATCGAGAGGTACGATATTTGTGGGCTCAAGATCATGTTCAGTGGTCGAATGAACAATGGGCCAATGTTCTCTTCACGGATGAGTCACGCTTTGGAATTCATCCGGATTCGAGAAGGCTTAGGGTATGGGGAGAACCGGGAAATTTTATTCGGTTGGATCATGTTCAGGAAGTGCACCCTTATCAAGGTGGAACAGTTATGGTCTGGGGAGGAGTCCAGTTAGGCCGAAAAACTGATCTCGTTTATCTTGAAAGGTTTCTAATAGGAATCACATATCGTGATTTAATTCTTGAGCCTGTCGTGTTACCATATGCCAATGATTTTGGGAGAAACTTCATTCTCATGCATGACAATGCACGGCCTCATACAGCCAGAGTGGTAAGTGAGTTTATCAATGATCATCAATTAAACATCTTACCCTGGCCGGCACAATCTCCTGACCTCAACCCCATCGAGCACGTATGGGACGCGGTCCAAAGAAGAATTTTGAGAATGGGTATGCCTCGTGAAACTCGTAGAGATCTGGTTCGGGCCGTGAATGCAGCGTGGCAGGCTGTACCTCAAGAAGAGATCGACAACCTGATCAGGAGCATGGAGAGACGATGTAGGGCTGTAATGAACAGTAGAGGAGGCTATACCCTTTATTAAGTAAAAATGGTTTTATCTTTTTTTTTAATTCACAGTTTAGAATAAAAAAAAATGTGTGTATTTTTTTGAGTTCAATAAAAATCAAGGTAAATTTGAAAAATTCGGTAAATTTCGCATTTTTATTTCCAATCCGTCCTGTAAACTATTTGTTTGTTTTAATTTTATTATATCAGAAATACAAATAATAAAATTACTGACGATGGCTGGATAAAATTGTAATATCCCTAGACTTTTCCGGTGTGTGTAGTTGACGTATGATATGTCATTCTATTCAGAGTGTCATTTTCTATCGAATAAAGTAAAAATATACCGAGGGTGTCATTTAAAAATCAAAAGATGTAGTCATTTCCGGTGAAACAGGAAGTAACAAAAAACAATTGAATATGTCAATCAATCCTAATTTATTTCATATACTAAAATACCAAAATTCGTTTTTTTACCTAAAAAAATAAAATAGTTATAAGCTAAAAAAAGTTTCTTTCTCTTTTGAGACGCACCCGGTATACTGATAAATTATTGGTTGCATTGAAAAAATCTATTTTAAGATAAGGATAATAAACAGACTAAATTTTGGAAAATACATAAATGCTGTAGTTCCAGGTAGACATATTTTCATTAAAAATCGCAAAACAACTAAGGCAGGTAAAAATTCGTCATTATAATTCTAAAAAATTATGTATCAAGGTTTTTACGTAGCCTTGTTTTAGAAATTATTTATTAATGTATAATATTTAAGTAACTAATTATACTAAAAATAAATCAAAATGTTTATAAAACATTCACATTACAGGTTAGATAAAAAGAAACAATAAAAAATCAGGAAAAAAATGGTTTATAAAGAGGAATATCTATCTATAAGTTGCATACTTACCCAACTGATTTAAAAACAGACGTATTGTGTCTTCACTTAAGCTGCCTTTAGCTGAAATACAAAAAATAACAATTTGTTATATTAAGTTAAAATAGAAGTTCATTTTACCTGTCAAATAATCAGCTAAATCGCCACCACTGCAAAACTGAAAAAAAAAAGAAATAAAAATAAGTATAATCAATGCAAAAAGAATTATATATAAAATATAGGTACGCATATCAATTTATTTTTATCAAAAAATAACTTAACTATACTAAATATTTTTATTGTAAAAATATTAACACCCTGTAGTTAAAATTAATTATATTTATGAGTCATATTATTCACCTTAGATTGCAGTTTTAATAGAAAAATGATTGCCCAGAATTGATAAGACTTTTTTTGGATAATAAAATTGATTTTAGAGTGCCTTTTAACTATCACTATATTAAAGAATCTATTAATATATACAGGGCGTTTCATAAATAAGTGCGAGTATTTTAAGGGTTGGTAGATCTGAACAAAAGCAACATATTTTCTATTTAGCAATTTTAAAATAAATCGAAAATATCCGAGTTTTTAACTTTAAAAATGATATTTAAAATAACTGTGTACTTATTAAACGCACAAATATGCAGAATATGAGTCGGGTAGGAGGTGGCAACATTGCAAGGTTTCGATACAAGGTCAAGAAATTTAAGGAGAATGAACCTGCGGCAATAAAAAGTTTTTTTTTATTTCATTGAACATGTCAAAGTAATGCAAAAATTCGATTTTTTTACAAAAAAGTACCAGTTAAAGTACTTGCACTTAGAAGAAGACCCCATGTATTAAATTTTATTGTTTAGCTATGAGAAACAAAAATTAATTAATTACATTAATAAAGATGCATTTGTTCTTAGAATTATTTATTATTAGACAAGAGACAAATATTTGCTTTTAATTATCAAACAATAAATATAATTAATAACAAACATACTTCAAAATGTTATTAATAATTAAATCAAACATTTTAATAACTATTTAAATTTTTTCTTATGAATTTAAAGGTTTTGAATTTCGCAAAAAATTAAAACTAATTAGATCATTTTGTTTTACAACCTTATTTATATATAGAAATTTGATTATTTAAGAATAAATATCCTGTATAAAAAGGTATGGAAAATCGTATTTAAGATATTACTCATGTATAAATATTGATTCTCTCAATATTATTCATCTAAAAATACGAGATAAGGCAAGTATCAATCACGAGACCCAAGGTATGGCTGTAAATAATAATAAAGAATTTATAAGAAAATATATATATAATACAAACTGGGTCACTCTGTATGTAATTAGCAATGTAAGTTAGTTTTTAAATTATCCAGTTGTATTTGTATTTTACTAAGAGTGAGTCCCAGGTGGGACCCTCCACTGAGGCCGCGAGAGCCTATTGTGGCTCAGTTTCTACAAGCTCTTTAATAGAAAAAGAGCATTAAAGTTCGCCCTCAAGACCCAGCCTTTTAACATAGGCCGTTATGTCCGAGGGTGATATGTCTTCTAGGTCTGATAAGTCTAGCGTGGGTTTGCCAAACACCTCAAACCTGGTCCTGCCCCCAGCGGGGCAGGTACACATAACGTGCTTCATTGTTTCGTCATCTTCCATACAGAGTCGGCATTCGGCGTCTTCCACCAGTCCCATCCTCTGTAGGTGTGATCTCAGCCGGCAGTGGCCCGTGTATACTGCAGTAAGCGTACGCGCTCCGTTCCTACCAGCCTTTAGGAGTTCATCTGTTCTACGTTTGGATGGCCCTGCTAGGATTGTTTTGGCATGTTCCATTCCGGGACTGACATGCCAGTCCCGAAGCGTCACACCCCTAACCCATTCACAGAGCCTGTCTCTTGCGAGCCTGCACCAGATTTGGCGAGGGAATCAGCACATTCATTTCCCTCTAGGCCGACATGTCCCGGTATCCATATTAACGACACTTTGTTTCCATCTCCTAATATATTGAGTAGTTTCTTACAATGAAGAATCGTCCTGGACGTACTTTTCGTTGCCTCAAGTGCTTTCAACGCGGCTTGACTATCCGAAAATATGCTTATTGTTTTCCCGGTGTATTGCTGTTCTACCAGCAGTTGCACACAGGTTTCAATCGCATATAGCTCAGCTTGGAAAATAGTGGTGTGTTTTCCAAGACTCTGGTAGATCTCAGTCTTTGGACTGCTGCAGTAAATTCCTGCGCCAGATCCTTTATCGTTTTTGGATCCGTCCGTGTATCGGAAACAGCACGTTGTAGGTGCGCGTCAAAAGTTGGATTGGTGGTGTGAGATCCGAGACCATTCCCAGAATCTCATCCGAAAGCTTGCCTCTTGCTCGACTAGTGTGTCAAAAAAATTTTTTTTTGTACAAATTTAACCTTAATTAATTTTTTAATTTGAAGAATAACCCATTTTGTGTTTTGCGATGTTTTGTTATGATTTTTATAAATAAATATTTCAGTTTTTCTTATTTTATAAAATATTTCATATATTTCCAATATTTCCATATATTTCCAATGTTTCAAGAAATATTTCCGAAAATATATTTCTGGAAATTTTACATCACTAGGTATAATCCTTTATCTTTAATTTCCTTCTTCATTTGTGTAAAAATAAAAAAAAACAACGCTTTATTGTACAAAAAGCCAAAACAGCTTCATCGACAAAGCAAAACAAAAAAAGCACAAAAACAAATATACAAATAATACAAAAAATGTCATACAATACAAATCAATTCAAAAAAAAAAAAATTACGTCATAAAATTACAAATAAAACATATATGGACATTGCAGAACACAGGCGTATCTAGAAAATTTTACCAAAGGAAAACTGTAAATGGATAAAATCATGTTATAATAACATAAAATCAAGAGTTATAAAATATTAAATACTAGACCTTTAACCAGTGTGTGAGATGATCAAAATATTAAAATTAAAATTCTAAATTGTTCATGATTAAACATCAACAAAAAAGTCGTTTACCGCATATAGGGCTCTCTCCAGTAAGTATGATTTCAGAGCTTTGCGAAATGCGGGAAAGAATGAAAGTGACTTGATATTCGAAGGCAAATGATTGTACATTTTCTTGGCATTGTACAGTATTGAGCCCTTAACTAGTTCTGAGCTCGGGGTTGGCAGATAAATATCGTGCTCCGCATTCCTAAGTGGATAGTTGTGAGAAGGCCTTTCCGGAATAGAGAATATGTGCTTGCGGATTAAGCAAACGGATTCAAAAATGAATAAGGAAGGAAGAGTCAGTATTTTGAAATTTTTAAAGAAATTCTGGCAGTGAGTTCTACTGTTTAGTCCCAATAAGTATCGAACTGCTCTCTTTTGAAGTTTGAAAATACGATCAAATTTTGTCGCGCAGCAAGTACCCCAGAATGGAAGGGCATAACGAAGATGCGACTCAAAAAGGGCATAATAGACCATTCTAGAGGTTGATGAGTTAAGTTCCTTAGACACTGATCTTAGCGCAAAACAGGCAGAGCTTAGTTTCTTTGATAAGGCTTCGATGTGCAAGTCCCATTTTAAAGAGTTGTCCACAACAAGTCCTAAGAATCCACAGAGTCCACGACGTCAATAGTGGTGTTATTAAGTACAAAAGGTTGTATAGTACTTTATATGACAAAACTTTTAGTTTTTGAAAGGTTGAGGCATAGAAGATTAGAATCGCACCAAGATTTAATGGTGCGTAGGTCACTGGATATAGTATCATATAGTGCCGTAACATCTGGGCCGCTCCAAGTGAAACTAGTATCGTCCGCAAAGAGGCAGATTTTACCGCTAATGTCTAGATTCGCAATGTCGTTGATAAACACCAGAAATAAAATAGGGCCAAGTACTGAACCCTGAGGGACACCACATTCTATAGGCTTACAAGAAGACATAGACGTATCAATCCTCACAAGCTGCCTTCTGTTGCCAAGATACGACTTAAGCCATTCGAGCGGCACTCCCCTGAATCCATAGTTTTGCAATTTGTTAATTAAGATATTATGATTTACACAGTCGAAAGCCTTAGAGAAATCACAGAAAATTGTAGCTGTAGAGTGATGGTTATTCAGGCTAGAGTATACATTATTAAAAAGGTCGAACATAGCATCATTTGTGCAACTGTTACTTAGAAATCCAAATTGATGGGTAGAAAGAATTTTATATTTAAGGAGAAAAGATAGAAGCTTTTTTTTTAACCAATCTTTCAATGATCTTAGATAATGTGGGCAGGAGAGCAATTGGGCGATAGTTCGAAGCTTGATCTTTATCTCCTCCTTTATGCAGAGGAATAATTATTGCTGTCTTAAGGCAGTTTGGAAAAACTCCTTTTTGGAATGACTCATTAATTAAAGTAGTAAGATAGATTAATGTGCATTCCGGAAGTTCAGAGAACATTTTGAGAGTAAGCCCATCAGTCCCCAGATGAGAATTTATTTTTAATACTTTTAATTGTACTACGGAGCTCATCTAATGCTACGGGCGTGAAGAAGAAACTGTGTAAATTCTCATTTGCTTTAGGATACCTAGCCAATTTAACATAAAACGTTAAATGCCGAACGCTTATTTTGCTACTTTTTCGGACTGGTGAAATGGACTGGTAAGGCCAACTGGCTGTAAGAGCCATTAAAAAAAAAAGAAGAGTCGAACGATTTCTAGAGCTTGACCTCGCCAAAATTATTATCGATTGTCCTGCCTCGGCCTTCTTTGACACCGTTTTTTTTAGAACGTATGGTATGTCTGAGTGTATTAGGCGCCTACTCTTAAGAGTTAAAAAAATGTAATAAATTATTAAATATCATCTAGTAATAATGTAATAATCAAAAATATCGTATAGAGTGAGATATTCGGCACTCATTATCTTGATGTAGGGATCATTTCGGTAAAAGGTGTCAGAATTATAAGCGGTTATCTTATCTTATCTGGGGTACTGTAAACGTAGGTACTATTATTATCAGCAAGTATTTCGCACGGCTCACTTCACATTCTTTTTCCCGTGGATTACGCCCAAAAAGAATAGTGTTTTTCAAGGGTAGAACATCATAAAAATCCATTTTACAGACATTTCCCGAAAAATGGCTTTGTTCAAAATGAGTTTAGTGTTCGTGCTAGTGTTTTGTGGGATTGCGTAAGTATTTTGTAACGAAGAAATATATTTTTAGTATTTGTGGTGCACAAGATATACGTTGCGATAACGGATAATTTTGAAACGAATGACTGTATTTAATTTTCCCTGATAAGATACCTGAATAAAATTGTGTGCATGTGTATTTCCTATAAAATTTTCAAAAATTAACTTAGTAACTAATGTCAATTCGACGTCAAATAAGTTCAAGATCACCCTGTCAAATTTGTTTGAAAGATTAGTCATGTTTTTCTTCAAATATTTTGTGTCATGTTACACATAAATGTTTGATCAAACATCTTTGTTCCATTTGTTTGACAAGAAACGTATGTAAAACGTGTCAAAGATTTTTTTTATGTTTCTTGAAGTTATTTATTTACATATCCCAGATAAAAAACAAACAAGATTTTGGTATGGTAGTATATGACATAATCAGAATTGATTGACGTATTCAATAGTTTTCGGTCACTTCCTGTTTCACCGGAAATGACTACAACTTTTGATTTTTTAATAGCAGGTACTCTGTGACATTCTGAATAGAATGATATATCTTATGTTTATCTTCGTTTGACATTTTCAATTAAAAAAAAATGTATTTTAAAATTCAATCTGGAGTGCTATGGTTGTGTTAAAACCACTAATTTTTAATCAAGGAGCTTTGGAAAAATATATATGATCGTATAATCACAGTTTAAAGAATATAAATATATCAGTTGACCCACTCTAAGGAATTCTATTGTTACTTCAAAGGCGGCCCGTGGCCCTTCGAGGTGACAAAAAATTTGTACGTTTACCGGGTGCAGCGGAAGTGCTATTTTATCAGACAGAACGCTGGCCGTATACGAGGGATCAACTAAAAATACTAAGGAATTTTAATATAGCAAGTAGAAAAATAAAAATACAGTACTAGTTTTATAGATTAACAGTTTTAGGCGTCTTTAATAATTGATCAATATTTATTAGTATTTAGTATTAAATATACCTACATACCTAACTCTTTGTAATATGGAATTGTTAATAGGGTAATTATTATTAATAATTATTATGGAAACCCCATATGAAAAATGTATACTAAATAAATATAATAAGCTAATTTTTTTAATATATATAATAATAATTTGCATATTTCTTAAATTATAGCATGTTTTGCTTTATAGATGTTTGCATTTTACTTTAATTACCTCCCGGAAAGCCTAAATTTTATCGTAAGGTAATAAAAGTACCTTTGCATACAACTTGTGTTGCCATCGTCAATTTTTTTTGAATTTTTTCTAAATTTTATGATTATCATGAACAGTAATTATGACTGTTAGTAGTTAATTGTGTAATAAATTTTACTGTTCGATAAAATTTAGTAAAAACTAAAAAAAATGACTATGGCAAGACAAGTTGTATCCAAGTACTTTTTATAACCTTTTAATAAAAAGGTAGATAATTCAAGTTAAATGCAAACAGCCAAAAAGCAAAACATGCTATAACTTAAAAAATATGCAAATATAATTTATTACAGTATTTACTACTAATTGAAGAGCACACGGGAAAAATAATGAAAGTACCAAAAAGCTACACCTTTTGGTACCTAAATAAACGGGAATATCGATAACGGCCACATAGAAACAGGCATTTAAAAATGGGAAAAACGATATAAACTCGGATATAAAAGTCTATGCGTAATTTCAATTTAAAAAAACGGTTTCCTGAACATTTATCATTTCTGGATACTCATCGTTTTTCCCATGTGCTCGTCAATTGTTATATTTACTGTTACATAAAATTTAGTAAAAACTATAAAAAACTTGTCAATAGCAGAAGAAGTTGTATGCACGTATTTTTATTACCTGACGATAAAATTTGGACTTTCCAGGTAGGTAGTTAAAGTTAAATACAAACATCTAAAAAGTAAAACATGCTATTTAAAAAAATGCAAATATATTAAATAATAATTTAATATGCACTTTGCAAACCGGTAAATACTGCAAAATCCAAAACATAATAGTAAAGTATCTACTACTACTACTCTAAAATATCTACTAAAATAATAAACTAATTGTTAAAAATAAATATTTTGTGCATATTTCCAGTAAAATCTTTTCTTAATTTATATGTATATTTTTAAAACCATTTATTCATAGTTAGGTTTCAATAATTATAATATATTTAATATGTCTAATACTTTAATTATTATATACTTAATATCCTATACTATATAAACACATACCTTCCTTCATCTTTTGGGCACCTAAAGAACGATATATTGTCTGTCATTCTACTTTCACAACCATCCACTGCACAAATATTTCTAGCAGACATTTTATTCACAATTCGAACAAAACAACGAAAACACTATTTTTGGTTCACCCTGTGCATCGGGCCGAAAACAAAACTAAAATAAACTTGGAACGCTGTGTACACGTCGAGCAACGGATGTAGACTGACCCAAGTCTACAAGACAGACGGGGAGCGGCGGGAGGAATTTTGATACGGGCGAAGAGTAGGTCAACTGATATATTTATATTCTTTAAACTGTGGTATAATGTTTTTCGTAGCTTTTCCTGGCAGGTTAAAAGATGCCCTAATCTAATCCTAATGGAATGAGGGTAACTCATTAACATATTTGGAAAAAAGCATTTTTTCCAAATAATTTGGTACCACACACTTGGTATTGTGAGACAAATTGTTGTTAAGAACACAGCGATTACAATCGTAGATTAAAATTTAAAATACTATTTTTTAAGTAAAAATTTCAAAAAAGTTGACACACATGTCAATCAGAATATCATTTTTTATCAAATAAAGTAAAAAAATATCGAGGGTATCATTTAAAAATCAAAAGTTGTAGTCATTTCCGGTGAAACAGGAAGTGACCGAAATTATTTGAATACGTCAATCAATCCTGGTTTATGTCATACACTAACATACCAAATCTCAGTTTTCTATCTGAAAAAATAAAAAAGTTATAGGGGGTGGGCCATTTCGGAAAAACACTCGGTATAGAATATGGTTTTGTGGAGGTTCAGTGATCCCAGTCCTAGCCACTGTGTACAGTCAATATAATAAAAGAATTTAAATAAAAATTATGTTTACATGTCTGGTACGGATGGTAGAGTATTTTTAGCAAAAGCCAAATTATACAGGGTGTCATTCTAATAATTTAAAGTTTTAGTTTTTTAATATAGATTTTTCTTTCTTTAGATTCTCCAAAGCACAAGATTTGGAACTTCTTGACCAAGTAAGTTACCCAAATTCTTTTTAGATCTTGTATGCATTACCTATATTTTATTTTTTTAAATTAATCGCACATTTCACTAGAAAAATTACGATAAAACAGTTCCTGTTGAACCTTTGGCACAAAAACATTTCAAATTTATTATTTCAGACTAATAACTATCCAGTCAACAGGTATATTTTTTGTCAATTATGACATGTATTGACTATTTCGATTCCAAATAGCTTAAGAACCATTACTCCTAGCGATTTTTACCAAGAGATCTTTTTTATACAAAAAAATGACAGAAATTATTTGGAAAAAACCGAAACAAAAACTAAATTTTTGCACACTGAACTTAAACATTTTTATCCGTAAAATGAGTTTCCAGATTACAACTCGGACCACCCTGTATATAGCATTAATATATTGTTTTATATTATAAAGGAATTCAACATATGGGCCCCCGAAGAACCCGAGGCAGCTTACGAAGCTCAACTAGCCCTACAAACGCTTTGCGAAAACTACAACTTTGTTGTTGACAGTCGACAAATTGACTGTTCAAACATCCTACTGACAGCTCGACCGAAAGATGCCGAATATGTGCATTCGATCAGCAGAAGAGACGCTGAAGAGCCTGAAGAAGGATCTGGCAATGGTAAGAATTCTTTCTCAAATATTTCTTAATTTTAGACAAATATTTTTTCTGTAGTTTTTAAACTATAATAATTATTTTTTTTTTATATTTCATATAAGAACCTGCCATAGAAAGTGAAGCTCAACCTGAATCAAACCAAAACGGTAAGTTTTATAAAATAAAAACTATTATAAAAACTATACAGGGTGTCTAAATAAGTGCAAGTATTTTAACTGGTAGTATGAGGTTTTTTTGTGAAAAAAAAATGTTGAAAATTTTATACTTATTTTCTGGGAAATTTTAAAAAACTTTTTAGTGCCACTTTCTTATTCACCAGAGATTTCTCTACGGTGTATCTAAACCTTGCAGTGTTGCCACCGTCTATATTATCCATATTCAACATATTTGTATCCACTGTAATTTTAAATTTGTACACAAAAAATTACGAGTAATAATTCTAATCATATCAGTGTCTATTACTAACAATTCTAGAAATAATAAATATAAAGTTCACTAGTAAAACCCCTATTCTACAGGGTATCTCTTAAATAAGTTTTTTTAAGGATCAGTAAACTGATGATCAAAAGAAAAACATATTTTCTATTTACCATTTTTTAAAAAAAATTAACGTAACTAAGTTATTTCACTTTGAAAATTAAAAAAAAATAATGCTCACATTTTGAGAACCGCTGGTATTAACCGACAATCAAGCGACTGTCAACTTATTCGACGCCCTGCGTTGCCACATAATCAAGAAAGTATATATTTGGCTGAAAATACTTCGTAATATAGCTACTATAAGAAAATCTGCCATATTCTTTCAGTTTAGTTGTAAATAACTGTAAAATGTATGAGTGTATGTTAAAAAATAAATACAGCGCAATTTTCTAGAACTATTACTAGTATGTGCCACTGGTATAATAATTAAAATTAATTCTCTCTCTCATAATTTATTGTGTAGAAAATTAAAATTACTGTAGTATTATAAAGACTCAAAATTTACAGAATGTGGGTAGCGTAGGATGTGGCAACATTGTAAAGCTACGATACACCGTCAAGAAATTTCGGGAAAATGAACCTGCGGCACTAAAAAGTTTTTTTTAGTTTCGTAATGTTTTTTTTGCAAAACAAACTCTTATTTAAGGGACACCCAGTATAAAAATGAATTAATACCTAGAAAATCAATAGCATTCTATCATAAACAAATATTTATACTTCCAGCTTAAAAAAATAGACCAACACTGATTTTGCCTCATCTTCAAAATTATTTAAATAATCTTTTAGTAAATTTTAAATGCCTATAATCTGTTATTGTCATACTTTAATACATTTTTAATTGGTAGAAGCCGAAAAATCAGAGGAGGCTGCTGTTGGAGGAAGTATACTTTCAGCTAGAGAACCAAGTCCAGATGCACCACATGAAGACAACGCAAATGGTATGAATACATTACAAACTTTATTAGTCTCGTGGTTTAATTTAATTCTTCATCGCAGATACTGGCGCGGTAGAGGACGAGGAAGAACCCAAGAACCCAGATGTTGCTCCTGAAGCAAGCCAAAACAGTAAGAAGAATTATATTCACAAAATATACACGTATAAATAAATAACGTTAACATTTTTTTAGACACTGCAAAGCCAGAAGAAGTACCCAACGTTGAAGCTGAAGAGAAACCACAGGAACAATATGAAGATAAAGTTGAAGAACCTGCTCCAGAAGAAAATGAAGATAATAAAAACGGTAAGATATTACTTTAACATTTTTTTTAGTAGAAAATCAACTGTGAATGAAAAGCATTATACAGGGTGTCCGGAATTAATGCAACAAAATTTGGTCATAGATTCTTGAAAAAAAAAGGTGACCCGTATTTTTTATTTTTTTTTTTAATATCTCAGAGCCGAAAATCACTAAATTTGGTACACGTTGTTTCACCATAAAATGACATTTTTTGATGCCCCTATATACAGGTCACCTATTTTTTTCAAGAATGTATGACCAAATTTTGTTGCACTAATTTCCTGACACCCTGTACATTAATTAATTACCACAATATTAACAGGGTATGTAACCTTTATGCAACTAATACTACATATAACAAATCCCCTTTTTTATTTGTTTAAATTCAACCACAGACTAATAATATAAATATACAAGCTTGCAGTGCAAAACAAAAGTAATATAGAGATTAAGAAATTATACCGTGGACAAATTTGCGGTGGACAGGCAGTTCTAAAATTTTTTTCTGAAATATACAGGAAAATTTACAAGAAAATGCACGATTTTGTCTGTGCCAAAAAAAAGGTCATAGACGTGTTCCTGGGGTCGACATATATATCACCCCTATTTACATTTCTTTAAGACTCACCCTGTATTGTAACTTAAATTAATCAAACATTTTCAGTAGAAGAAAATCCAGAAAAACCAGAAGAACCCGTACAAGAAACCGAAGATAGTAAAAACGGTAAGATATTTTGAACTCTTCAATTAGACTGAATAAAATAATTACTAAATTAACTTCAGATGAGAGTGAAGTAAAAGAACAGAACAAAGAAGACTCTGAAGCAGCTGCAGCAGAAAAAGAAGCTGCAAAAGCCGAAGCCATCCCTGTAAATACAGCTTCTGGCAACAACCAGGAAGGCTCAGTTGAAAAAGGTACAGTGTACAGGTGAATTAATACGAACTCTGAACCTTTGATACTCAATATTCTGTTTCAGTACTACCCAGCGACCTTGCTGAAGTAAACGGTACCCACACTAAAGAAGACATCATTGAAGAACAATCCGCCAATGCAGCTCTTTTAAAACCTGTACAAGAAACCCCTTCAAATGGAGTAGAAGTCAGTGAAAGTGAAAAGGCAGTAAGAAAGTTAGCAGAAAAAGCAAACGGTAAGAAAAATCCATGTTTTTTTACTATAATCATATCACTAAACAATTATTTCTTTACAGAGGAAGTTCAAAAAGATTCAAACGCCCCAAACACTGGGGAAAGTACTGTACAAAGAGGCAGTAAAAGCACAGCAGTCCTCCTGGTCTTGCTGGTCGTCGTTTTGGTAATTGGAGCGGCTATTTTTATACGTAAATACACGGGAAGCAAAAATAAAAATAAAGAACCGGTAACGACAAACGGAAAGAACGGAGACATCGAACAAGGACAAGAATTGAAGCCCCTGATGAAAGATGGAACTAAAGCAAGCCCAGTGAAAGAATACTCTGAAAATTCCAAAGGAACCAAATATTAATAAACCTAACTTCGATCATTATCGTGTATATAAATAGCGTTAAGATTTAAAATACATTTAAAATTATTTATAGATTTTTTTAAGAGGTACAATAATAAAGTTAAATTATTTACTATAACAGGCAGTTTTAATTACCCAAAAAGAGCAAAATAATAATTTTGTCAAATACTTTCAAAGAGATAAATCATAAAGAAGGCCACAGACAAAAATAACTGTGCCAATTAAATTATCAGATCAGATAGTACAAAATTACTTACTTCCATCACTAAATACACACTATTATCCTTGTCTTGGCAGTCCAGCAAAGCGACAACGTGTTCATGATGCAACGCAGTCAATTCCTAAACAAGAATAAATACGTTAATAACAAATTATTAGTTGTAATTAAGACAATTTATATACGAACCTGGAGAATCTTAACTTCCTTGGCTAGTAGATTCTGCGATTTTGCCAGATTCTTCTTAGCTATACACTTGATAGCTACCGCAAAGTTTTTATTCTAAAATAATAAATATATAAGCGTGAAATTATGGAATAATTAAGTTTTATTGTTACCTTTCTGTGCCTTCCTTTGTACACAACAGCAAAGGCTCCATGACCCAAAATATCTTTAGGGGCATATTCGAAGTCCTCTATAATCTCCATTTTAGTGTAGTTTTGTACAAATACCTCGCAAATTCACGTAGAATAAATAAACGAACTTATTTAGAATCAACAATGTGCGCGATTAGTTAAAAATACCTTGGAAATGTTACATTTTAAATTTCACGATACCACAAATTCGCCTTCCATGTTTAATCTACATACTGTACTTCTAGACGAAATTAATAAAGATTTTAAACATTTATGATATCTACCACGGCTTACGGAGACTGGCAATCGCGTTTAAAAACCAAAAAAAAACTAAACACGAGCAGACATTTTTTTATTGATTATATCGGAAACGTCAAACGCGTCAGCTGAAAACAAAAATAAATAAAGGAATATTTCTCGTGGAAGAAACCTGTAATTATGATAAATTCACAGATATAGCGGTATGAACGAATTTCAAAAATGTTCTTAACTTTCTTATTTCCTTTTACGGCGGCCATTGGGGTTATGTCTACAGGGAACAGGGAGAGGATAATAAATAATTAACAGCTAATAATTTGTTTTTTATTCATTTTTAATTTCATGTTCATTCTGTCTACCTCTACATCTCTGGATAAACTGTGGCACTGAATAGATGACACTGATCTGTGGCGGTAACCATAGATTGCATAGATTTATTTACTAAATTGAAACATCAATTTTTTGAAATTTTAAAATTTCAAATAAAAAAAGTTTATATCAACCTAAATCGGTAAGTTTCTAGCTAATTAGTATTTATTCTGTTACAATTAAATTGCTTATGATGCTATTATCAAACAGGAAAACATTCCTTTTATCGGCATTTTTTTTGGGGTACGTTCAAAATAAATAAAAAATCAAATATTTACAAATCTCAGAACTTCGTTTTAGATTTACTAGAAGACTTTGTACGGCATCCTCACCGAGCATGTCTAGCGAAGACCCAAAATACCAGTTACAAAACAGTTCTCTTCATTCTGCCGTTTACGTGACAACTCCTAACGAAGAAGTAGCAAAGAAAATCGCTCATGGATTAGTTAAAGAAAAACTAGCTGCCTGCGTTAGTATTATACCGAAAATAACATCTATCTACGAGTGGAACAACGAAATTAACGAAGACTCCGAAGCTCTGTTGATGATCAAAACTAGAACATCGAAAGTCGATGATTTAATACCTTATGTGAAGGCAAACCATCCGTATACTGTGTGTGAAGTTATTTCCGTACCTATTATGAAAGGCAGTAAAGATTATTTGGACTGGATAGATAAAATAGTACCAGAAAAGTAAATTCTTAGATTTAAGTTCGATATTGTGCTATTATAGGTAGTTGTCAAGGCTACAGTTTTTAAAATACAAACATATTTCATTCTGTTGGTAGTTTTTCTGTTAAAATGCCACTTTTTGGTAATAAATTTTCACCCAAAAAAACTCCACTGAGGAAAAGTAGTGTCAGTTTAAAAAGTAATCATTTAGATGAACTAGTTGATGATGAAAAACGTATTAAACTTAATTTAAGTGACCAAAAGTTAATTTTTGTCAATGGTGAATGGAGACCCAGTAAGTACAAACAGTATGTCTCAAAAAATAAGTGCAAATAAAACGTATATTTTTTTAAATAAGTCTAATGGTTTAAACAAATAATGATCTAAAATAGATGATATCTCATGTTTAAACAAAACATGTAAAATTGAAGGGAAAAAACATTTTGAGAGCCGCTGGATTATTCACGTGTTATCCGCTACCTATGTTGCCAAATTGACGCGAAAGTCAGTATATGAATTCCTTATTTTAATACTTTTGCTATCCAAGGGATAACCATAAAATAATAAATACAAGAAGAAGTGTCAAGTCAATGTTAAATTATGGAAACAGCGTGGCTGCCTGGGTAACTAATTTTCAGATATGGCGGCTGGGACATTTGACATGACATAGACATGACAATTTCAATTTTATGAAATTTATTTCCGTTTCCGGTTTTTAATGGCGGGCTGTTCAGGAGGTTTAAATGAGGGTTAATATACTTTTTACTCTTTCTAGTAGTAAATAATACAACAAAATTACTCAAAATATTTATTTGGAATTTAGAGCAATGTAAATATGCAAATCAACACAATTAAAGAGCTATAATCCAATAAACTACTGTATCAATATCAAATATTTAAATAATATCAGAGATGCTGTGTTAAACTGAATTAGTAAAGTAACAGTGCATTGACTTACAGAAACTTGAAGATAAATAAATGTTTTCACAGCTTCACGGGCATAAAACTAAATAACTGGAAGCAGGAAAAAGGCATCCGGAACCCACACAAAACCTGGAATCAAAAAAATATGTAAAAAATATAAATATAGGTACATAAGACTTTTGTGAATTAAATCAAACAGGACTTGAATGAAAATAAAATGAATAAAAAATATAATACATATACATCTAATACCTCATTTGTATTTTAAAAATAATCTACATACATAGATTTATAGCATTATTGCTATGAAAATACATAATAGGTACCTATGTGATATGTAATCACGCATTTCTGTTCATCTTGTAGAAAATTAATATAGGCTAATAATAGTTCAATAATCATAATTTACCTTGTATAACTTGCTTTCAATTGCTTTCAAATCACCGATCAGTCTTTAAAGGAGAGATACGGAAAAATCCTTGGCAAAGAATATCCCAAAATCCTTGGGTTTAAAGCTAAAAAAATATAAAAACAGTTAACATATTATCTATTTTTACATATAATATGGCCCATACCTATTACACGCAGAAACGTCGATTTCATCATTTTCTTCATGTAATTAATATCATATATACTTTATTAGAGTGTTAACAAGGAACTTTATACCAAAAAACATCTTTGTACTTATAAATTTCAGCCGAAATATCAGAAACAACCTTCCAATCAAATCTAAACGGCAAAAATTAAAATGGCGCCCGACCTTGCCAGAGGCCTCGGGAGCTGACGCTGACACACAGACAAAAGACAAAAGAACAGGACGCCGACGTGCATAAAAATGTTCCGTAGCAGAAATTGACAGAAATCATATAGAAATATTCAGATTTTTGTCTAGGACAGTCTAGAAGGCCATGCTTTCTGCCTGGGTAGAACGGCGCCACAACTGTTTCCAATTTTCCGGTTTACTGTCACCCCCCTGGGGATAACAAAGGTATAATCTGTCCAAGGAGAGGACCCATGATAATGACAGTCATGTTTGTCGTTTTAACTCACAGATAAATGGTATTTTCTGTCATTTTTTGGATGTCGTCTGTCAAAATCTTCGCTGATTCTTTGGGCAGACGTTATTAGTCCTATTATACAACAAAATTATTGTCAAAAATAATCTGGTCAGTTGGAGACTTTGAATAAGAAGACTAAGGAAGGAGCATATCAAAAATCTTAGGTACACCGCGATGGGCCTCAAATATGGCCGATTTAAATTCCGGTTTATCAGTGTCGTTCTAATTTTATTTAAAAAATGTAAAACTATGATGTAGGGTAGACTCAATAATTTGTTGTTTTATTTTACGTTGTGAATAAATGTTGGTAGTTATTAAAATTGTTATAAAAATATATAATTCTAATAAAAATAGATAAGTTATAATAAGTATTTATTACCATAAACATCCGATACGCTACTGAAGCAGGTAAGTCAAATTAACGTATCTAAATTCTTTGACATCTAATCTTTGACAAGTAATAAATAAAAGCTAAGAATGCAAGAAAAATATATAATTTAGTTAATTTAAGTGAATTTCATAAATGATCGTTTTACTACACGTACTTATGTATATTATATAGTCACTTACTAGCGAAAAGTTGTTCCATTATTTCACTCAATTTTTGCCGAGATCTACCGCACGCTACACAACCAACTATTTTAGAGTCTTTTTCGATAAATCGCGATAGTGTCACTATTAATTTAAGTGCTGCCACAATTTCCATCTAGATTTACTACCTTTATACAACTATCAGTAGTAGAATAAATAATAAATAACATAAATTAAGCTCCGTAAAGACTGACAAATCTACAAAATTTCAAATCAAATTCAAATGTGTCAAATGAATCGTCAAACAGAACTGTCAAGGATCCCCACCCTGAAGTGCTTTTATGGTGCTTTTTCCGCCCACCATGCATGAATATATGGATAGCATTATGCTCCTTCCTTAAGTCTTCTTATTCAAAGGTTGGAGATGTAGAGTAATGAAAGAAATCACGTACGAAGTGGCAATGTTGCAAGCGCTTCGTCCCAAGGTCACGAAAAAAATCCTGAAGAATCTGCGGCTCTAAAAAGTTTTCTTAAATTCTAAATAATCTCATAGGCGTATCACGAAATATTTGCATTTATTTCTGAATAAAATTGCATTAAAATTAATTATTCCTACATTGCAATTTTTAGGCTCAGGTAAAAATAGTTCTATTTACAAATTAAACGAAAAACTGAAAAAAAGAAACGAGGAATTAGAAGAGGAGAACAATCTTTTAAAATTAAAATTCGAGGTTCTTTTAAACATGGTAAGAACATTTCAATATAATTTAGTATATTTTTCCTTGATTTTTATATTAATAGATGACACAAATTACTGCAGAGCATCAACTACAGGACGAGGTTATACAGGGGTTAAAAGAAACAAACTTTAGGGAATGAGAAACTTTTTTTGGAACTAATCTATGGCTAAGGCACTTAAATGGTTAGAATTAAATAAATAAATATGTACATAGACTGATATTTTGGGGTCCTAGTTAGGACAGTTTGGCTTTGTATGACCTGAAATATTTAGAATTGTTATAATTTTTTTTTAAATTAAAATAAAAGTATAAATTTACCTTCTTGTGCACATTTTCCACATTTTCTTTTCCTTGTACCCGTACTCTGATTTCTGTTATATGGGGTTGTTCTGTTGGTTGTTTTCTTGCCTCTACCCCGTGACGTTTTGCCTCTGAAACTCCAATTTAGGTTGTCACCTCCACCACCACCTCCATGGTCATCGTTACCACCATGAAATGAATTATTTGGATCGTTATCCTAAAAGAAAGATTTTTTTATTATTATTAAGAAATATTTCAAGAATTAATAAGTATTTTCCATAGAAGAATAGTAGGTTTTCTTTCTCAAAATAAAAACCGACTATTTAACTGCTTAGGCATTTTTCAAAGAAAAAACTAATTACTACACAAAATATTCTGAAAACAACAGTTTTCGATCGATAAATAAATGTTTTAAAAGATACAATACACACGAGACTCTCAACTAACGTTCAAAAAATTCTGGCAAATGTCAAATAAACGTGGCACCGCTGCAACCGCTTCCTCGCCGTTGCCAACACAATATATCGAGTGGGAGATTTAAAACTCATTGAAAACGTCCCATAAGGGCCATATTTGTGTAGTGGTAGCACTGCACACGTTTATTAGCCTAATCGATAGCCCGCAACGGTTTTTATTTTGTACGACGTATATTCATAATCTACGTAAAATTTCCTACAAAAACTCCAATTTTCATAATTTTATGGCTATGTTTCCAAGCGTCCTAAAAAACGGGTAAAAAATAGCAAAAAAAGGCAATTTTTCGACTTTTTTCCATACATGTCACGAAAATTGGCGATTTTCGTCATGTCTTTGATTTTCGTTTCGTCGTTTTGTTAAAACTTCTGATATTTACTAATTAAAAGGCGTAGAATAAGAAAATATGGGCTATTGTAGTCTTACGACAATAGCTCAGATTATACAGATTATAATCTTTGTTTTTTCTTTATTGTTTTTCGTGGTTCCAATTTTCGGAATCGGGCACTAGTTAGGTGACTAGTTTGCGCACATAGCACGCCCACTTATGGTCTCTAAAATTGTGCACAGCGCCTGACCGGCACAGTTATTAGAGAGATATCGGAAAACCGAATAGCGTCATCCAGTATTTACGCGTACCTTAAGCCTAGTTCATGCACTTGCGAATTGCGATTTACGAATTGCGAAATGCGTTCTGTTTTTGTTCTGATTGGTTGCCTTCAAGGGAGACCTTGAAACCGACCAATTACAAGGCAAACAGAACGCATTTCGCAATTCGCAAGTGCATGAACTAGGCTTTATCATGGTTACGATATGCGCGAGTCAACGCAACACCCGCTAATAACGTTACCGCCTGACGTAATTTGCGGATCAATTACACCAAGCGCTCTTTCTAAATAACCTCTGATAACGTTTAAAAATTGCTTAAATGGGCATGTGCGGGTATTTGACAACCGGAGCCGGCCGGCGAGATCTTTTATTTTAGGTTATGTTTGAATTGTTTTGAATTATTGCTTTAGTTTTATTAGGTAATTTGATATTTAAGTAGCTGGGATTAGTTTTAATTAAATAAATATGGTCCAAAATATGGATTCCACCTCTTCCAATACTAAAGAACCTATAAAGAGTCTTAGGTTTACAGCAGATGACGACTTAGCCCTTCTAAGAGAATTTGTTGCTTGTTGTCCTAAACCCATTGGCAGACGTTGAACAACTGGAAATAAGCACTTTAGCCCTTTAGTTTTAAAATACCTAGTAAACAAAACAATTTCAAAGTTTTAAATTCAAAGTTTCTTTGCGATCCGATAACTATAAATGAAGAGAGTTAGTAACCTCACGTAAAGGAAATAACACCTGGCCTTATTAACGTCCATGCACGCTATTCGGTTTAGCGATATCTCTCTAATACGCTGTTTATTGTTATTTTACGCGAGTTTATTTTTGCGCACAGGAAATTTGACTCGTTTGCACATCGTCATAAAAGATTTTTATCTGTATACTTATAGGATACCTAATCTGTGGCAATAGTAATGGATGTAGGAGACATTTTAACCAGGGCCATGTAAGTGAAATATTCAAAATGGTTCCAGCAAAAGTTTCCCAATTATGACGGGTGATGGCGCTGATCGTCAAAATTTTTGGACAGGGATTTTGCTTACCGACAATACGACGTGAGCTACGACCGGACCGGACCAATCAGAATGATCAGTCTTTCTTGGACATTTGCCGCGGAAGTGTGTGTTAATTTCTGTTGTGATAAGTGTGGTTGTGTTTGCAGTTTGATTTTTCGGTTTTGATATTATGTTAAAATTAATTTTGAAGTATTGTATGTCAGCTTTTTCGAGAGATGGCGCTACGAAAATGGAACCGATTTATTACAAGGAACTTGGGCTTCTTTTTCGTTAGTATATTCTGTGATTTTAACCATCATCAAAAATAGCTCAAAACAAGGGTCCAAAAAATTAATTTTCTCACAAAACCAAGACATCTAAGTATTTAAAGGTGTATATATTCTGCATCTATATAAAATTTCCTACAAATGCTGAAAGTTTCATAATTTTATGGCTATGTTTACTATGTTTCCAAGCATTCTGAAAACGAGTAAAAAATAGCCAAAAAATGGCAATTTTTCGAAGAAAATTGTCGATATTGGTCAAGTCACCGATTTTGATGAAACGACAGTTATTAACTAATTAAAAGGTGTAGAATAAGAAAGTATAGTCCTTTTTGATCATACAAGTATGGCACTAGATGTAGGCGAACTTTTAACCATCATCAAAAATTGTTTAAAAACAAGGGTAAAAAATCACTTTTATAAAAAAATCAAAGCATTTAAGCTTATAAAAGTTTATGTATTACAAAAATACATAAAATTTCCTACAAATTCTGAAATTTTCATAATTTTATGACTGTGTAACTTTTTTTCATTTTGGTCAAAAAAATCTTGTCAAAAATGTACTTACTTCGTCAGCCCATTTGAAGAAATTACATTTGTCCACAATCTTCGAACAACAATAAAACTGCCGTCCCTTATTTGGACCTTCTTTGTTCACTGTCCTCATTACGGCTGCTACGTTACAATTACACCTTATTTCTCCATTGCCTCTTTGATTTTGCGTCGTGTTACTAGGTCCAGGGTTGGCTTCCGAGGAATCCGGATCCCACAGGAAGAAATTACAATTTCCAGAGCCGCACTTGTAGAATTGACGCCCTAAAAAATTAACATAAACGAAAAATCCTATACAGGGACATAAGTCTTTGACATGAGAAATTTGATTTTCATGTCAATATGGCTCCTACTTGTAGAGGGCGCCACCCAAGGATACTATAGAGATAAGGATAGTTCGATTCCTATCTTCCTGCACTGTCAGTTTTTTTACGTCATCTACTGACCGAGTTGAAGTTGGCGCTAAAGATTTTAGACAGTGACAGTTAGTTTTGCATTTAACGGACGAGCGCACAGTGCGTTGGAAGATAAATTTAGCGGACAAAAGCGTTTGGTTAGAAATAAGCCAAAAAATGTGTACTAATACGAATAAATAGTAGACATTCCAATTGATACAAAAATGCATGAATATTCTTTGTATTTCGATACATTTTTATCAACCAAATTTGGTCGTTTTCTGCTCAGCAAGGCAGAGATCATACGAAAACAAAATATTTACAAGTGCTTATACATTTTATTAGAAAGCCAAATTATGTTGAAGATTGCCAAAGGTATGTACTTTTCTACTGTACGTATATTATTTGTTAAAATCCTTCGTGCCTTTGTTCTGCAGATATCAAACTTTCACTTTTTTTTTCAAATATCGATATATTGAATGATGTAGATCTTTTAAGTTACCAATAGTTACCAACATAGGTAGTAACAGACACAGGGAGTTCAAGCTTAACAGGTGAATGCCCAAAAAGAGTCATTTCAATCGGATAGTATAAAAACAAAACAACTCCATCAAAAGGCACTGAGTTTAAAAAATTGTCTTAGATACTTACTATATATGAATTTACAATTACCGAGTGTTAAAATTAAAATTAAAATATCTATCTTATTTATTATTTTCAAAATAAAATATATTTTTTTTAAAATAAATTATAGAGGGTGTTACAAGATTACAAATTAATTAAAAAAAAAGTGCTAAAGAGTTTTTTGATATCATAATTTTATGTATTTGGCAATAGTTTACAATACGGTTTTTGTGTATCATGTACGAATAATATCATAGTTTTATTATCTTGTATTTATTTATTAATAAATTAAGTTGTTAATAAATAACTTAAAATACTTTTTATTCAAAATTTTTACCTTTGTTAGGTCCATCTTTCTTGACAGTCAGCATCACAGCTTGTTGGTCACAGGAACACATTATATCATCCCTCTGGTTCGTATTGGTACTGTTGTGAGCTAAATACGTTTTATTCTAATTATCTATCACGCATTATTATACAGAGTGTCTATAAGTAGAGGTAAAATAATTCTAAAATCACCTGTTGGTGTTGGAACCATCAAAAACGTATTTCTAGGAGTATTTTGAGCAGTATTTCTCACTGTATTATTTTGATGAAAAGTATGCGAAGGAGCTGGATTTATCGTTGGTTGCCTATCCCTATTATTTGAGTTGTTAAAAACAGTTTGGTTATTACCAATAACCGTTGTATTGTTACTTCCGTTTGCTGTATAAAAAAAAAATATGTATGTTAAAATATTTTCAATAATTCCTTGTCTACATACAGGGTGTTTTAAAAAACATGTGCCATCACAAATAAGTAAGATTTATTTGTCATGTCCCACGGGAGATGGAATTATTTTTTGAAACACCCTGTAGACAGAGCTTAAAAATCAAAATAAGTTACATAACCTCTTACAACGTTGTTGACAGATATCGACAACACCTCTAGTACGTTCGTATCACAGCCGCCTATGCATAAATTATTAGGGTTGGGGTCTCCAGGAAAAGGGTTGGGCCTAAACGTGAATTTTAACAGTTTGTAGTCAGGTCCGCACTAAAAACAACTGTCAAAATATTATACTGTCAAATAGAATAATTATACTGACTTCTGGACAGCTTTCATTGGTTATTTCGACATTTTTAACTATGCTAGGTAACCAAATTGCGTGTTTACAACCAGGATACCCTGTACAACTAATAAATTTGCCTGAGCCGTCTTTTTTAGTCCTAAAAACAAAAATGTATGCAAGATTCAAGTACTGGCACAATGTGTTTTTGGATTTAAACACTCTGCATAAAATCTCAGACAAATCAATGATTAGTATGTGCATAATACCAACTATAATAAAATAGACGAAAAATAATATAAAATAAACATCAAACTAATAGAAATTAAAATTGGTAAAAAAATACGATCGAAAAAAGGGGTCAGAGTTGGCTTGGAAATGAGTTCGCTGTCACATGTAAGATTATATGGAAAATATTACCAATCGTCATTTCTCAGCCAACTTGACGCCGTTCTTTTTTCAATCAAAAAATAGTATTTTACATTTTTCCTTTGAATAAGAAGACTAAGGAAGGAGCATATCAAAAATCTTAGGTCCACCGCGATGGGCCTCAAATATGGCCGACTTAAATTCCGGTTTATCAGTGACGTTCTAATTTTATTTAAAAAATGTAAAACTATGATGTAGGGTAGACGTGGGTAGACTCAATATATTTTTTTTTATTTTACGTTGTGAATAAATGTTGGTAGTTATTAAAATTGTCAAAAAAATATAAAATTCTAATAAAAATAGATAAGTTACAATAATTATTTATAACCACAAACATCCGATACGCTACTGAAGCAGGTAAGTCAAATTGACGTATCTAAATTCTTTGACATCTAATCTTTGACAAGTAGTAAATAAAAGCAAAAATGCAAGAAAAAATATATAATTAGTTAATTTAAGTGAATTTCATAAATGATCGGTTTACTACACGTATGTATATTATTGTTACGTTTTTCGTCGGTTCCGTGGGGATAGAAAGTCACAATTTATTTAAACACTATTTATTTAACACTAATTAACAAAAACAATAACGATAAAAGACTTATAGAACTATTTACAAACGATTTATAACTTAGAATTTATTTTGAATTTTAGCGCGTCAACTGTATATTTATAACTGCCCCCTGTAGGCCACCGCCGCCGGCTTTTATACCGACAGGTAAAGAACTCTAGAATAGTCCATAGATCATTAGGTGCGTAGAGAAGGTTTTCGGATGTTCTCGTATGTACTAGTCCATTCCAGTGGAACTCGATTCTTCTCGAACGAATGAATCATTGCGGTGTCTATGCGATGTTAAGGTCATCCGAGGGCGGGCCATATTGTGAGGTTAGGTCGAGTCCACACCGGCCCGCAACATTATATATACTTACTAGCGAAAAGTTGTTCCATTATTTCACTCGACTTTTGCCGAGATCTACCGTACGCTACATAACCAACTATTTTAGAGTCTTTTTCGATAAATCGCGATAGCGTCACTGTTAATTTAAGTTCTGCCACAATTTCCATCTAGATTTACTACCTTTATACAACTATCAGTAGTAGAATAAATAATAAATAACATAAAATAAGCTCCGTAAAGACTGACAAATCCACAAAATTTCAAATCAAATTCATTATAGTCAAACAGAACTGTCAAGGATCCCCACCCTAGAGTCCTTTTTCCGCCCACCATGCATGAATACATGGATAGCATTATGCTCCTTCCTTAGTCTTCTTATTCAAAGCATTTTTCTTATTTTTTTAATTCTAGACTCACCTAAGTGTCATGTCCTGGCCGCACTTCGGGCATTTCATGGCAGGCCTGTAATCGTCATTTCCACCATCGTTCAACTGTTGGACAGCCTGGGGCGCGTCATCGAGACGGTTGGCTAAACTTTCATCTATTAACCTATATAACCAAAAAAAACATTCATAAAACCTGTGTATTACATTATTTAGTAAATATAACCTCATTTTTTCGGCAACAGTTTGAAATACGGCCCTGTATTTCGCTACCTGTTCCCTCCTGACCACTTCGGGGTCTTTCAAACCGTCACAGATTAATTTTAAGTCCTTTTCGAAGTCAGCTCTCAGTATCGGTTTGGCTAGGGATACTTCCAAACCTATATTATTATAACTGTATGAAGAAATAAATTAAGTAGTGAAAGTTCACATTTATTTTATACAGTTAAACATAAGTCTAAGTCATGTATACTTTGGTGGATAAAGCTATGGATAACATTTTATAAAAAAAATATAATTGTTTAACTAACTTAATATATTTGATATCAATTGAGCGTCCGGCGAGACAGCGACGCGTTCTTGCGCGCCGATTTAACAAAATAAATAATTTTGAACCTGCAGTCATTTCGTTAATAATTATCGTATCGTGTTGATTTTTGCATAGAAATACTCATGAGTCTTTAGCGCTTCCGACAAGCCTAAATAACTTGGATTATTTTGTATATTTTCGACTTGTTTACATTGCCCGAGCATATTATAACTTTGAGATTAAAATCTCTGTTATAAATTTTAAAACTGACAGATATGAATACTATCATTTAATTAGTTATACATTTAGTTACAACATATTCAAAATTTAGGTCTATCGGTTTATGCTAGCAGTAATAACGAGTATAAATAAAAAAAAAATGGTCAGTACAACGCTCGCCGTTTTTAGCGCACGTTCAGCTTTGGTTTTAGTTTTAGCGCTATTTTTACAGAAAATACATTCTGAACTTTGATCAAATGACAAGAACATTATCATTGCCGATATCTCCTGGTTATAATGTAGTTCTTTTTTCCAAATATTGCATTGTTTTAGCTTAAAAAAAACTTGCGAGAGCTACCGGCGCACAGTAGTTCCCTCCCTTATAAAAATTTGGCCAAAACTCAATATATCGAAAAAAATTATTTTGATCATATATGATCAAATATTTTATAATCTATATTTAAAAACATGAAATATTTGTTATAAAAATATATTTTGGGAAAATTCACTTTAGAGCACCTATGTAATAACATTTTATATACAATAGTCTAAAAAGCATTTAACTATTTTTTGTATCGACAATGAATAAATTACTCGCTTAGTGTTTTCAAAAAGAATATAAAATAGTGCATATTATAATTAGACTATACTGCACGTATACTTTCCTCATATAATATCAGTTTTTGATAAATAAAATGAAAAAAAAATAATACTAACCATTTCAAAATATCAACATATATTGTACCTTTGAAATATATTTTTATACATAACTAAATCAAGGATATCGAAGCTGAACTAAGTGATTGTTTTTAACTTAAATGAAACTTCATAATGTCTTTTTTAAGAACCATGTCAAATTAGCTGCTAATATCTGCTATTCAGCATAAATTGTCTTCGTAAACAAAAGTTTTATATAAATGTTGCATGGCTAAGAAATGTGCATTTAAAAAATTGAAATAGAGTATTTTAAATATTACATTGTTAGCCACGCCATAAAAAAATAACCGGCACACATTAATGTGAGTTTTTCTTCACAAATTTATTCTCGTTTCTTTGGTGTTAAGAAAATATTGGTAAAGTTCAGGGTATTAACATAGTATAGTACTAGATATTAACAAATATAAATTAACTTCAGGTTTTAACCAATTTTCGGATATATGTAGGTACCTACTATTATTAACCAAAATTTTAATAAAGAAGAAATAGCATGGCAACACCGCATAGTTTTCCAAATAAAAATAGTGTCCTATATGCACAATTTTATGCTGAATCGAATTATGTACAGAAAAATGGGAGCTGTGATTTAAAAAAGACAACGCTTTATCATTACTTTTTTTGATACCCTGTATATAACAAAATATTTTTAGGATATGCACTGTTATAAACCATGCAAATATCTATATAATACTTTTTTTCATATTTTCGTCTACAACGATGATATTGGACTTTCTCACACTAATAGGCCACTCTGTATCTATCTATTTATTAGCTTATGAACTATATACCGGTTATGTTCTAACCATTCTTCAATCTGTTTTTTTTTTCAATTTTTGTTAAATACCTTTATAAAGTAATACCCTTGTAATTATTGGTAAATAATAACACTTTTAAATTCTAATGAACAATCATCATTGAAAACGCCTAATGATAAAGCACTTTTTTTATATGTTAGGCAACTCCAAACGCCTAAATATTTATAGATTTACTAAAAAATATTAACTGATACATTCATTTTCACTGATATAATAAAATACAGGTTTTGGCCACGTACGTCCATAAGAGCGAACCAGTGTGCGGCGCGGCGCTGCGTTAATAAAGAGATGGCTATGTACGTCAATCGAAAGACAGTATTTGCGATAGTCTTTTGTTTACACGGAGTATAGAAAATTTTTGCCACAGCTTCCCAAGTAGCATTTATCTGACTTCGAACTAAATCTGACCTGAAGCGACGTCAGACTTTGTGCAAATTTAGGTCGGGTGCTCGTGATACGACCTGTGACGTCGCTTTCCTATTAAAAGCGACGTCGTTGGATCCGAGTCGGTAAATCCAACGATCTGTCGACGTACAAAATAACAACGTACCATTTTTATGAATTTCCCAACGTCGTTCCCACGTTGGCTTGCACGACGTACATATACTTGAACTAGCCCGACGTCTACCCGTTGTCCGAATAGGATACGTCTCACTGATAATCCCTAAACTAACGTCCAATTATATTTTGTTGTATTTTATGTTCATATTTATAACCTAATTTATGTATCTCTATTTATGTCCGTAAATACAACCCATTAAGTAGCATTTGCGACCTAATGAACATCATGAACATAACCTAATAAAAAGTTTTTGTAAACAAATTTAAATTTTTATTATGCCTAAAAAACACTAAAAGGCATTTAGACATTCATCTACATTTTACAGAAAGAGGTCGAGGCTTTTGCAAAATAATAATAGTAGTAGTGATGTCTTGCCTCCACCCGTAAATGCTTTTTATCCGGAAGAGATGCTGCATTACACTGGTGCATCTTAATTTCATTTTTAGCTTAGGATACCAGCAGACCCCATCCTCCTCCGACATGTGAGGTTAGGCTTAAAAAAGTGCTGCCCATTTTTTTTAACGAGAAAACAAAAACTAAAATATAGTTGCACAAATCCACAAATCATTGATACGCAAAACGCAAAGTGAGGTTACGTAGCGTACGTTGAAATTATATACGTCATAATACGATTGCCGGTCGTCCGGTTTGATGACTTCGGTCGTGTGAGACGACTAATGTTGGAGACCCGGTCGGAATTGGTATATTGGTAGTTCATATTAAGTCGGACACAGAAATCCGCCATTCTTAACACGTATCCGATTGTCAGCCATTTTAAAATCGTTTTATGTTTTAAAATTTATATTCACATTTCGATTTCTAGTAGAATAATATTGATAAGGTTGAGTTTGGGGGAACCACAGTACAGTTTTATGATTAAACCAGCTAGAAAAAATTAAAAAATATTTTGCGAGTTACTTTTCTATAGACATTTTAATTTCATAAATCTACCTAATTTTGAAGGCGCTCGTTGTTTTCCGGAGTATTTTAATCAGATATATCAAGAAAGTGACTTCCGTTGACAAAACTGATGTCTGGATTAATGATTCAGAATTATTATAATATGAAATTAAATAGGCATTTATAGTTATATTCGAGGAGTGATTATGAATCCATTTGTAATTAGGTAGTCTGGTTAGGTTTTTATGTATTCTTGGTAGCGAATATGAAACCAAACGTAACGTAAGTGTTTAGCGACGAATTTTAAGTGACTAAAATCCAACGTAATATGACGTTGGTAATTGGTAGAATTACATTCCCTATTAGGTCAGATACCGACGTCGAGGCGACCCGAATCTGTATTCCCCATTTAGGTGCAAATAAGGGTCGTCAGGCGGTCGAACCGACGTTGGTACCCGACGTCGGGTTTATTGAACGCGACGTATACCCGACGTTAGATAACGTCCAAATGCTACTTGGGTTCTTTACTACCAGTAGTATTTGTGTGTTTTTTTTTAATTATTTATTATTAAATAGAGGGAAATGCGACCGAAAAGAAAGGTCAAAAGTTAGTAGAAATTGTGGCTATGATTGACGTACATAGCCATCTCCTTATTAACGCAGCTCCGGTAGCTCTCGCAAAAAAAGCCGCATAAGTTTTTTTAAGCTAAAAGAATGCAATATTTTGAAAAAAAAACTACATTATAACCAGGAGATATTGGCAATGATAATGTTCTTGTCACTTGATCAAAGTTCAGAATTTATTTTCTGTAAAAATAGCGCTAAAACCAAAACCCAAAGCTGAATGTGCGCTAAAAACGGCGAGCGTTGTATTGACCATTTTTTTATTTATACTCGTTATTACTGCTAGCATAAACCGATAGATTATTTAGATTAAAACTAATCCCAGCTACTTCAATATCAAATTACCTAATAAAACTAAAGCAATAATTCAAAACAATTCAAACATAACCTAAAATAAAAGATCTCGCCAGCCGGCTCCGGTTGTCAAATACCCGCACGTGCCCATTTAAGCAATTTTTAAACGTTATCAGAGGTTATTTAGAAAGAGCGCTTGGTGTAATTGATCCGCAAATTACGTCAGGTGGTAAAGTTATTAGCGGGTGTTGCGTTAAAAATTGACTCGCGCATATCGTAACCATGATAAGGTACGCGTAAATACTGGATGACGCTATTCGGTTTTCCGATATCTCTCTAATAACTGTGCCGGTCAGGCGCTGTGCACAATTTTAGAGGCCATAAGTGGGCGTGCTATGTGCGCAAACTAGTCGCCTAACTAGTGCCCGATTCCGAAAATTGGAACCACGAAAAACAATAAAGAAAAAACAAAGATTATAATCTGTATAATCTGTGGTATAATCTATAAAATGAATAACTTTGAATTTTGACCGTTATTTTTTACCAACATGGGAAATATAAAATCCTTCTGTCCAAAAAGTTACTGATATTCTTTAAAATGAGTGCCGGAACGAATCAGATAGGTAACTCTTTTTACTTTCGTGAAATAGAAAAGGAAAATAATAAAACAAGTGACAGTTCTTCCTCTTCTTGCAAAAATCAACGCGAAATGTCATAATTTACATAAGTAAAATGTCATCAGCCTTTGACATTTCTAAATATCAGACCAATGCCGTCTCTAATAAAACAGCCTCGGAGCGAGATTTATGACGTCACGCTAGTTAGATACTACGGATTAATAAATATGTTGTAGAATACATTGAAAACATAATTATTCCTCGTATTTTTGATTTGTATTTTAAAAATTGATATAGTTTACATGAAATATAAATAATATACAGTTAATAAATAGAATATATAAACGTATTTATAGTAATAAATACTATGGCAAATAAACTATAAACCATAAAAATGCAGCAAATGTTTTACAATATAAAAATAGTGAATAGGTATATGGGCATAATGGGTAAAATAGAGAAGATAATGGGCATAACGGGTAAAATATAAAATATATTTTAAATTTTAGGGTTTGAAAATCGATCTAATTTAACAAAAAACATTCAATATCTACTAATAGTGATGTATTATTATTTGCATTCACAAAATTTATATGTATAATTTGTAATAATCAATGTTCGAAAAATTATATTTGCAAATAATACAATATCATTGAAAAAAAGGGGTCAGCGATGGCTATGAAATAAAGATCGCTCTCATTTTATATGTAAAATTATTCTAAAATTTTTGATTTTTTTGGGATTTAGGTTCGGGAAAAACGCTGATTAAGTTTTCATTTGGGGTTTCATTATTTCTTTTGGTTTAAAAAAAAACGTTATAGCTAACGTTTATAGCCTTCATCAGTGTTGTGTCATATGAAAAAAATAGTGTCGAATATAATCCAAAAAATTACATATACGAGGAATAATTATGCGTTTCCGTCATAAATCTCGCTCCGAGGCTGTTCTATTAGAGACATTGCATCAGCATGGCCGCAAGTTGCTAACCTAATAAAATTTACACTAGAAAACCCCGCGGGAACTGTCAAATTCAAAGTTATTCGTTTCACAGACTATAATAGGGTTCCCGTTTTTACCCTTTGAGTACGGAACCCTAAAAAGTACCACATGATCCAGACTTCATCTGTTACACTGTATAAATTTTATATAGCGGTATCCACAAAGTATATATGATCAAACCCCAAAAAAATGAGTAGTATAAACGCTCACCCTTCAACAAGTCCCATTCCTAAAGTACCAGGAACAAAGTAAATATCTTGCAAGCCGACATATTCTCTCGATTTGATCGTGTCAATGTGTTCAGCGTGCGTGGCATCAGTGCCTATACCGTGCTTTTCCATCAACGCTATCAAGTCGGCCTCTGTGAGCAGTTTTGGAGGTGAAGTAGAACCCTCTGACTGAGATACACAAAAAAAAAGAATTATAGAACTCTATACTACACTCAGAGACAAAAAAAACGCAATAGGAATGTTTTTCTTCAAATTTTAAGTGTTATTTTTAGTCCTATTTTCATGATTTTTTTTAGCAAACTGTATACAGGGTGTTTCAAAAAACATGTGCCATCCCTCGTGGGGAGATTCTTCACGTAAAAATAAGATTTATTTTTCCTATTAACATAGGTCCGTTTCTGCTTTGTTTCGTAGCTACAGGGTGTTAAAATCTTGATATTTTTTCGATTTATTATAAGTTTCTTCGAGTTTAAAAGTTACCAAAAGTGCTACATATATATATATATATATATATATATATATATATATATATATATATATATATATATATATATATATATATATATATATATATATATGTAGTATATATATAGAAAAACAAATAAAAAGAGACTGACAAATATCATGGTAAAGAGTGGGACCGCGTTCCCGTAGCGCAACTCAGAATAACAATTTTGAAACCAATTAGCAGGACCACGGCAGGACATACGTTTTTAATGCTATCTTTCTTTATTATGTGTGCTTTATATGAAAAAGAAAGAGATAGGTATAAAACATATCGTAAGACATTATCGCACATTCTGGCTGGGGGGAACTTTAAATTAGGCATTATTAGTAGTATTCTTTCATTCTGAAACTGAAAATTTTCATTTAAACTGATTTATTCCCTATACCACGTAAAGGGAACGTGGTGTAGGGAATAAATCAGTTTAAGTGAAAAATTGCAGTTTCTTTCAGAGGCTAAAAAGAATACTACTATTATAAAGGAAATTATAAAAAAAGCAAAAATTGTACTGTTTATAAACATATTTATTTATACATAAAAATAAATAAACTTTTTATAATATAATAACAAAAATAACAGTGTTTATTCCACCCACCTACCAATTTTAAATGCAGAAGAACTGACTGTTGCAGGGAAACGATCGGCCAATTTTTTTAAATGGCATTAAAAATCTCATTTTCGAAAAAACTGCCTAATTGCAATAACAAAGTGAATATCCAAGCAAAGAAGACTTTACGAGAATCATGATCCTGAACCATTTTCAAGTCCAGTTTTAATCCTAAAACAAAAGTAAAATAGGTCTATTAATAAAGTTTCTGGTTACTATAAACCAGCTATAATAATAATAATATAATATTTATTTATTTCCAAATTATGTTACAAAAAAAAACATAAAGAGAAATATCGTCAAACATCAAAATAAATATTCCAAAGCATATTACACATATTTTACAAAAATTAGATAAGTCTACTTACATAAACGGGAAAATATATAGAAAAAAAAATAAACCTAAAATTTTACAATATTGGATATAATTCAACAATATTTCCTTAATCCCTAATTAACCATTGAAATTAAAAAATTCTGGCAAGCTATAAGGCTCTATATTTAATAAATAATTTTTTTAACTTAAATTTAAATTCGCTTAACTTTCCACAGAGTCTAAGTGTTAAGGGCAGTTCATTATAAAACTTTAAACACATATACAAAGGGCTTTTTTCCGTAATCGCAAGTTTATGAGCAGGATAGTTTAATAAATTCTTTCTAGTATTGTACTGATGTATTATGTTACTCTCAAACATTCTCTATTCATGTATAAAAATATACTAAACATTCATAAATATATAATGCATATACTGTCATAATTTTTTCACTCTTAAAGATCCCTCTACACGATTCGTTGAAATTCATTTTTCTTACAGTGCGTATTACCCTTTTTTGTGTTACAAACAGTCGTTGTATTTTGCTGTTGCTGCCCCAAAATATTATCCCATAGCTCATGACGGACTGAAAATTGGAATAATACAGTGTTTTTAGTGTTCTCTCATCCATATATTTGCTTATTACCCTAATTGCATAGCACACTGAACCCAGCTTTTTCAAAAGATATTCTATATGATTACTCCAATCTAAATGCTCATCAATTATTATTCCTAAAAATTTCGTGTGGTCAGATATTAATATATTTTTAGTCGAATCATATATAAGTGGTCTATTTGTTCGTGACAATTTTGTTCGAAAAATGATGACATTTGTTTTATCGGAATTCAGAATTAAATTATTTTCATTGAACCATCTAGATACATTATCTAATAAAATTTTGCTCTCGTCAATTAATTCGGGTAGGTGTTTTTTTCCAATTAACAGATTGGTATCATCAGCATAATTAATTATGTTTTGGTTTTGTCCATTTACTGCCAGATTTAAGTCATTTAGGAATAATAAAAACAAAACTGGACCCAATATACTACCCTGAGCTATACCGATGTTATTTGTGCGTATCTGGGATTTATATATTTTACCTTCATTGGTAATAGAAACTTGTTGTTTTCTGTTATTAAGATATGACTGTAGCCACTCGAGAGACTTCCCTCTAAATCCGTATCGTTCCAATTTTCTTAAGAGCAATTCTCGGTCAAGACAGTCGTAGGCTTTAGAGAGATCCAAAAACATCCCTAGTGCCAATTCCCCCACCTCCATGTGTTCCAAAACTCTCCGAACAAATTCAAAAATTGCTGTTTGAGTAGATTTCCCTTTTAAATACCCGTGTTGGTTTTGGCGTATCAAGTTACATTCTTTAATAAAAAACATCATTCTACTTAACATTGCTAACTCAAAGAGCTTTGAAAAACCCGGAAGAAGACTAATTGGCCTGTAATTATCTATTAACTTGGGATCGCCTTTTTTATGTATAGGTTTTATTAGTGCGGTTTTTAGCTCTTGTGGAAATATGCCTGACTTAAAGGAGCTGTTTATTAAATAACACAATACATCTTGACAAGCACCAGTTGACAATTTGATCAAGCTTGTAGGAATTTCATCATTACCACTACTATGTTTATTTTTTATTTTTGCATTTATATCAATTAATTCTTGAGGCGTTATTGGTCTTAAAAACATTGATTTATTATTAATTTCAGTGTTAATGCTATAGCCGCTTGGTAAATTTTGTAGTAGATTGGGAACAATTGATAATAAATGCTCATTAAATGTTTCAACCATTTGTTGTCCATTTTGATTAAGATTATTTGGAGATGCATCTTTATTATTACCAATTATTTCCTTACATATGCTCCACATACACTTCACTTTATTATCTGATTTTTCAACTCTGCCCTGATATGACATAGCTCTACATTGCTTTAATAATATGTCATATTGTTTTTTATATTTTTTATATAGTTCTTTGTAATAATGGTAATGTTTCGAGAGTGGTAGTAAAATATCCATTTTTTTCTTATGTTCTAGAATTAGTGGATTATCATATAAATGTTTCTTTTTGTTCTTTATTGATACTAGCTTTAAAGGAAAATGTTGGTTAAAAATTTCAGAATATATTTTATGAAAAGTACACCACTGTTTATCAGTATCATTATCTTGAACTTCATATACACTGGCCCAGTTTTGTTCGCTCAAAGATTCCAAAAACAATTTTTTATTAGTTTCCGTAAAAGATCGTTTATATACTTTACTATTTTTAATTATTGATATTATTTTAAACACCCTACCCAAAAAATGTTATAAACTCCCTACCCAAAAAATGAAAAAAATTAATTGTATTAATTTGTTATAAATAAATAAATAAATAATAGTTTATTGTCTAACAGGAAATCCCAAATTAAAGACAATTGTGTACACTAAAAATTCAGAACATTCATAATAAATGAAGCTAACATAAGCACAAATCAACCATAAAAGTACAATGCAAAATATAACAAATCTATATGTAATCTTAAAAAAAAAATAACACCTAATATAAATATAAAGTGAAAGCAAAACTCTAAATCTAACGAACTACAATAAAAAAATAAAATATCACAAAATGTTAGGATTCTTCATTTGCCCGACCAAAACATTCCTGAATTGACGCAGTGAGTCGCCAAATATATCAACAGATGCCAGTCTCTCAACATCATTGAAATCAGTACAGGCCCGGTAGAGAGGGTGCCTTACCGGCTAAACAAGTCCTGACGTTTGACAGGTAGAACGTGTTTTGATTTCTAGTACGGACGAGCGGAGCTGAAAAGTTCAGCCGAGCTAATAGCGAAAGCGCAGTCCGCATGACCGTTACAAAGTTTATAAAGGAAAGATAAAGAGTGAAGTCTATGAGTTTGCTCAATAGATAAAAGATCAAACCTTGCAACAGCCGTAAGTGGTTATAACCACGCTCTGGGAAAACACCATCCAGTTTGAACGAGAGATATTTTAGGAATTTACGCTGAACATTTTCTAACCTCCGGATATGGACCTGGTGAATTGGTGACCAAATTTGAGAGGCATAATTGATTTTTGATTTCACAAGGCTCATGTATAATGCCGTTAGACATAATGGACTATTGAAAACCTTCTGTGGATCTTAGGAGAAATCCTAAAGATTTAAGAGCGCCACAGGATACTTCATCAATATGTATGTTAAAAGTCAGTTTCTTATCCAGGTAAACACCCAAGTCCTTAACATGCTCACAATTTTCCAGGATTGCGCTGTTTATGGTATAGGGGTGGTCAAGTTCAATACGTTTCAGAGAATAGGACATTTTTTACATTTAGAGGTGTTTAGAGCAAGCCGATTTTCCACGCACCAATTAGAGATAACATCAAGATCGGCCTGCAGACGGATGCAGTCATCCTTACACCGGACGACACTAAAATCTTAAGATCATCTGCAAATAAAGCGAACAGCTCTTTAATTGGGTCACTATATCATTTATGTATATTGAAAATATCAGTGGTGCCAAACAGCTGCCCTGCGGTGCACCACTGAAGTGGCTATAAAAGGACACGATCTGTGACCATTATATTCAACATATTGCTTGCGTTGATGCACATATGAGGAAAAGAACTTTATTAATTTATTATCAAATCCCATTTGTGACATTTTCTCTGCCATAATCCCATGGTCCATCTTATCAAAGGCCTTCGAAGTCTGTGTAGAAACAGCATCAACCTGATAACCTTCATCGATAGAGTTATATGTATATTCAAGAAAGCATGTTAAAATTGGTGACAGTTGATCGCCCTGGAAAAAAACCATGTTGAGATGGTGTTATCAAATTTTTAATTTTGAAAAATAGTTTATTATGTATGCACCTCTCGAAGGCCTTTTGCAATGTTGGATAGAATTGAGACCGGACGATAATTCTCAATGATATCTCTGTTGCCCGTTTTAAAAATTGGACAAATCTTGGCTTGCTTCCAAACACCAGGAAATGTTTGTGTTGAGATAGAAAGGTTAAAAAGTCTAGTTAATGGTTCAGCCAGAACAAAAGCGCAATCCCTTATAAGAAAGGAAGGAATCTTATCTGGGCCAGCCGTTTTTCTATTTTTAGTGAACTTTAAGGCCTTCAACACATCTTCGGTGTCAAATGTCTCCAAAGAAATACTATTACCACATTCATACGAGACATTGCCAGGGCTTGACACAATATAAACACCTTGGAAAAAATTGGCAAAAAGAATTTACAATGTCAGTGGGATTGTCAAGAGGAGTATTATCACTGTTTCTAAGAGTGCCAGGAATACGAGATCTATTCTGTTTCTGCTGAATATATTTCCAGAATTCTCTGGGTTCAGCTCGTAGTGAGTCCTGAGCAGCGATTATATACGTTTATAAGCACTATCAAGTTGTTGCTTAATCACTGCTCTAAGAGTTTTAAAAGCCCCATAGGATTCCGGAGATCGATTGATTTTCCATCTCTTAAAGTTTCTAGATTTCTCCTTAATGTTACTGATGATTTCGGATGTGTATACCATGATGGGTAGGAACACTTTTTGTCATTTTTATACTGTTTGTAGAGTGGGATGGATTGGTCAAGAGTTCATACAGTTTATTATAGAAAGCCTCGACTGCTGCGTTAACGTCTTTCATGCCTTCTAAAAAGTCCCAGTTAGTGGTAAGGATAAGATTATAAAGATGCGGGTAGTTGGCTTTACTGAAGTTATAGTTTTTGCCTGAACAGTAGAGGAAAGTTTGAATGGGGTTTCATCGGCAAATCAGGAATTATTAGTAGTGTTGGATGATAACCGTCTTCCTTGACAAATGGAAAAGTTGTAAAGACTTCTGAAGGCAAGTTAGTAATAACTAGGTCAAGAATAGTATTGTTTTGATTTTGAATTCTATTACATTGCTTAAAATCAAAAAAAAGCGAGAAAATCGTTTAAAAGCTGAAGTTTTGGACAAGTCTCAGCAGGTGAATCTGAAAAATGAATATTGAAATCGCCTAATAAGATTATGTCGCGTCCATAAAGAAATGTTAAGGACTCAAAAACGTCAAAAATACACGAAAATGCTCAACTGAAGTGTTAGGCTGAAAGTAAACTGCAAACACATACAGAACACCCCCATCACCCGCAACACTCACCCCAACAATGTCGAGAGCCGGCAGCGCATCTTCAAAAATGGACAGGTCCAATACGGTCAGAGTGAGATAACTTCGGACTGCCAGCAAAACTCCACCGCCTCATTCAAGACTTCCAGATTGCGATCCTTACGATACAAATTGTAGTTGGTGTCAATAAGCTCAGCATCATTCAGACCAGACTGCAACCAGGTTTCAGAAATTGCTATAATGTGGTGTTCACACACAGATATAGACTTGTAGAATTCATGAGTCTTAGTGTTCAACCCACGAACATTTTGGTAGGCGATGTTTAAGCCGGACTGATTATTTGCGTTCCCTGGAAGTTTAAATGATTCACGTCCACACTAACGATCCTTGGACTGCCATTAACATATTTAATTTTTTAGATTGGATTCTCCGGCTGCTAGTCTATCAATGAGGCGTTGTTTAGTTTCTCTGTATTCTTAAGAGTTGCTTGGGTGTCTTGTCGGAGCTGATTGATAGACTGGATAAGTTTGGTGTGTTCCTCAGAATCTTAGAATTTGAGAGTCTTTCTGAGAAATTTGAGAACCACAAATCACCTTTATAGAGGGCGTGATTTATTCTGGGCAAATTTTCCAAGACGAAAGGTCCTGATGCTGACTGGATCCAACGCTGTTATTTGGTAGTGTAGAATTCAATACATTCAGTGCAGTAACTTTGTCTTGATCGCTTATGGATTCAGAGTTAGAATCTGGTTGTCCAAATATGATAAAGTTCCCTCTTCTTTTTTCCCGGTCGTGAAGTTCTCTCAACAAATCATCTGTTGCCATCGAAGCCGAGGACGTGGCAGCAGGACCGTTACAAGCGGAAAGTTGACATTTGATTTCTGCGATTTCTGTATTGGAGTTCAGCGTTTATTTTAATTTGTTCGTTATATTTGGAAAGGAGATCCGAATATTGAGATTCAATCTGTAATAATTTGTTCATAATATCCGAAGTGAAATTTGGTCGTTCTCAGGAACATCCTCGGGAAGAGCAGCCCCAGGGCCGATGGAACGACGAGATTTTGTTTTCGTGTTTGTTCTTCTACCAGATTGTAGAAGTGTTTCGTCCATGCAGGGTTGGCATGTCCAAGTGGTCGCCTTTGATTTATTCCACAATGATGCTTGTTTGTTGAATTCGGGATTGGTGAGACCCGAACAACCCTTATGAAACCATGTATAGACATGAAGAGCATGAAATTGAAGGTGAATTCACTCTGACAGTCTTTTCACAGTGTGAACATCTCATTTGATCGTTCCTTGAAGACGCCATCCGTGTTATGGGTCCCTCCCAGTAAATTAAATGTAAGGGAACATTAAATTTTGAACCGACCCCGTATTCGAAACACACTATGTTATGTTAAGAGAGGTTCGAAATGTTTTTGATACTACTACTTCTACTTTTTTCTTAATAAGATGATAAATATAACTACTTACTTTTATTTTGCCGGGTGTCTTTAACATATCTATCAGAGAAAGGGGGCACCAATACATATAAAAAATAGATGATACTGGCTCCTGCAGCAAATAAAATAACAAATAGTATAACCTAAAATTATAAGTAAGAAAATATAAATACCTATATGGAACAAAGGAATTTGTTCCCTATCCATATTCATAAGTCAATAAAATGGAGAATTTAGAAAAAAAGGTAAATCGCGAAAGAAAAATTAACAAACATGACGAATTGTCATGACGTTGTCATCTTGGTTGTCATGATGACGAAAACGAAAGGCGATTGTTCTAATTTCTATTTAGAAATTACGTTTCATATGGCAACTTCTTTCTCTCTTGTTATATTAGAATGAGATAGTGGGCCCAATAGACGCAATGCGCAGATCAACATAAATAGAACGAAATTTTGCGTTCTGAGTTGCGCTACGGGAACGTTGTCCCTCTCTTTGCCATTTAATTTGCCAGTCTCTTTTTATTTGTTTGTCGATGTTTTGACATCAAAATTGGGTAGGCCGTTTAATGTCAATTAAAAGTTATCTCTTGATATTTTGTTGAATTCGGTCTCATTGATGAGATAAACGAAATTTTATTAATCACAATTATTAATAAAATTAAAATTAATAAATTATATATTAATTTTACCTAATGTATTATTAAATTAGGTAAAATATTACTAATAGTTATTATTACTATTAGTCTGACCTACAGAGCAATTTCAAATAAAAAAATAATGGTATTTAAAATAATTACAAAAAACCTAATTTTAAAATTTTTTTAACATCTTGCAGCTCTAAAACTATGCATTTCCATACCCATGTTACACACCCTGTATAAATATATCAGCATTAATTCGTAAACAAAGTTTTTTATAAACTTTAGTATTTGGCTTATTATACAGGGTTAAGCAAAGGGTTGTTTTTTACCATATCTTTAAGTCAGAACCATGTCTTCTGAGAACCTTAAATATTTTTCTACGAACTATTACACTTTTACAAAAAAAAAATAACACACCCTGTACATTGTTTAATACTTACCAACTCTAAAACAGTAGGGTTAAAGGTATCTCCTTCTTCATAATTATTAATTTCCTTTCCAGACCATTTTTCATAAATATATACATCTAAATAATTTTTCTCTAATATAATCAGTCCTTTGGCATAGAATTGTTCACCTAAAAATTACACACAGGGTGTTCTAATAGTGCCGTATAAAAATCAGGCTCTTAGTGATTTGTTTTACCAGCTATATCGACGTTTACAGTGGTCTCAAATCCCTGAGCATCTTTATGTACGCAGGCCAAAAAATGTCTCACTATATATTCATAAACCCTCTTCTCATTGCCTGCTAGATTGTTTGCGTATTTTGTTGGATGTATAGGAGGATGAGCCTATCCGGTTTTTATAAAAATTAAATTAAATTAAAAAAAAAATGAAAAAGATGAAAATAGAATAAAGGAACATCAATAATAATTGGACGAATTATTAATAAAAAAATGCAAAATAAATTACTTTTACACTGGACGCGCGTTTCGCTAACCATGTTAGCATCATCAGCAGATGATTATAAACTAAAGTACAATCTACAAGTTGAGCGTTTATATACTCGCTCAGTGGGCACCGAGTGGGCGTGGCAAGATCTAGCCAAACGAGTCAGAGCCCACCGAGCGTAACAGTTAAATTTATTTTATAATTTGGCAAAATGGTGATCAAGGGAGTTCGAAAGTTTAGCTGTTCATGAACCCTCTTTCTCAGTTAAAAATAATATTGAATTCATTAACAAAATTAAAGGTGAAATTTTGGTCTCTTTTGATGTATCTTCGTTGTTCCCAAGTATTCCAATTCCACATACTTTAGGCTACTTGAAGGAATTACTGAACGCAAATGGTCTCGACAACAAAACTGTGATTGAATATATTGAGCTTACATCGTTATGTATGAAACAAAATTGTTTTCAATTTAATAACAACTTTTTTGAACAGCGGGAAGGTACAGCAATGGGTAATACATTGTCTCCATTTTTGGCTAATTTATTCATGAGCAGATTTGAAGTGGAGGCTAAGAATCAGTTTGAGTATTTTCCAAGAGTATGGTTTAGGTATGTGGATGATATTTTTGCTGTTTTTGACACACATTCAGACACCATAGATAATTTTATTTCTAAGTTAAATAATCGATTTCCTTCCATTAAATTTACGCATGAAATTGAGAACAACGACAGATTACCATTTCTAGATGTATTAGTTATTAGAAATAATAATAATTGCCTGGAATTTGATATCTATAGGAAAAATACCACTACACGCAGATATATTCCTAATGAATCATATCATAGTGTTGAACATAAAATGGCTAGTTTAAATTTCTTAGTTCATAGATTACTTAGTTTTCCACTTTCCAGCGAAAGATATGAAATAGAAAGAGATTATATTAGGGGTGTAGCTGAGTGTAATGGATATTCTCCTTCACTAGTTGATAAAATAATTAGAAAACGTAGGTATAGGTTAATGATTTCTGAAAATTCGACTTTTCAAGTGGAGAAAGATACGTCAAAATATTTTTCTATACCGTTTGATAGAGAGTTATCCCGTGGTCTAAAAGGAATGTTTAAGAATGTCAATTATAAACTTGTGTATAGTGCTAACAAAAAATTACAACAATTATTAGGTAATCCAAAGGATAAAACGCCTCCATTGGAAAGGTCGGGTATTTATGAAATTTCTTGTAAAGATTGTAATCAGAAATATGTTGGGCAAACTAGAAGATCAATATTAACTAGATTTAAAGAACATTTAGCTCAGATAAGATATGGTACCGGATAAATCTTGCGTTGCCGAACATATTGTTGATAAAGAACATTGTATAGATCTTAATAATTTAAAATTAATTAAACAAGTCTCAAATTACAGGCAATTAGATGCATATGAAAGCATCAGAATTAGTAAATGTAAAGATAGTATGAACAGAGACAACGGTCCAATTCCTTCAAGTTCTTTGTTCCTACTACTCTAGCGGCGGAAATTTAACTGTTACGCACGGTGGGCTCTGACTCGGTTGGCTAGATCTTGCCACGCCCACTCGGTGCCCACTGAGCGAGTATATAAACGCTCAACTTGTAGATTGTATTTTAGTTTATAATCATCTGCTGATGATGCTAACATGGTTAGCAAAACGCGCGTCCAGTGTAAAAGTAAAAGTGTTTTGGTGTGTTGTGGTGATTTAGTGTTTTATTTTGCTGAGTTATAACATTCAAAAGAAAACTGCCTTAAAATAATCAAACTTCAACCTTCAATATGCAAAACGAGATATTTTTTCCAAATAGTAAATACCGAGATATGAATTTTTCTTTCTAATAATAAGAATAATAAAAGGCGGAGGACCTTCCTGTTAAAATTGAGAGCTCATACTTGAAGAGCATTTTTTTTGAGAGGTCTACCAACCTTTTTTCACAGTACAAACCAAAGAAAATCTTTGATGACGTGAACACCAACTTTTATCAATTTCTTTGTACCTGATCTGATTTTTTTCCTTGTCTGGGAGTGGGCCCCCCATCTGTCATTACTCTTCGAGCAAAGGGGCCCCATGCCGGATCGTTTTGCTGCTGTTCCACCAAATTTGCCAAGTTCAATTCTTTAGGAAATATATTGGTTTCTGTACGAGGATAACTTATAAAACCCTGCGTATACAGTCTTTCAGCGATTTTCATTGTGTCTTTTGCATTGATTTTCAGTTTTTTCGATATAGTTTTTTCCATTTCCTAAATTTTATTATAGAGTTAGCCAGTGGATTCTACGTGAAAAACTATACAGGACACAGTTTTCACATTTTCGATAAGTTATATGATAACAAAAATACAAAGGAGGACAAAAATTGCAACATTTTAAAATTCGCCCTGTATATCAAGAACCAAGGGGGCTAGGACAAATCTATGTGTAGCGTCTTTAGTTTCATAAAAAAGTAGCATAGTAATATGAAAGCGCATCTTTGTATCTGAACTCAAACAAGAAACCCTGTAAAACACTGAAAATGGACACCCTGTACAGAGATTATGTAAACAAATAATTTAGTAGCAATATAATTCCTACTGATTTATTGCTATTTTATTTCTGTTGTTCTCATACACCACTCGTAATTGTACAAGTTGAAAATAAAGACATTTTATTATTATTATTATAATTAGGTATACCATATACAGGGTCCAAAACATAGACTTAAAATAAAATATAGACTGAGCATCTCATTCATAAATAGCTGGAACATGCGGTCAGACAATGTCTTGTTATTGTTGTGTTATTGTTTTAGGTTATAACGAGTGCGACACGAGCGATAGATAGGTTGTCTCTGTCGTAACGGTCGTTCCCCGACGACTCTGCCGAGAAACACAACACTGTCTTTCGTTTCTCAAATACACCTGAACTCTCCGTATCATAGCCGGGTAATTTTTATTTTAATGAAGCTACAATTAAATTAAAAATATATCGTATTTAAACTTTTTTATATTTTATTAAGATTTAGGACAGGTTTTTTAAATAAAAGTTTAGAAAAAACGTCTTAGAGTCCAAAAAGGATAAAAATAACAAAATACACGTTATAGAAGAAATTTTATAATCGAAATTACGTAATTTTTGAAATGAATAATAAATTATTAATTTTAGTCAAACATTTACAACCTCTAATATTAATCAAAACAGGATCTATTCCACAGATATAATAGAATCGGCGACAGGGAGAGAAAAAAAATATGATTGTTGTAATTTTTTTTCTGGTTAAGTGATGTCTTATGTAAATTAGGGAAAACATAAATCTGTTCCATTAAAGGAAGGAAGGTGACAGGAAGTGGATAAAATGAAAACTACATTTATTTAACTCGGTACTGTCTTTATTATACCGGGTGCGTCCCAAAAGTCCCATAATTTTTTTTATATTTTCAAATAAAAAAACAAGATTTAGTATGTTAGTACATGACATAAATTAGGATTGATTGACGCATTCAATTGTTTTTGGTCACTTCCTGTTTCACCGGAAATGACTATAACTTTTAATTTTTAAACGGCACCCTTGGTATATTTCTACTTTATTCGATAGAAAATGATACTCTGAATAGACTGACATATCATATGTCAACTTTTGACATTCTCGCATATGGTTTAATTGTAATTGTAACACGCGGTTCATAACGACAATTTGACTCGAAATACCAAGTGTGTGGTATCAATATATTCATAAAAAAATGCTTTTTCCAAATATGCTAATGAGTCACCCTTGTTCCATTTGAAAAAATTGACATATGTATGATTAAAAATACGATTTGTACATCTTTTAACCGGCCTAGACAAGACACAGAAACCCATTAGACGATCAAAACTATTTTTCCAAGGCTCCTTGATTAAAACTTAGTGTTTTTAACAACACCATGGCACCCTGGATTGAAATTTAAAATAGGATTTGTTTTTAAGCGACAATGTCAAAAGTTGACTTATGATATGTCATTCTATTCAGAGTATCATTTTTTATCGAATAAAGTAGCAATATACCGAGGGTGCCTTTAAAAATCAAAAGATGTAATCATTTCGGTGAAACAGGAAGAGACCAAAAACAATTGAATACGTCAATAAATCCTAATTTATGTCATATACCTACTAACATACAAATCTGTTTTTTTATCTGAAAAAATAAAAAAGTTATAGGGGTGAGCCACTTTTTGAGACGACCCGGTATATTAAAAATATTGTTTCATAATGTAATATCATTTTAAAATTCTTGTATGTTATTTTAGATTCTGAAGATAATTTTAGAATAAACCGGAATATATTTTTAATAAAAACATTATTAATTATTAACAGGGTTATAATTATGATTTTGTGTACAATGTAAGTAAGTAAATAATGTAATGTAAGAGAAAAAATTCAGATTTTACATTTTACTAAAATATTATGTAAATAAGCGCCTTTCTACAACAACGCCACTGTCTCCCAATGGGTAAATTGAGAGTTGCCTACCGGTCAAAAGTCGTTTCAAGACTTAAATGGATTGTTTAAGTCAAATTTCTTGCAAATTTGGCACTGGCGAACCATATTTTATAGTTCTTGAACAGAAAAAGTCAATAAAATAAACACTTAAGGACTACAAGCTAAGAAAATGCGTTAATACAGCCGGGGAGACAGCGGCAACAAAGCTTTACCGCACACGTGCGACACGTACTACAAGGTAATAAATGAATGAATAGGCTCCCTCGCCTCTAATCGGTGTTGTCATGTTGTAAAGAACTTATCCTTTTTTAAACAGTATCCGACTTATAATTTAGTAGTATAAGGACTATTTAATACATCTCTGGAATATTAAAACCTACTTTATTAAACTGTAGTATTAATATCTCAATATATGTGTATAACAAGAAAAAAAATATTGATAATATTAAAGACGTGACAACATAGGCTGGATGAGGAAGGCTCGGTCGACTGTACCCAGAAGTAAACACGTGTACAAAAAATATTGTCTGTCCGCGTTGAGATGTAAATAGTGTAGTCTATATTTTATTTTAAGTCTATGGTCCAAAATCACTGTTATTTTACTTTGAAAATTATAAAAAAATGATTTTTATGTAAATTTTGAGAACCACTGGATTTTTTCAGGGTTTTCCTTCTTGTAATTTTAATCTTCTACATATGTTGCCATATTATCAAGAATTTATGTTTTTTAACTAAAAAAAAAAAATAAAAAAAAAACCATAGGCGTGTTTCTGGGGTAGAAATATACTACCCCTAAAATACTTTCACTTATTTAAGACTCACCCTGTATAATACAAATTAAACTAACTTACTACAGTGTCTAGTGGTAAAGGTCTCCATTTACTTTTGGGCTTGCTATCCACGCTTTCCACTGTTGCCAGTGGAGTTTCCTTGCAATGATCTAAAATCGCCCCGCAAGCATTTTTATCAAACAATCTGTTCCTTTTCCATAAAAATTCTGTGGTCAATTCTTTCAAAGTGTGCATCACTGTAAACATATGTTAATACAAAAACATTCAAAACAACTATTTACTGAGCGACCCAGTGTTCCTAAAAAGCTTGAATATACAGGGTGATTCAAATATATTTTTATAAACACTGGATCAGGTTGTATAAACAGGCTCCTACAAAAGTGCATTCTAGCTCATATATAATAAAAAACTTAAGATTATTTTTTTTTAAATGCAAACCTAAAATATGTACTAGGATGTTCTAGCAACTTCCACAGGGTGGCTCAAAAAAGTATGAGTGAATTTGGATGTTTTTTTTTAAATGGAACACCCTGTATATTATTGCATTGGCTCTTACTTTTTGAGCGACCCTGTAGAAGATAAAACATTTTTCCTGAAATACATCCTGGTACATACTTTAGGAATGCACTTAAACAAAATTCCTAAATTCTTTTTTATAGGACTTACAGAGATGCCAGAAGCACTGTTGCTGGACCCTGTATATCCAAAAAAGTACTTTTAATTTTCCAAAACGGTTCTGCTATAAAATCCTCAATAGCTTGATATCTTTCAACGACAAACCCCAAGGTAGGAAACTGACAAGAACCGTAACTTATAAGTTTTTCTGCTAGTTTCTGTGGAAAAACTTGCCGTAGTCGCAAAGTCTGTAGTCTAGTAAAGGCAGCTCCTAAAAAAAATTAAAATAACCATCATTTAAACAATAATATTAAGTAAATTGGGGTACCAGTTCGCAAATCTAATTCTTGCCGAACATCCACTGCATCACTGATATTTTTATTCGGCTGTCCTAAGGTATTTAAAGCCCTAAAAACTGAAGCCGCTGTAATTTCAGAAAATTTCGCCCTGTATATCCTTAAGTTTGGTTTAATATCTGTGCAAACTTTGATTATTTCATATCCTATATTCTCTCCTTCTCTGTCACAATCGGTCCATATAATCAATCCCTGACAAGAACGTATTTCTCTCTCTAAAGTTCTCTATAAAATACCAAAAAAATACTTTTAAACACAATACCTATAAATAAAATAAATTACCTTAATTTTTTCATAGTCTTTTGAACAATTTTTAACAACTGGAGCATCAAATAACGCTACAGGGTTACAACTTTGCCAGCTACGATACGTTGATACAAATTCATAATTTAATAAATGTCCTGATACTGATGTCATGACCATTTGGCAGTTTTCGCCAAACACTTGTGCACTGAACTCGTATATTTTATTATACGGTGAAAAACCTTCTCTCTAAAATAAGTAAATGATATTAAAATGTTTTAAGAAAGACTAAAAAGTTATTCGAACTCTATTTGAATTCCCTCTGGACAAAATGGCAGCGATATTTTTAGCTGCATCGTTCTTTTCGGCTACATTCAGATATTTCATTATCGTATTCTTGCTTTTTGTACAATAAAATCGAGGAATTAATAGCTTAAAATTGTAAATAACTTTTAAAAATCCCATTTGTTTTCTTTTGAAAGTGACATTTCGAAACAGAGGTTAATTTCTAGGGTTTTCTTTTTTGCAAAACCTTTTTTGTGTCTTCTCAAAATTTATGTTGGTCCTACTGCCGGTTCTTTGGCGCGATTTGTATGACAGATGACGGCTGTTATTGGTTATTGGAATTTGGCATTTAATTTATAGAAAAATTGAGATAAAAATTAACAATTTTGAGTGAAAAGAAGTTATTTAAACGTTTGTATGTATGGTATCGATTTGAAAAAAGTATTACAAAGGCTGTAGATTGAAAATATGGCCACCGTTGGTGATAAAGGGGATGCAGGTTCGTATACAAGTAAAATTTTATGTATGCAGTATAATGTTTGTGAATTTCATTTATACAATTCAATAAGACACCTGCAATTGTAATAAGGCAATTAAATTATGTGGTACTTGGTTTCTAGAAACGTTTGATGATGCTGTAGAAGAAAGGGTAATCAATGAGGAATACAAGATATGGAAACGAAACACCCCTTTTCTGTACGATTTGGTGATGACCCATGCCTTAGAGTGGCCCTCTTTAACAGCCCAGTGGTTACCTGATGTTACCCGACCCGAAGGAAAGGACCATTCACTACACAGATTGATTTTGGGCACACATACAAGCGACGAACAAAATCATTTACTAATTGCAAGGTAATTCAAGGAGATATAGCTTCATTATTTGCTTTCACATGTCAATTTCAGTGTTCAATTGCCAAATGAAGATGCCCAGTTTGATGCATCACATTATGATAATGAAAAAGGAGAATTTGGTGGCTTTGGATCTGTTTCAGGAAAGATAGAGATTGAAATTAAGATAAACCATGAAGGAGAAGTGAATAGAGCCAGATATATGCCCCAAAATCCGTGTGTTATAGCCACTAAAACACCATCGAGTGATGTTTTAGGTATGCCATTATTTTTTACCTTTTTAATAGTGTTTAAAGTGTATTTAATAACATTTTAGTGTTTGATTATACAAAGCATCCTTCTAAACCTGATCCCAGTGGAGAATGTCATCCAGATTTGAGACTGAGGGGCCACCAGAAGGAGGGTTATGGATTATCTTGGAACCCCAATCTCAATGGTTATTTATTATCAGCTAGTGATGATCATACAATTTGTCTGTGGGATATCAATGCCACACCTAAAGAAAACAGAGTTATTGATGCAAAAACCATTTTCACAGGTTGTTTATTCTGATGTTTATGACTTAATATTAAAGATTTTTTTGTTTTTTCAGGTCATACAGCTGTTGTTGAAGATGTGGCATGGCATTTACTGCATGAAAGTTTGTTTGGTTCAGTAGCTGACGATCAGAAACTGATGATTTGGGATACAAGATGTAACAATACAAGTAAACCTTCCCATACTGTTGATGCTCACACAGCAGAAGTCAACTGTTTAAGTTTTAATCCATATTCAGAGTTTATCTTGGCTACAGGTAATAAAAATAGAATCTTAATTAAAAAAATTTATATTTATAAATTTATATTTTTAGGTTCGGCTGATAAAACAGTAGCTTTATGGGATTTGAGGAACCTCAAGCTAAAACTGCACAGTTTTGAATCACATAAAGATGAAATTTTCCAAGTCCAATGGTCGCCACATAATGAAACGATTTTGGCATCGTCAGGAACAGATAGGAGGCTTCATGTTTGGGATTTAAGTAAAATAGGTATTTGGGTTCAATAAATAGTTATTTATATAAATTAATTATATAATTAAATTATGTATTAGGTGAAGAACAAAGTGCTGAGGATGCAGAAGATGGTCCACCAGAATTGCTGTTTATTCACGGAGGCCATACAGCTAAAATATCTGGTAAGATACAGCAAAAAAGGGGTTTTATTGATACTTAGCAATGGATTTTTAATAGATTTTAGTTGGAATCCGAATGAGCCCTGGGTAATATGCTCGGTATCCGAGGATAACATAATGCAAGTGTGGCAAATGGCTGAAAATATTTACAACGATGAAGAACCAGAACAGCACACTCCAGATCCTGAAGTTCCTGCTTCATAATACGCAAAATAATCAAATTTAAATTGTATATCATTGTGCACGTTTTATGTGAACTATTTTAGTTAATTTTAACAAAATTTTGTCTTTTTTTAGTGATGTTTAACATTATTTACATTTTTTATCGCTGTAAAACTTTATATAAATGAAGCAATAAAGATGGTTAATTTTTTAATACACAGTATAATATGTTCGTATGTTTAGAAATTTTAATCTTCTAAAAGTTCTTTTGAAAAAATTCATCAGCTGTTATTATTACGCGCGAACATGGTGGCCAACATGGCATAAGAAAATTTTCCAAGCTCATTCTCCATACCTCTATATCTCTGGTTTGTATTGGTATTCGTCATTAGTGATATAAAAGTCCCTAGATTTTTGTTGACAGTGACAGTTACAAAAATAAAGAAGGTTATGTACGATGTTTATTTTTTATATTTTCTGTTTGACTTGTCAAGCAAAATAAACATAAAATCTCATTTGATTATTTAGTGTGATAAGTTTTTTTTTGTGATAATTTAAAGGCTGTAAATAAAATGATTGGAGCGTTGAACGTTTGATAAAGGAAAAGACATGGAAAATTTGTTCGAAGAAATCGGAATTCCGCCCAAGTACCTGAAGAAATCTGCGAAAGACGATAGATTTGTCGCTTTAGTTCATAAACAATGGCTTAAGTAAATTATTTTATTTAATAAAAACCTTTTTTCTTAATATTCTATGTTCTAGATCATTAGTGAAACATTCCAAGCTTATAGACTTTATCGAAAAGCCAAAACTAGAAGCGTGGCATTGTATAGAAGACACAAACTCGCTGTGGATTAAAGTTTTCGTTTCTGTTTTCAAGAAGAAAGACGCTAAAGTCATCCCACTGCCTCGTATTAGGCCTAATTTAGCCAAAGATGATAACCCCTTGCTCTTTGTACAATTCTTGCAATACATTTCCCATTCCAATTATAAAAATCTCTGGAAGGATGCTTATAAGAAATATAATGGAAATATTGATATTAATAAAGATACTCAGGTATTTTCTCACTAATTTACTGTCGTTTTGTGGTATTTTTGTATTTTTTTCCTCTTAGGTAACTCTTGTTGACTATAATCATGTTTTAAGAGAAATAATTTTAAGAATTTACGGCTGTTCGATAGTAAATACTCTAGATTCCTCATTAAGCATAGAACATTCGAAGGTTTTTGATGTTAATTTAAACGTTTTACCAGCTTGTTGTGGTGTGGAGACAATGAACGCAATATTTTTACTTCACATTCCATTTATAGAGCATAACTTACTAGACGGTGTTACTTTTAGCCCTGCAATTTTAGGTAAGGTAACTTTTTATAATCAAAAAAAAGAAAAAGAAGGTTAGACAAGAAAAAGTATGTATATATTAAATATTTTTTTTATTTTAGATAAATGTTACTCAAAACCTTTATTTATTATTTACCAACTAATAAATCTGTTAAAATCTCTCCACGACAGGAGTCTAACTTTAGGCGATATAACGTTAAATGATATTTATTTTTCTGAAGACTTATGGATCTATGTGTTTCCCCAAATAACTTCCAATATTTACGTTCAAGATTTGACGAATTTTGAACCGAGACATCCCACTTTTAGGGACTGCAGGTTAAAAAAAAAGTTTTTCTTTCAAATTTGTATTATTAAAAAAAATATTTTTTTCAGAAAATTTGGTCATAAATTTGACAGCAGTTTGATGAGATGTTTTTACTGTCAATTGAAAACGTACGATAAGGTTCAAATTTGTGAAGAAAGTCTAGAGGAAATATGCCAGTTGTGGATCGAAGGAAAAATATCGAATTTTACTTATATCTCAGCTTTAAATAAATTTTCAGGTACGATTAATGATATTAAAATGCTTCAGATTTAATTTTTATTTAAGACCAATTTTTTTTAAATCCTTTTTTTTAAAGTATGATCACCCTGTATACGGAGTGGTCCGAATTGTATTTGAGAAACTTCGGCAGCATATTCTGCAGATAAAAATGAGTAAAAAAGTTTATATAAATGTATATCCTAAAATGCTTTATTTCGGAGATACAGGGTGTAAAAGTTTCATTTTTATTTCTATTTTTTGAGACATATTATGATGAGAAAATACAATTCGGACCATCCTGTATACAGTTTTGTTTTATTATTCAATTATTGAAAGTGAGTTTAAAGTAAATTTAATAGCAGAATAGTAAAAATTCTTCTATTGTGTTTTAAAAAAATGCGCCAATCTGCATACAGTAGGGTGGGTAAAAAAATCGACTATTTTTTTCACTCTATACTGTGAAAAAAAGGTTGGTAAACACCTCAAAAAAATTCTCTCCAAGTATGAGCTTTCAGTTTTCTATTTTTTCCTTATTATTAGAAAGAAAAATTTATATCTCGGTATCTAATACTTGGAAAAAATATATCTTTTCATATATTTGTAGAAAATTGAATTCTCTACAAAAAAGGTATCCTGCAATTTTTTTGTAAACCTCACCATTCGAAAGTTATTAAAGGTTGAAGCACAGATTAGGTAAACTATATGTATACAGATAAAAATCTTATTCCTAATTCGTGGTACGAAATTAGGGATTGTTTAGGAATTGTTTTTTATGACGATGAGGAAACGAGTAAAATTTCCTGTGCGCAAAAATAAACTCGCGTAAAATAACAATAAAATAAACAGCGTAATAGAGAGATATCGGTAAACCGAATAGCGTGCATGGACGTTAATAAGGCCAGGTGTTATTTCCTTTACGTGAGGTGGTATTAACTCTCTTCATTTATAGTTATCGGATCGGAAAGAATTCTGTTCGCGTCATGTCCGCTATATAAACTTAACCTAACTTTGAATTTAAAACTTTAAAATTGTTTTTTTACTAGGTATTTTAAAACTAAAGGGCTAAAGTGCTTATTTCCAGTGCTTTATTGTTCAATGTCTGCCAGTGGGTTTAGGGCAACAAGCAACACATTCTCTTAGAAGAGCTAAGTCGTCATCTGCTGTAAACCTAAGCCTCTTTATAGGTTCTTTAATATTGGAAGAGGTGGAATCCATGTTTTGGGCCATATTTATTTAATTAAAACTAATCCCAGCTACTTAAATATCAAATTACCTAATGAAACTAAAGTAATAATTCAAAACAATTCAAACATAACCTAAAATAAAAGATCTCGCCGGCCAAATCAGGCCGAAAGCCACCTCTAAGAATCTCGCCGGCCCGGCCCCTGGTGTCAAATACCCGCACATGTAGGGATCGGCAAGACAAGAAATCTTGTCTTGACAAGCAATTTCTTGTCTTGTCTTGAAATATTTTCAAGAATTAAAAAAAAATCTTGTCTTGGCCATTTCTTGAGAATTGATTTCTTGTCTTGATTCAAGAAATCTTGAAATTTCTTGATATCTTGACAAAAGGGGAACCCCAGTTTAAAATTCGTTTATTAAAGGGGAACCCCCTGTTTAAAAGTCGCGGTAAGATTGGTTAATGTGATGTTTATGCTTTATGCGTAAAATCGAGGGTCAGGGCATCTAATTTTCAAAAAATTCAAAAATTTTGGGCTTATTATACTACAGTAGCCAAAATCATCAGATTTACATAATTTTGTTAATTATTATTATTATTATCTAACATTAAAATGAGTGATTGTGAGGGTTCATTGAGCAGCAAATCTGAGCCATTCGTAATTGAATCTGGTTCAGAATACCTACCACCTCAGACACCTGGACGTAGAAGTTTAATTAGTGATTTTGACAGTAGTGACGGTGATAATACTACTACCAAAGACTACTACCTTTGAATAAGAAGACTAAGGAAGGAGCATAATGATATCCATGTATTCATGCATGGTGGGCGGAAAAAGCGCCATAAAAGCACTCTAGGGTGGGGATCCTTGACAGTTCTGTTTGACGATTCATTTGACACATTTGAATTTGATTTGAAATTTTGTGGATTTGTCAGTCTTTATGGAGCTTATTTTATGTTATTTATTATTTATTCTACTATTGATAGTTGTATAAAGGTAGTAAATCTAGATGGAAATTGTGGCAGAACTTAAATTAACAGTGACACTATCGCGATTTATCGAAAAAGACTCTAAAATAGTTGGTTGTGTAGCGTGCGGTAGATCTCGGCAAAAATTGAGTGAAATAATGGAACAACTTTTCGCTAGTAAGTGACTATATAATATACATACGTGTAGTAAACCGATCATTTATGAAATTCACTTAAATTAACTAAATTATATATTTTCTTGCATTTTAGCTTTTATTTATTACTTGTCAAAGATTAGATGTCAAAGAATTTAGATACGTTAATTTGACTTACCTGCTTCAGTAGCGTATCGGATGTTTGTGTTAATAAATACTTATTATAACTTATCTATTTTTTATTAGAATTATATATTTTTATAACAATTTTAATAACTACCAACATTTATTCACAACGTAAAATAAAACAACAAATTATTGAGTCTACCCCACGTCTACCCTACATCATAGTTTTACATTTTTTAAATAAAATTAGAACGACACTGATAAACCGGAATTTAAGTCGGCCATATTTGAGGCCCATCGCGGTGTACCTAAGATTTTTGATATGCTCCTTCCTTAGTCTTCTTATTCAAAGATTATTATCTATTTCTCCGTCAGCATTTCGAACTCTAATAATATTTTCAATATTATTCATTGTTTATTAACAATTTTCACGAACCCCAAAAGAGAAAAACAAAAGTCAGTTCGTGAGGTTATTTGGTAACGTTAACGTTTGACAGATGACGTGTTAAATAAACGGTTCAAAATCTAAAATGACAGTACCTGGCCAACAAATTTTGTCGGTTATTTTTCACAAACTGCGCATGATCAGTATAACGTTTAGCGTTTTACGTCATTTACCAAATAGGCGACCTAAAAACTCTCTATTGACTCGCGCATATCGTAACCATGATAAGGTACGCGTAAATACTGCATGACGCTATTCGGTTTTCCGATATCTCTCTAATAACTGTGCCGGTCAGGCGCTGTGCACAATTTTAGTGGCCATAAGTGGGCGTGCTATGTGCGCAAACTAGTAACCTAACTAGTGCCCGATTCCGAAAATTGGAACCACGAAAAACAATAAAGAAAAAGCAAAGTTTATAATCTGTGCTAATAATAAGTATAAAAATAGAAACCTGAAAGGCGGAGAGAATTTTTTTCAGGTGTAGAAAAAAATAGTCGATTTTTTTTGACCCACCCTAGTATACAGGGTGACCCAGCTTTCATTTTCAACTTCAGGAAGAAAATTAGGAGACCCAAACTGTCACTATGTTTTCCCGTGGGTCAGCGATTTCTCGTCAGCCTGCGGCAAAAACTGGCGCGATTTGAAAAAGTCAAAGTACAGATTGAACAAAGGAGATAGACAGCTGGATTTGACGTACGACCATTCACAAGCTCAAGTAAGTCAGATTTTATTTAAATAAAGTACTATAAAGTCTGTCCAAGGAGTCAAGAGACGATTTCGACAGAGGATATCCAAAAAATGATAGAAAATACGATCCGCGGTTTGACCAGAGTTTTTTATTGCCAATAATAATGCAATCCCAGAGAAATAAGTAAATATAGATACTTCTTTCTTTTATTTTAGTTGAAAATACGTCTAAAATTCTATTAGTATTTGTTAAAAAAATAAGCACAGTGTGTTTTATAGAATAATTAGTAATTCCACTGATATAATTATTAAAATTAATTTTCTTAACATATTGTGAAGAAACTTAAAATTACTCTTTATAAACACGCAAATTTCAGGAGAATGAACCTGCGCACAGTGGTTCCCAGATAGGTCGTTACTTAGAAATACTAATTTCAAAATGTTTGCATGAAATTGTTGCTAATACTTTTCTTATATTCCCATATAAACTATACATAATAAATAACAAAATCAGGTAAGCCTAGTGTAGCGCTTTTTTTATTAGAAATGTCACATTTTTGCTACGCTAGATAACGCCAATTAATTACTTATTTTATTAAAATTGATGATTGAAAGCTGTTGCCTTTTCTGTAATGGACGTTCGAAAAGAAGGTAAAAAGGTGCTTTGGAAATGTTTCCATAAAAATACAAAATTTTCCATTGCAAAAAAGTTACAGCGATTTGTTAAAAATGCATATTTTTGAAAAACACCCCGTAACTCCGAAACGGTAATAGATATTGATGTGCGGTTTTCACCATCATGTTTTTGATGAAAATTGAGCTCCAGACAGCGATCTTAGTTTTCGTCTATATCCTATAGAAAAGGGTGTTTCCATTTAAAAGCGTCGAATTTGAGCCACCCTGTACATATGTGCAAACATAATCTGTATACCTCTCCGAATAGTTAGAACTTAAAATGCAAATCACAGGAACTGGGCCCAATTTTTTTAATACATATTACATTAAGTTTTTTATATACATTTATTTAGCATTGGTTATCAATTTCTATTAAACCAATTTCTCTCACCAATTTCCATTAAAAAAGGTGCAATCAAGCTATATCTAGATATTTAGCAGTTATGACCGCGCAGCTAATTAAGGGGAACCACTGTGCTGCGGTACTAAAAAGTTTTTAAAATTTTTCAAATACTTGCACCTACTTACGAAACACCCTGTATCTAGGTTCCCCATCACGTGTCTGACGTACTCTCGTCCATAACCTACTACGTCTATATGGCTCGAAGGACGCCGAAATCCGTACTATGTAAGAACGTGAGAACCGTTTGGGTACCGGCAGAGTACCCCAGTTCAATCCAGAGGATGCAGGAATGGACTCCGGATGAGTGTATCCCGGAATTCTTTTCGGATCCCTCGGTATTCAGGAGCATTCACGACGATCTGGAGGACCTGGAGGTACCGTTGTGGTCATCAGGGCCTGAGGATTTCGTGGAAAGGCATAGAGAAGCACTGGAGAGTGCCTATGTGTCTGAGAGACTGCATCACTGGATTGATTTGACTTTTGGATACAAGTATGAACGATATTTTGTTGTTATTTAGGTAGCTTTTATAGAAATTTAAAATTTGTTCTACATTTTTTCAAAATGTTAAATATGTCAAAAAATTACATTTTAGTTATACCGTGCTGGCAACTGTTACTTTTGGGTCGGTATTTACATGTGTGGAAGTAAATCGCATAGGAATCTTATTAAGTCGGAGTGAGAGAAATGCGACCGACCGACGCGACGCACAGTGGGCAAAAATCCAGAAGTATGTTGCAAAAATTCTTTTTTTGTACGATTTCATTCAAATTTGGTAAAAACATTCTATGCTAGTAGCCCGTGAACCCAGTTAGTTTTGGCTGACTTGAGAGTGGTTGGGGGTGGTGGGGGGGATTCATAAAATGGGAAAAATCATCTATTGACTAATACAGCTACCAAAAGGCGGTAAGAATATTTTATATTTCACTGAATTTTACGATTTTTGGCAGAGCCAAGATGAAACAGACAAATATTGAGCAATTATTACTCCTCCGGCATATACAGGGTTTGTTTTATATATTGACATCCTCTGTATCTTTTTTATTCGACGCTTTCGAAAAAAGTGTCTTGAATAAAAGTTTAATGGTCTCGAATACATTTTTCAGAACAGTCTTCTTTGCATATACAGGGTGCCTTAGAAATCCTGTGCGTGGCCCAACTTTCTTATTTCAAATTAGTACCCAATTTCTTATTTGATTTTTATTTTCTCCTAAAAATCCTAACCATTTTTATGTAGCATAGCCTATACCCTTGTTTATATATTCTTCTATACCTAATTGGAAATAAGAAAGTTGAACCATGCCCAGACTTTTTGAAGCACTTTGTATATGGAAAATAGACTTTTTTGGCAAATTTATTCAAAACCACTTTCATTTGAGACAGTTTTCGGAAACGTCAAATAAAAAAGATAAAGGGGGTGTCAATGTATAAAAGAAAACCCTGAGTATACTAATCCAATCTATTCAAGATTGTTTGTCATTTAATAAGTTGGGTCTCTAATAATACCAGACAATATGTGAACAATATTTTATTATTATATTTTAAATAAGTAACCATATTCTGAGAATTAAACAATGACGATTTAGAAAATAACAGAACTTATACCTATTAAAAATATCTAAATTTTATTTTACCATTTACTATTTACTGATATTTTGTTTTCTAACAGCTGGATGCAATGGTCACGAAGTGCACATTTTTAAATCTGAAAGAAAAATCCATTTCATTTAATTTAAAAAATTTGGTACTGTCAAAATTTGTCAATTTGTCAAAAAATGTCATTTGACATTTCTGACATACCCCTTCGGAAATCTTGAGAAAAAAATACGTAACTTTATATTTCAAGTTCTTCTCTAGCTACTATAACAATTAATTTATGAGAAGTATCTTCATAAAGGATCTTACTATACACATACGCATGGAGGCTTACGCTTCCAATAAATTTAATGTTGCGATTTTTTGCGATTTTTTTGACTCAACTTTTATAAGACAGAATATATGCCACTATCAAAAAAACCTTAAATGATTATGTTCTACTTTGACCTTTACCTAGTTTTTATTCAAAAAATCAAAATAAAAGATACTTTTTTACTTACCTTGACATTAAATTTACCGCAACCGGGAATCTACGTAAAACACGTTATGACAATTTTACAATAATTATTGACAGCAAGCTAAAGTCGTCCGATTCAATTGTTATACTACTGTGTCACTTGAATGCAACGCCTACTATTTAGAAAATTGTAGAAAAAAGGCAGTTATTGGACACAAATTTACTGAAAATGTAGGATTTGCGCAAAGTTCGTTTTACAGCCCCTCGAAAGAGACTCCGAATATGTTTTTTTGTTAGTTTTATGTGGTTTCCTCTTTACTAATATGTTTCCAATCTAATGTTATTGTCATAAATGCTAACTGTGGATGTTATTTTTTGCAACTTGGTTTGGACATATTGCCTACTGTGCGACGGTGTGCTGTTGCGGCGTTGCCGATATCAAAATCACGATCGCAAACCGCTTATTTTTAAAAGACTTTTTTTTCAAGAGATAACTAGAAAATTACAACGACTCGTTGATAAATAAACAAATCAAGTATCACGAAACGTAATTAAATCGTGAAGCTGAACGCATAACGTACACCTTTCCCTAGAACTTTAAGTACTGACAGAGGTATTGATTGGGTCGACCGGTCAACTGCGACAAATCTGCTATATCCCCTTCCACGTCTCTTAGCGATGTGCACAGTTTCTCGGTTTATTTCATACGTTTGGCAACGTGTTTACTGTCCTCTCTTTGTTCAGTACATTATAAACGCATTGTACTCTTCTTGCATACGGAAATCTCGACCCAAGAGTTTGCCAGCCCTTAGTATGCTTTTTTAATGAAACAAGTGTCACAACCTTTATTTTTTCCTTGAATCGGAAAATCAATTAATATATACGGTGCTCCATTACAAAAAACACAACTTTGATGCGTAACTTTTTTAGGTGTACACCCTGTGGAACTCTATATATTTTAAAAAATGCTCTAAATTAACCTACATATGCTCACGAAATTTTATTTCAATACAAACTGTCGTTCTCCTTGCCGTGGTTTTTTGAGGCGTCACCCTGTATAGCTGTTAATTTGCAAATAACTATTAACAACAACAAATAATTGAATTTATTGTTATTCCAGATTATCAGGTATCCCTGCAATTAAGGCAAAAAACGTTTGCCTGCATTTGGCTGATGATCACACTTATCTGACAAAATCTGGTAAAATTCTTAAAAAAAAACATCAGACAAGTTTGGTTATGTTTGAAATTATTTGTTTTTATAGGAATAGTTCAACTATTTAGTCGTCCCCATCCACCCAAAGCTATACCTTCTCCGTTTTGGAGCAAAAATCCGCCTAAATTTTACAATACTACGCCTTCAAAAAGTGTTCATCAAAGATCTAGAGATAAGAGTACTTCGGCTTCGACCAGCGAAGTGAATAGAAGCGATGAAGAGGTAGTTGAATATGCAACTTACAATACACCGACTCTTAGTAGTATACATATAAAAGAATATACTGTGGGTACTGCATAAATTCTTGTGTTGCCAGAAGTATTCTTTTTATAATTCCAAATATATTATAAGACTATATACTAGTACCGCATTTACACAATAAGTGGAATGTGAAGCCGAAGAAAAGAAATAGGAATATCAATCTTGCATAAGTCTATCCTTTTGGTTCAATGGGATTTTGGTGCGCACGCGCCAAATAAAACGATCGGTTCGTCTACCTCGTCGCTGAACGCTGTCACTATTTTAAACTCTAAATATTACTAACGTATAATATATTATTTTTTTATTGGTAATGGCATTATTTCAACCTGTTATTTTAGATATTCATCGTATCTATCCGTTTCTTGTTTTTGTTTAAATATGTCGGAGAGTAAATTTAAATTTATAAGTAAAGGCGCGAATAGTCGGACGCTAAATTGATTTACGTGGTATACTCTGTGAAACGAATAACTTTGAATTTGACAGGTCCCGCGGGCTTTTCTAGTGTTAATTTTATTAGGTTAGCACTTTGAATAAGAAGACTAAGGAAGGAGCATAGCAAAAATCTTAGGTACACCGCGATGGGCCTCAAATATGGCCGACTTAAATTCCGGTTTATCAGTGTCGTTCTAATTTTACTTAAAAAATGTAAAACTATGATGTAGGGTAGACGTGGGGTAGACTCAATAATTTGTTGTTTTATTTTACGTTGTGAATAAATGTTGGTAGTTATTAAAATTGTTATAAAAATATATAATTCTAATAAAATAGATAAGTTATAATAAGTATTTATTAACACAAACATCCGATACGCTACTGAAGCAGGTAAGTCAAATTAACGTATCTAAATTCTTTGACATCTAATCTTTGACAAGTAATAAATAAAAGCTAAAATGCAAGAAAAATATATAATTTAGTTAATTTAAGTGAATTTCATAAATGATCGGTTTACTACGTATGTATATTATATAGTCACTTACTAGCGAAAAGTTGTTCCATTATTTCACTCAATTTTTGCCGAGATCTATCGCACGCTACACAACCAACTATTTTAGAGTCTTTTTCGATAAATCGCGATAGTGTCACTGTTAATTTAAGTTCTGCCACAATTTCCATCTAGATTTACTACCTTTATACAACTATCAGTGGTAGAATAAATAATAAATAACATAAAATAAGCTCTGTAAAGACTGACAAATCCACAAAATTTCAAATCAAATTCAAATGTGTCAAATGAATCGTCAAACCTTTGAATAAGAAGACTAAGGAAGGAGCATAATGCTATCCATGTATTCATGCATGGTGGGCGGAAAAGGCACCATAAAAGCTCTCTAGGGTGGGGATCCTTGACAGTTCTGTTTGACGATTCATTTGACATATTTGAATTTCATTTGAAATTTTGTGGATTTGTCAGTCTGTATGGAGCTTATTTTATGTTATTTATTATTTATTCTACTACTGATAGTTGTATAAAGGTAGTAAATCTAGATGGAAATTGTGGCAGAACTTAAATTAACAGTGACACTATCGCGATTTATCGAAAAAATACTCTAAAATAGTTGGTTGTGTAGCGTGCGGTAGATCTCGGCAAAAATTGAGTGAAATAATGGAACAACTTTTCGCTAGTAAGTGACTATATAATATACATACGTGTAGTAAACCGATCATTTATGAAATTCACTTAAATTAACTAAATTATATATTTTTCTTGCATTTTAGCTTTTATTTATTACTTGTCAAAGAATTTAGATACGTTAATTTGATTTACCTGCTTCAGTAGCGTATCGGATGTTTGTGTTAATAAATACTTATTATAACTTATCTATTTTTATTAGAATTATATATTTTTATAACAATTTTAATAACTACCAACATTTATTCACAACGTAAAATAAAACAACAAATTATTGAGTCTACCCCACGTCTACCCTACATCATAGTTTTACATTTTTTAAATAAAATTAGAACGACACTGATAAACCGGAATTTAAGTCGGCCATATTTGAGGCCCATCGCGGTGTACCTAAGATTTTTGATATGCTCCTTCCTTAGTCTTCTTATTCAAAGCGTCAAACAGAACTGTCAAGGATCCCCACCCTAGAGAGCTTTTATGGTGGCTTTTCCGCCCACCATGCATGAATACATGGATAGCATTATGCTCCTTCCTTAGTCTTCTTATTCAAAGTGTGAAACGAATAACTTTGAATTTGACAGGTCCCTTGACAGGCTTTTCTAGTGTTAATTTTATTAGGTTAGCAACTTGCGGCCATGCTAACGCAATGCCGTCTCTAATAGAACAGCCTCGGAGCGAGATTTATGACGTCACGCTAGTTAGATACTACGGATGAATAAATATGTTGTAGAATACATGGAAAACATAATTATTCCTCGTATTTTTGGTTTGTATTTAACAATGATATAGTTTACATGAAATGTACATACGTAATATACACTTAATAAATACAATATATTGTATAAACGTATGTAATTTTTTGGATTATATTCGACACTATTTTTTTTATATGACACAACACACAACACTGAAGAAGGCTATAATGTTAGCCGAAACGTTTTTTTAAACCAAATAAAAATAATGAAAAACCAAATGAAAACTTAATCAGAAAATTTTAGAATAATTTTACATATAAAATGACAGCGATCTTTATGTCATAGCCATCGCTGACGCCTTTTTTTCTATGGTATTGTATTATTTGCAAATATAATTTTTCGAACATTGATATTTGCAAAATGTACATATAAATTTTGTGAATGCAAATAATAATACATCACTATTAGTAGATATTGAATGTTTTTTGTTCAATTAGATCGATTTTCAAACCCCAAAATTTAAAATATATTTTACATTTTACCCATTATCTTATGTACCTATTTATCATTAGTATTTTGTAAAACATTTGCTGCATTTGTATGGTTCATAATTTATTTGTCAAAGTATTTATTACTATAATTAGGTATATATGTTGTATTTATTAACTGTATATTATGTATATTTCATGTAAAACTATATCATTTTTAAAATACAAACCAAAAATAGGAGGAATAATTATGTTTTCCATGTATTCTACAACATGTTTAATAATCCGTAGTATCTAACTAGTGTGACGTCATAATCTCGCCCAAGGCTGTTCTATTAAAGACGGCATTGGTCTGATATTTAGAAATGTCAAAAGCTGATAACATTTTACTTTTGACAATTATGACATTTCGTGTTGATTTTTGCAAGAAGAGGAAGAACTGTCACTTGTTTTATTATTTTCCTTTTCTATTTCATGAAAGTAAAAAGAGTTACCTATCTGATTCGTTCAGGCAGTCAATTTAAAGATTATCAGTAACTTTTTTGACAGAGGGATTTTATATTTGCCATGTTGGTAAAAAATAACGGTCAAAATTCAAAGTTATTCATTTTATAGACTATAGAAAGAAACTTAGAAAACTACTTCTATTGGATAGTATGAAATAAATCAACTAATCGCAAAGCACTTCTCGCTCTTGCGTAGTTCAAAGTTGTTGAACGAAAAGGACCGACTTATGTGGATTTTGTATAGCTCCACCTCAAAAATTTGGCTTCAATTTCTGTTCCTTACTAGCAATATATTCTTATAATATATTTGATGTAGACAGGCTATTGTATTTTTAGGAACATTTAGACAGCAATATGGCTGGAACTTCTAACTGGTCTCCATTGGGTCTGTCCAAGATTTCTTCCAGGAGTAGATCGTCGTTACACGAAGAACAATGTACGGTATTTTTGAACTACTTTTGACATTTCCTTTCTATGGAAGCTTTTGATTGGTTCTATTTTTTGTAGTTTCCGGTACAAAACCAAACAGGAGTCCTAGTGCGACACGCAGTTCCAGTGTGGGCCCCAAAAACCCTACTTTTATGTCTCACGTGTCTCAAAGGACCAAACCCGGTTCAGGCTCGAGCACGTTAAATACTGGTAATGTACCGGGTGTTTTGTATATTCCTTTTCAATTAAAATATCTCGGTGGCATACAAAGCAGAATTTCTTTTTAGGGGAACAAACATGTATAAAAATCTTTATTTTAGTTTTAAACAAAAAAAATATTATATATTAAATTGTTATTAGGTATATTAAAGTATTACAAAAAATATACAAAGTGTCTCTTAAATAAGAGTGGTCAAACACCAAAGAGACATATTTTCTATTTACAATTTTTTTTAAATAAGTTGAAAATAACCGAGTTATTTAACTTTAACAAAAAAAAATGCTGACATTTTGAGAACCGCCGACATCAACACGTTTTGCCACATAATATACAAGAAGGTATACACTTAATTTGATTAGGTTTATACCTAATTTACCTTGTAATATAGCAATAAAAAAATATGAATTTTTTTAGGTTTACTCTTTCAATTTAATTGAAAATGACAATTGAGAAAATTAAAATTACTGTAAAAATATAAAAGGGTTTGTTTACTTACATTCTGCAAATTATGCAGAATGTAAGTAACATAGGAGGTGGCAATATTGCAAGGCTTCGATACGCCATCAAGAAATTTCAGGAGAATGAATCTGCGGCACTAAAAAGTTTTTTATACTTCCCGGAAAATGCCAAAAAAAATTAAAATTTTCAACATTTGTTTATTTTTACCCTTTTTTAAGATACACCCTCTATTTTTAATCTAAGGTTTACTACTGTATGAAAGGCTGTATGAAATTAAAAGAGATATTTATCATTATTCAATATTATTAAATAATTTGAGTTTGACTGTGTTGTCACAATATTTTTTTAGGTATTATCAATCTTCCCAAAGAATACAAACCCGAACAAGCATTAGAATCGCTGGAAAAACAGTATGCTTTCCTATCAAGAACCTTCCACGTAGAAAGTGCGAAAAAATATAATTTTTCCGAAGACACCCAAAAAAACCAAGAAAAAAACACCGAAGAATGTCTGGTTCAGAACGCCTTCACGAATTTTATATATACGGAGAATTTTGAAGAAAAATTTCGGGTAAGTTGTTATAATTTTTATATTTTCAAACAAACAACTTATTTTTTAGGTTAAGTCTAAAGCCACGAAATCCTATACGTTTCCGATGGATAATTTTAACCTAGAGCGCCGAGGAACTACGGTGAAAAAATCCGAACATCAAATCTTGTGTAATTATTCGAATATAGTGACGTCACGTAAAACCAGGGAGTTACAAATCTTAGGTTAGTGTTATTCATATTTTCTTTGAATAAGAAGACTAAGGAAGGAGCATAATGCTATCCATGTATTCATGCATGGTGGGCGGAAAAAGGACTCTAGGGTGGGGATCTTTGACAGTTCTGTTTGACGATTCATTTGACACATTTGAAATTTTGTGGATTTGTCAGTCTTTACGCAGCTTATTTTATGTTATTTATTTATTCTACTCCTGATAGTTGTATAAAGGTAGTAAATCTAGATGGCAATTGTGGCAGAACTTAAATTAACAGTGACACTATCGCGATTTATCGAAAAAGACTCTAAAATAGTTGGTTGTGTAGCGTGCGGTAGATCTCGGCAAAAATCGAGTGAAATAATGGAACAACTTTTCGCTAGCAAGTGACTATATAATATACATACGTGTAGTAAACCGATCATTTATGAAATTCACTTAAATTAACTAAATTATATATTTTTCTTGCATTTTTGCTGTTATTTACTACTTGTCAAAGATTAGATGTCAAAGAATTTAGATACGTCAATTTGATTTACCAGATTTACCTGCTTCAGTAGCGTATCGGATGTTTGTGTTAATAAATAATTATTATAACTTATCTATTTTTATTAGAATTATATATTTTTGTAACAATTTTAATAACTACCAACATTTATTCACAACGTCAAATAAAACAACATATTATTGAGTCTACCCCACGTCTACCCTACATCATAGTTTTACATTTTTTAAATAAAATTAGAACGGCACTGATAAACCGGAATTTAAGTCGGCCATATTTGAGGCCCATCGCGGTGGACCTAAGTTTTTTGATATGCTCCTTCCTTAGTCTTCTTATTCAAAGCATATTTATATTGTACTGTTGACCTCTGGGGCAAAGGCCCAGCAGTGTTGCCAGTAGTTTTAAGATTTAGATTAGTTCACAGAGGAGTTGGCAACATTGCAAGTATTCGATACGTACGGCTGTAAAAAGTTTTTTTTTAAGTTTTTTGGAACATTTTCAACAGTTTTTGTAAAAATTATACTACCAATTAAAATACTTGCACTTATTTAAAAGACACTCTGTATATAATGGTTTTTTGTTTCATTATTTCTAGGTTGTCTGATAGTAGAAATCTTCATGCCCAAACAGCTGCGTTCGTCAGGCTCAACCAACACAGACTGTTTTTTCTCACAAAGACTCAAGTCCTGTCTCACTATTATCAGAAGCTGCCCTAACGATATACCACCCTGTATATCCTACCTGGTCAACTTACTGCTTCAACCTCACATAGTCAACCCCCAGAACTTTTCATATCCCGTCGTTACTGACCTAGGACTACCTCCTCCCACCACTCACTTACTTTTGGAGCCCTTGCTGCAAAGCGGTGTTCCTTTTCCTCGGGGATTCCCAGATGTTTACAGGATTTTGGCTTCGTTGAAGGAGTTCAAGAACGTGGCCTTGGAGCTGGACGTTTTGTATTATTTCGATTGTGACGGTACTGCTTGTTGGGAGTACGAAAATTTAGAAAGGTAAGTGTGTTAAATAAGTGTTATTGTCATTTTTAGGGTTCCGTACCCAAAGGGTAAAAACGGGAAGCCTATTACCACAGATTAAGTATACTATATGTATACAGATAAAAATCTTATCCCTAATTCGTGGTACGAAAATTGTTTTTTATGACGATGTGCAAACGAGTCAAATTTCCTGTGCGCAAAAATAAACTCCCGTAAAATAACAATAAACAGCGTAATAGAGAGATATCGCTAAACCGAATAGCGTGCATGGACGTTAATAAGGCCAGACGTTATTTCCTTTACGTGAGGTGGTATTAACTCTCTTCATTTATAGTTATCGGATCGGAAAGAATTCTGTTCGCGTCGCGTCCGCTATTTAAACTTAACCTAACTTTGAATTTAAAACTTTGAAATTGTTTTGTTTACTAGGTATTTTAAAACTAAAGGGCTAAAGTGCTTCTTTCCAGTGCTTTATTTTTAAACCTCTGCCAGTGGGTTTAGAGCAACAAGCAACAAATAATTCACTTAGAAGGGCTAAGTCGTCATCTGCTGTAAACCTAAAGCTTGTTTCATGTAGACGCGAATTACGAATTGCGGAAAGCGATTCGCCTAAAAACATTAGCAAAATTTGGACCTATTTCATACAGTCGCGAATTTTTAGGGACATTTTATTTTTGCTCCACTGAAAGTTACCAAAAAAAATCATAACCTGAGATAACTTAATTTGTTTTTTATTCGTGTTTACGAGCTTTATTTTATATTTTATAGCATACAATAGCTTACTTCGGGTTTCTCTTATTACCGATTCTGAACCGTCCTAGAACTGTGATGCGTATGCGCAGAAGGAAATATGAAGACATTATTTCATTTGCGCATGCGCTGTAGAGTTCTAAGACGGTTCAGAATCGGTAATAACAAGAACCCGAACAAATCTAATATGAGTTCAAATTTGTTTAATGATTATGAATATTGATTACGATTGTAGGATTGGAACAGAAGGCGTAAAATTGCCATTTACTTATCGTTAAAACGTAGAAGAGAACGGTCATTTGGGACATGTGACATATTTAAATTTCGTAAGCAAGAAACCCTTGTTGCTTATCGCAATTTAATTCAAGAAATGAGGACAAAAGATGAGAAAAAATTTAGGAATTTTCACAGATCGTCTGTACAGGAATTTGATAACTTGGTTGAAAAATTGTCACCACATATATCAAAAACATATCATAAACATATGCACGAGAACCCATTTTACCTGGAGAAATCCTTTCAGTTACTTTGTACTTTGTCAGCGTCGTCAAAATAATCGATAACCGATCACAGCACCATTCTGCGCAAACGCGAACCTTAAAATCGCGCGAATATTCGCAAAAAGTTGAAAACACTTTAACTTTCCCGCCCCCCAAATTTTAAATCTTGCAAATCGCCAAAATCTTAAAATTTTAAAATTGACAGCGCCGCCATGATCATTAAAATTGGACCAATGAGAGCAGTTTCGCAAAATCGCGATTCGCGTCTACAGGTCTGTTCCTAGAAGAATCCCTGACTAGTCAGCACGTTTCTCATTGACCCCTGACTAGTCAGCACTCTCTCATTTCTCAAATGCGTAGAAACCTGATTGTTAGTTAGGTTTCTACGCATTTTAACCAATGAGAAACGCGCTGACTAGTCAGAGATTCTTCTGGGAACAGACCTTACATGAACAAGGCTTAAGTCTCTTTATAGGTTCTTTAATATTGGAAGAGGTGGAATCAATATTTTGGGCCATATTTATTTAATTAAAACTAATCCCAGCTACTTAAATATCAAATTACCTAATAAAACTAAAGTAATAATTCAAAACAATTCAAACATAACCTAAAATAAAAGATCTCGCCGGCCGGCCGGCCCCGGTTGTCAAATACCCGCACATGTCCATTTAAGCAATTTTTAAACGTTATTTAGAAATAGCGCTTGGTGTAATTGATCCGCAAATTACGTAAGACGGTAACGTTATTAGCGGGCGTTGCGTTAAAAATTGACTCGCGCATATAGTAACCATGACTGACCATGAAAAGGTACGCGTAAATACTGCATGACGCTATTCGGTTTTGCGATATCTCTCTAATAACTGTGCCGGTCAGGCGCAGTGCACAATTTTAGAGGCCATAAGTGGGCGTGCTATGTGCGCAAACTAGTCACCTAACTAGTGCCCGATTCCGAAAATTGGAACCACGAATAACAATAAAGAAATAACAAAGATTATAATCTGTATAATCTATGCTATTACTAAGACTTCGTTGTCCGTCCGTCTGTCATAAAGGTCTATCTTATGAACCGTTATAGCTAGACAGTTGAAATTTTTACAGATAATGTATCTATGTTGCCGCTATAAGAACAAATACTAAAAACAGAATTAAATAAATGTTTATAAATAAAAAAGTACTTTCACTAAACATTATCTTTTAAGTAAGAATTTTACATAGAATCTTTCAAGTCTTCGGTGGCCGCGTGGTTAAAGCGTTAGGACTTTACGCTGCTCTGACGTTGGGGCCGTAGTAAGGCAGGTTCGAATCCTAGTCAAGGCGACTTTTTTTTAATCGTTTTTTTTTAATTTTTACATATTTATTTTTACTTTTTACATATTTATTATTGATTAATACAATTTTTAGTAATGTGTTTCTTCATTTTTTTTTAAATTACTTATACGCGCATTCAAACTTTCAGCTAAATCGAAGAAAAAAGTTTGTAATAATATAGTGACCAATTTTTTAAGTTATATGGCTTTGATTAATCGTACAGGGAAATAAAACGATATTTATACTGCATTTTTTTGTCTTTTTATGTATATTACAGTCGAGGGTTGAAACCATAGAATAACTAACTGAAAGAAATGAAAACTCCTATGTTAAAGCCTGGAAACACGCGCTCGACGCGATCCAAGCGGGCTACTGGCAGAACTAAAAATTCGCGCCATATTTTTAAATGGACCTTTACTGCCAGTTCATAAGTTTTTTACTTATATTTGGTAATTTCAATCTAGATTATGAACTTATTTGTAACAAAACATTTTACAAAATAAAAATAATGTATTTTGATACAAATAAATTAATAATCTAGGTTGAAATTATCCCTGAAATTAGAATAAAACACGAAAAATTTTAACTTGATTATTTTATTATAACATTGTTAATAAAATTACATATAACACATTCAACACTATACAAGTATATATAAAAGTTATCAGAATTTATACAATCAGTTATAAGTAATTATAAAAAAGGTTATAAATTATAAATAAATAATTTATTATATAAGACATATAGTTACCGTGAATATAATTTGGTATAATTTTAATCTCAACTTTAATGACCTATTCAAATAGAAACATCTTACAATTCACATTATATAATACACAAAGCCAAGGGACAAAATTGTTATTAAATCTATTCTCGATGACTCGAAGCATTTTTTTCAAATAAAACAGGACATATAGGGCTTATAAATAATACAAGGGTATAGAAAATATATAAATAAGTAAATACAAATATATTTTCAACCTAATAATTAATGATTATACTCGTTTAAATAAATAAATGATCTTTTTAAAATTACTTGTTTGTCTTTGCAAATTTGTATATTTAATATTTATCTAAAAGCGTACACTTACATAAATTACTGCACAACCTTTAAAATTAAGCTTTTAATATGTTATACAAATTCTTGATTCGATATAAATACACTTAAATAAAACTTTAAAATTAATGATCTTCCAAATTTCTGAGACAGCCATTTTGTTGAAAGAATTTGTTTTGATTATGAGAAATTTCATAAAAATTATCACAGGGATTAATTAAATCTTATATATTAAACTACTTGGCTTTTAAATTTCACAATCCTATCGTCCAAAATACTCTAAATTCGCAAAAATCCGTAAAATATTCCCATAAAAACAAATCACAATTCACTTCCACTTCACAGAAACTGACAGACATTGCCAAATATGGAATGACGTTTATTTTTCAATTTTTCTTTACTGATCTAACTGATCCGGGTCACTTAGTAATTAAATTTTTATTAAATTATTTAATTATAATTGTTTCTGGCGAAAGCAACTTCATATCAATGTTTATTCATAGGGTAACAAAGCACATCGCTATTAAATTATCAACATTTTATATAAATATTTATATTTTTCAACTACTCCAACTACTTCAATTACTCCACAGAGAATCAAACGAATTGTTAATTAAACTATACTCTGTAGATGACTTGATAAAATCATGATGAAATTAAAGTCCCTAGATGAATATCTAGGGACTTTGGATGAAATTTCTACGCAGCGCTATCTATCCCTCTACTGGCAGAAACTCCGCCGTGTCCAAAATTCAAATGGCAGTTTCATCCGCCTGGTTGAAACCTTTGCTGTTACACAGCAAAATAAAAACACTAAATCACCACAATACACCAAAACACTGTTACTTTTACACTGGACGCGCGTTTCGCTAACCATGTTAGCATCATCAGCAGATGATTATAAACAAAAATACAATCTACAAGTTGAGCGTTTATACACTCGCTCAGTGGGCACCGAGTGGGCGTGGCAAGATCTAGCCAACCCAGTCAGAGCCCACCGAGCGTAACAGTTAAATTTCCGCCACTAGAGTAGTAGGAACAAAGAACTTGAAGGAATTGGACCGTTGTCTCTGTTCATCCTATCTTTACATTTATTAATTCTGATGCTTTCATATGCATCTAATTGCCTGTAATTTGAGACTTGTTTAATTAATTTTAAATTATTAAGATCTATACAATGTTCTTTATCAACGATATGTTCGGCAACGCAAGATTTATCCGGTGTACCATATCTTATCTGAGCTAAATGTTCTTTAAATCTAGTTAATATTGATCTTCTAGTTTGCCTAACATATTTCTGATTACAATCTTTACAAGAAATTTCATAAATACCCGACCTTTCCAGTGGAGGTGTTTTATCCTTTGGATTAACTAATAATTGTTGTAATTTATTATTAGCACTATACACAAGTTTATAATTGACATTCTTAAAAATTCCTTTTAGACCACAGGATAACTCTCTATCAAACGGTATTGAAAAATATTTTGACGTATCTTTCTCCACTTGAAAAGTCGAATTTTCAGAAATCATTAACCTATACCTACGTTTTCTAATTATTTTATCGACTAGTGAAGGAGAATATCCATTACACTCAGCTACACTCCTAATGTAATCTATTTCTATTTCATATCTTTCGCTGGAAAGTGGAAAACTAAGTAATCTATGAACTAAGAAATTTAAACTAGCCATTTTATGTTCAACACTATGATATGATTCATTAGAAATATATCTGCGTGTAGTGGTATTTTTCCTATAGATATCAAATTCCAGGCAATTCTTATTATTTCTAATAACTAATACATCTAGAAATGGTAATTAGTCGTTGTTCTCAATTTCATGCGTTTTTTTGTACTAGAACTAAAATATTGCTGGCCCAGAACATTTCTGAATGTAAAGTGAAGAAGTGTACCAAAGATTTGGAGAGTTTTCTCGAAGATATCGACACAAATACTCAGTCGGAGGTTATCAATATTCTTCTTCCACACGCCAAAGGCTTGATAGAAGACCCACCAACATCGGTACTAGCTGCTTGGTACTTGTTTGACCCTATGTCAAGAGTTTTAGGTAAGTAAAGGGCAAGTTATTATTTTATTTGGGCTAAACAAACTTACTTCAAATTAAATGCAAACTATAAAACAATCATTCTGCCCTAAATTCGCATATATTTCATTTTAAAAATATACAATTTCTTACTGATTTAACAAAATATTAGCTGGACCCTCCCAACTTCAATCTTATTTTTTTTTAAACCAGTACCTTTTGACCTTATCTCTGTACAGTACTAAAATCTATTATTATTATTATTTACAATATTTGTTATTTGACATATTTTGACACAAATTATAACCTATAAGAGTTTGACAAGTCCTGTCACTCCAGTCATGTTGAAAAATGATCTGTCATTTTTGAAATAAACTAATAAGACTGATTAAAAATAACAAGAGACGACGCCATAACAGATTTATAATATACTAGCGTGTACCAGCGACTTCGTTCGCGTCGAATTAGTCATTTGTAATGGTGATGATAAAGCAAAGCAAGAATTTCCATTTTGAAATATGTCTTTCGAAAAATCCGTTTGCCAAAAATAAGCTTTTTACGTCAAGCAGATTAAGCAGAATCGTGGTTATAATCAATTATTACCAAAATTTTCAATTATTACCCAAACCAAACCAAACCAAGCGTTTTCCCGTTTTTTAAATAACAAATATTGTAATATTTGAGGGGCGTTTTCACCCTCTCTCGAATTTGAGATTCGAGAAACCCCTCCTTATCGAACCTCTACACCCCACCCGTTTACCAAAAATCAGCTTTAAACGTCAAACAGTTTAAGCAGAATCGTGATTACTCAATGGTCATATTTTATGAAACACCCTGTATAAATTTATAAAAAATCTTAAAATATGTAAAACAACAAAATAAAATATACGTGTTTAAGAGTTTTTCCGAAAAACTCACCGGTTTTTCAATAAAAAATATTTTAATATTTGAGGGATAGTTTCACCCCCTTAGGATTCGAGTTTGGAAAAATCCCTTCTTATCGAACCTCTACGCCCTAAAGTCAATCCGTTTTCCAAAAATCAGCTTTTTACGTCAAGCGCTTTAAGCAGGATCGTGATTAATCAGTGACCAGATTTTTCGAAACACCCTGTATACATTTTTAAAAAATCTTAAAATATGTAAAAAAAAATAAAATATACGTGTTTAAGCGTTTTTTCGGAAACTTGACCGTTTTTTAAATAAAAAATATTGTAATATTTGAGGGGTGGTTTCACCCCCTTGGAACTGGAATTTCGAAAAATCTCTTCTTATCGAACCTCTACACCCTAGAATCAACCTGTATGCCAAAATTGAGGTTCGTACGTTGAGTGGTTTGAGCAGGATCGTGATTAATCAGTGAGTCAGTCACTTAGATAAATTGTTAACTTCAATAATATTAAAAACTTTTTTTAATGAAATAAATGGATTGGTTTTAGTTGAGTTTGTTGTTAATATTAAGGTTTTCAGGTACAAAATTGTCAGCAAAAACACTGCTAGACTCGGTATTGAAGCTCTACGAACAAGAACCTTCAGAAACTTCACCGTATAATGGAAAAATCGCCAAAATATACCATCACAGCTTTTTGTTGAGGCTAATGGTACGTTTAGGTCTAAAATGCTTTTTGGAGAACTTTGTTACGCCACTGGTGGAGGCCGTTGGAGGTAACCAAACGAAATACGAGTCAAATTTCATGCGAAAATCATACAATTCATTTTTTTTATCAGGTTATAAAGATTTTGAGAAATTAGATTTTCCTTTCCACACTCATAGCGAGAAAATTTTGAAAAAAACGTCTCATTTGAAAAACATGGATTCGATGAGTAACGAGTCCAGTCCCACTTCTAGTGATAAGCCTGTAAAAGTACAAAATGACGCAGAATTAAAAAAGGATGAAGACATTTTTGAATTAGGTAAATTTCTGTAATATTTTGAGTAAATCTGAAGAAAAAATCGTTTTAGATGAGGAAAAAGATTCGGAGAACCAAATGAAGAGCCTGATTGAGCATTTGGAGCTGAACATAACCTCAGATCTTCCGTTCAACGTTTCGGCTGCTGAAGAAGCTTTGGATGCAACTCTAAGTGAAAATATGGACCAATTAAGAAGCCTTGAGGTAAGGTCTCTTAATTACATGAGTTTTTGAGGGTTTTTGACCCCCCCTTTGATTCCCTCATACCGTGCTGGCAACTGTTACTTTTGGGTCGGCATTTACATGTGTGGAAGTAAATCGCATAGGGATCTTATTAAGTCGGAGTGAGAGAAATGCGACCGACCAACGCGACAACAAGTAAAGTAAAATCACGATCGCCAAACCGTTTATTTTTAAAATACTTTTTTTTCAAGAGATAACTACAGTTATTGGCCATAAGTGGATGAACTTTGTTAAAATAATGGGTTTTTCCTAATATGTTAAAATTAAAATTTGAGCCATATTTACTTTGAAGCTCCAGTGCCTGCATGTAAAAATAAATAGTATTGTTTTTTTTTAAATGTTTTACTTGCAGTAAAAATTTAAATTTTAAAAAAAAAAAAAAAAAAAAAAAAAAAAAATATTTATGAATAAAAAATCTTATGTTAACAAAAACTGAAAAATTAACTATAATTTACTTGAAGTACTTAGTGTAATAACCCTTATTCTTAATTACTTTCAGAAATCGCTTAGGCATGGATCCCAAAAGATTTTCAATTAATTTATAAAAAAAAATCGATATTTTTCCCAGACTCTTCCAAAGCTGCACAATTTTTGCTTTATTTTTGAATTTGGTCCTTAATGTGTTGATCCAAAATTTCCATAAATTTTCTATTGGATTCAGGTCTGGGGATTGCGATAGCCATTTGAGAACAGTCACTATTTCATCTTCCAAAACCTTTTAACCAATTATGAGGCATGTTTCGGGTCATTATCATGTTGGTATAACTGGGTATTTTTCCCTCCAAACAAGATTGACCTCAGGTGCCAGTTTCCTGGTAAACGGCTCCTGTAGCCAAACCGATCCATTATGCCCTCAATTTAATGGAGAGTCTACAGAAAAACCTGTCACTCACGATTGGCGCCCCTCACGGTTTTTACAGTGGCTGCGTGTACTTTGGTGGCACCGTGTGTTGTGGAGAGTAATCTTCTAGATGTTGAATCTCCAATTCCATTTTTATCAATTTTGTTTTTTTTTTTTTTTTAAATCAATTAAAAAAATTGTAAAAACTCTTTTTTCCATTAAGTCAATAAGCGTCAAAGCTTTAGATATTCCTGGGTAAATGCTAATCGGCCTCAAATTTTTTTTGATAGCATTGTTTCGGGCTTACCTCGAAAACAAACTTTGGTCAACCACTTGATCGTCCTTACTCATCAGGATAGCCTTCTTCTCAAGTTTTAGCTTTTTATCTGCTGACGGCAAAATGGAATCTTTGGAAAAGAAAAATTCATATGGCTTTTTATCATATTGAATCAACCCTTAGTCCTGGTTTTCTTTTTATAGAGACATCTCTCTCATTATATCTCTTTAAAATATAATGTACTGCTGATTTTCCAAGGCGTAAATGCTTAGCAATTTCCGATTGCTTCAAACCATACTTAAAAGCATTCACTACTCGAAACTTAAGATCTGCAGACAAGTTAATTCCACGTGGCATGATATATCACAAGGGCTTCAAAATGTTTTAAATCAATTCATAAAGAAGAACAAATGAACCAATTGATTTTAAAAAATATTTGTTCATCTACTCTTGTCCAAGACAAAGTAACATTTGCCACACTCCCATTCTTATAAATGATAAGACCATATAGAATTTATATTTGTTTTGTAGCATTTTAAGATGAAATTGTATTAAACTTTAGCATAGTGGTAATATAATTCTTGATATTTAACACCTTCAAACTGATTTCTCTCAGCAACTACGGGTACCGGGTTCATCCACTCTTGTCAATACTGTAGATAAAGGTTGTTTTTTCCATTCAAAATTGTAAACCATTCCATTTACTTTAGAGCACAGCAATTTTTAGCAATCGCGTAATTTTTTATTGATAAAGATTAAAGAAAATAAAAATAAGAAAAAGAAAATAAATATGCAGCAGAAATAGCAATGTCGTGCAACTGAACGAAGGCAATACATCGATAGTAAAAGGATGATAAAAAACAAAATTAACAAAAAAAAAAAAATTATAAAATAGAAACAAATTTCTTGCTAGTATAGGTATAAATGAGAAATTATATAAGGTATCTTGCCACTTAACTGCTTATTAAGAAATTTAATTATACGCTGTGTTTGTCATAATGATCAACCTGCTCTCACTACCGGGTTCGGAGCCCTACTCCATAATCAGGTGAGCGCTGTGGGCAGATCCAACCAAAATGACAGACCACTATGTCTGTAACAGAGAGAAAAGGTTAATCCGACTGATGGTCTGCCAAAGCGCACCTGAGTTTGGTTAGATATTAAATCCCGAACGGAAGATAGCGGCCTGCGTGCAATGGTAAGTTTCGTACCACCGGGCGCAAACATCGATAGTAAAAGGTGGTAAAAGGCTTTTTTTCAGCCAAAGCCACAATTATAAAATAGAAAACAATTTTTTTTTTTTATTTTTTTTACATAATAACAAATTATATAAGGATTCTTGGCACTTAACTGCTTATATACAAAATTTAATTCATCACGCTGTTGTTGTCATTTTGTGGATCAACCTGCTCTCCACTACCGGTTTCGGAGCCCTACTCCCACTATCAGATGAGCTTGGGTCGATTCCACAAGACCCACAACAACTAGCCGGGCCGCGGAGTAGTTAATTTCGACTTGTCGGAAAGTTTCGGTTAGATATTAAGTCCGAACGGGAGATAGCGGCCTGCGTGGAATGGTAGTACTTTCGTACCACCGGGGCGCCGGCTATCGATGGTAAAAGGATGGCAAAAGGCTTTTTTTCAGGCAAGCCAAAATATGAAAAATAGAAAAAAAAAAAAAAAAAAAAATACGTATGACTAAAAATTATATAAGGATTCTTTGCCACTTAACTGCTTATATAGAAATTCAAAAAAATAAAAGTTATCTGAGAAAGCCTAGGCAGTCCTTGGAGACCTACGCACACCAAAATACTATATGTCACCAAATCTTTCTATAAAAGATTCATCCCTGTTGGAACTAAAAGAAGACAAGGACTAAGGTAAGGAAGAAAGCAGTATAATGCTATCCATGATCTTTCCCAACGACGCAGTCAGGTGGGCCGCAAAAAAGACCTCTAGGGGGGGGGATTTGCCTTGACAGTTCTGTTGACACAATTCATTGATGATCTTGACACAACATTTTGAGGACTTTGTTTTTGGAACAATGTTTGTGGATTTGTCCAGCTCTTTACCGGGCTTATTTTTATTCGGTTATGTTATTATTATCATGCTACTAGTGATACTTGTATAAAGGTAGTAATCTAGATGGAAATGTGGCAGAGACTTCAAATTAACAGTGACACTACGCCGGCCATTGAGTTGCGCGATGGTATTGAAAAAGACTCTAAAATAGTATGGTTGTGTAGCGTGCGGTGTAGATCTCGGCAAAAAATTGAGTGAAATAATGAACAACTTTTCGCTAGTAATAACTATAATAATTAGCATCATAGTGTAGTAAACCGATCATTTAAGAAATCACGTTAAAAATTAACTAAATTATATATTTTTCTTTTTGCATTTACTTTTATTTTATTACTTACTTGTCAAAGAATTAAAAAATGCAAGATTTAAGATACTTCATGATTTGACTTACCCTGCTTCAGTAGCGTATATCGGAATTGTTTGTGTTAAATAAATACTTTATTATAACTTATCTATTTATTAGAATTATAAAATATTTATAATACAATTTAATTAAAAAAAAAAAAAAAAAAAAAAAAATAAATAAAACACAAATTATATCTTACACACCAACGTCTATACACCCTACATCATAAGTTTTAAATTTCACATTTTAAAAATAATTTATTTTTGTTTCTAGAAAAACTAGATACAAAAATGCGCGGGAATTTAAGTCGGCCATATTGAGGCCCATCGCGGTGTACCTAGATTTTTGTATGCTAGTCTTCTTAGTCTTCTTATTCAAAGGATTCATCCAATAAAACCATCACAATCCGGCAGCGCTGTCACCATCGCTTGTCACTCAAAGTTAATCACGTGCATGGGAAATTGTTTTGCGATTACCATAGTTCTTTTGGTTTCGTTCAAGATTATTATTTAAAACCCCGAGATTTTTTCAAATGAAATGTTTTTAGGCTTGGTCCTGTTTTGATGTCGCGATATCTGTCGAGAAACCTCCTGAGAATGTTGACCCTGTGCTACGTAGGCAAGGAGAATTTGACATCTGTCAATCCAGAAAACGGCGCAAACTGTAAGGAGGAAGTCACAGAATTCTCTATCACCTCTAGCAAGGTTGTTGGAGACGACAACGCCTGTAAAGTCTTGCATTGTCTGGCTAACATAGCAGGTAGATTTTTATTTTTAGTCATATACAGGGTGTCTCACTTTAATATCTGTCATGTATTTTCTAGGTCTATACGGGGAAAAACTGATTCTATTCCAATACCTTCCTCACATGACAGAACTGGTAGCCTTGTGCAAGAAACGTCTGACTCAGACCCTCGAAGGAGGGCTAATATCCTGTTTCGCCCTGTTAAAACACATAGTACCCTACCTCAGTGACGCCACATTGATGGATCAGCTCCAAGAAATACTGACAGGCATAGTACAGCCTGCCGAGAGTTTGCTGGGATCCACCGAGTTACTTTTCCCTAGCGGTCGTACTGCTAGGAACGCCCTGGCAAGGAAATTCGTGGACGCCCTGTATGTTCTAGCTGTGAGGATAGGAGCGGACATGACTAGGAAGTACCTGGCCGTACCGTCTGTGCAGAAGTTCTTTTTGATTTTTGACAAGGTGTATGGTAGAAATAATGAAATGGTAAGTAAGATATGCTCTATGTTTTTTTTTTTATTTTTTGTATTATGATTTTTTTAGTCAACAGATACAGGGTGTTATAGAGCTACACCTGAGTCGTATGGATCTATAGAGCTGTCAAGTACTGTCAAAGCTGTGCCAGTGCCTCACGTTAGGCTGAAAGATTCGGAATCATTTGACAGTGTGTCTCCTACACATACATCGAATATAGGTAAAAAAATATTCTTAGTTTTATGCAAGGTTTTTTTTTATTTTGGCTTTAGATCTATGCCTATGAGTATTTTTCGCGATTTTTTTATATTTTTTGTTAAATATTTTAAAACATTTTTAGAACTGCAGATTCGTCTACTACCAGTGGCGTTCTATTTTATCTTCATAAAAAAGGTTTTTGGTTAATCATTTTTTTTTCTCAAAATGTTTTTTTTTTTATTTATGTAAATATATACTTTTTAAAAAAAAAAAAAAATATTTACAATTATTTATATTTTTTTTTTTTTTTTTTTTTTTTAGAGAAATAAATAGCCAAAAATTTGTCAGCGGGCGGCAAATAAGGTGAGACAGTGCCTTCTATTAAAAGATCAGCCTACGGGCGAGATTTATGACGTCACGCTAGTTAGCATTACACGGATTAAAAATATTTGTAGAATACATGGAAAACGTAATTATTTCCTCAGATTTTTGGTTTTGTATTTTAAAAATGATTGTTTAGCATGAAATTATATACATAATATACAGTTAATTAACTACAAACTATATACCTATTTATTAGTAATAATATACTTTGGCAAATAAACTATGAACCATATAAATGCCGCAAATGTTTTACAATGTACGAATAATGTATAGGTACATAAGATAATGGGTTAAAATGTAAAGTATATTTTAAATTTGGGGTTTGAAAATCGATCTAATTTAAAACAAAAAACATTTCAAATTTTTTTTTTTTTTTTTTTTTTTTTTTTTATTTATTTTATGATTAAAATTATATGTAATATTTTGCAGTATCTGAATAAATTCGAAAAATTTTTTTTTAAATATTTACAAATAATACAATATTATCTAAAAAAAGGCGTCAGCGATGGCTATGAAATGAAGAATATAAGAATATAGGTAAAAAAATAATCTTAGTAATCAAGCAAGGTGTTTTTTTTTATTTTTTTTATTTATTGGTATTTTGTTCGATTTTTGTTTTTCGCCGATTTTTATTATAGTCTTTCTTAAGATATTTTACAGAACATCTATGAAACTGCAGATTCGTCTACTACCAGTGGCGTTCTATTTTATCTTCATAAAAAAGGTTTTTGGTTAATCATTTTTTTTTCTCAAAATGTATCACCCTGTATGTCAAAATATATACTTTTTTGGACATTTATGTATTTACATATTTATATAAACTTCTAAGGCCTTTGAAAATGTGTAAGAAATAGCCAAAAATTGTCAATTTTTTCGACTTTTTTCCATGCATGTAGTTGTGAAAATTGGCGACTTTTGTCATGTCACTGATTTTGTTAAAATTGCTGTTATTTACTGATTAAAAGTCGTAGAAAAAGTAAATATAGGCCATTGTAGTATTACGAGAACAATAATGGATGTAGGAGACGTTTTAACCATCATCAAAAATAGCTCAAAACAAGGGTCCAAAAAATTAATTTTTGCACAAAACCAAGATATCTAAGCCTTTAAAGGTGTATATATTCTGAATCTACATAAAATTTCCTACAAATACTGAGAGTTTCGTAATTTTATGGCTATGGTTACTATTTTTCTAAGGCTTTTGAAATTGTGTAAAATAAAATAGTCATTTTTTTGAGTCGTGAAAATTGGAAATTTTGGTCGTGCCACCGATTTTGTTACAACTGCTGTTATTTACCGATTAAAAGGCATAGAATAAGAAAATATAAGCCATTGTAATCTTACGAGAACAGTAATGGATGTGAGAGACGTTTTAACCATCATCAAAAATAGCTCAAAACAAGGGTTCAAAAAATTATTTTTTCCACAAAACCAAGATATCTAAGCCTTTACAGGTGTATATATTCTGAATCTACATAAAATTTCCTACAAATGCTGAAAGTTTCGTAATTTTATGGCTATGATTACTATCTTTATAAGCATGAACGCTTTTTTTAACACATTCTAGGAGAAGAAAATGTCCAGGCTTTAGCTATGGAGGAACTAAGAGATGTTTTTACCCTAGAATTAGCATACAGGACGTACATACCGTTTCTAAAACATGTCGGTATAAATTCCCTAGAAATATCACTAAAAAACCATGACAGAATACGAGATTTGTGTAAAAACTATGAACAAAATGCCAAAACCTCCTTGGAAGGGTCTAAAATGATATTGTCTGACATCAATTGGAGTCAAAGTATACCGCCCTCTAGTAGCATAGGAAGTAACATTAATTTAATAGGTAAAATTTCATCACGATATTGAAGTGTATTCAACCTCACAAAAATTATTTAATGAAGGTAACAGGATAGACGTTCAAGCCGAGACGTCGGAACCGCCAAAAGCGAACGATTTGCTGAGTTTGGTCAGCAACAGGATGGAGAACAACGCCAGGCATTTAAAAGGCAACTGGTTCAGTTACTGGGCTCACGAAATAGGCAGACCAGAAAAAGATAATAGCTTTAATTTCAACCAGATCAAATTACAGACTTTTGTAGGTAAGTATTGTGTTATCTTCAAAATAATATTGAATTTAAAAAAAAATGACTTTATTTTAAGGACATACTAATAGTGTAAAATGTCTGTACATTTTGGACAACGAGAATAGTTTTATGTCAGGGTCTAGAGATAAAACTGTGAAACTATGGAGTCTAAGAAGTCAAGGAGATGGATCATCTACCTCAAACTGTCAGTGGACCTATACAGCTCACAAAAAGTCAATTTTGTCTCTTACTTTCGTTGAGAGCACCAGATTGGTAACACTAAATTATTTTTTTGATTAAAAAAATATTTTTAAAGACATTTAATTGTAATTTTAGGTAGTTTCTTGCGATAGCGTGGTACATCTTTGGGATCCCTTCATGGGGACTGTCCTAAACCAGTTGGAATCTCCCAAATTTTCTCCTGTCAATGTTGTCAAAAGCATGCCGTCACCTTCGAGCTTGGTATTTTCGGCAACAACCGAAGGAACTATCAAGGTTATTGATACCAGATTAGCCAACTATGTTTACGATTTAAAAGTAAGTGGGGTAAGACGACTTTATTTTCTTTATTCAGCTCATCTAGGCATTCTTAAAGAGTCTATTACGCTATACTGTACAAACACACGTGCTTGGATTAAGGCTTGATTAACGTTTGCAGATCCTATGTTATAGGGCTTGTTTCTCTCTACAATTTCCTGTCTCACAATGTACCGTTTGTGTCCGGGAAGGGTTCATAGTTTAATAGATGTCGATTTTCGAAAGAAATCAGTACATGTATATTATTTCGTATATTTTTCATTTTATTGATTTTATGGAAAGCACTGTTCATTAAAATGTTGTATCCTATGTTATAGGGCTTGTTTCTCTCTACAATTTCCTGTTTCATAATGTACCGTTTGTGTCCGGAAGGGTTCATAGTTTCCATGGGCGCCGGACAGGGGGGGCAAGAGGGGGCATTTGCCCCCCCCCTGGATCACTGAAACAATAAAAATAAAAGCTATCTTCTTACATCCATCTGTAAAAAAAATAATCATTATTATGAAATTGTTAGGTGTTACCTGTAAAATAAAAATGTGGTAATTATTGGGAAAACTGGAAATCGTCCGATTTTACCAAATTAGTATACACACTATTTCGTAGATTACGAATCTATTTTATTCTTGGCGATCTCTTACCGTTTTTCAGAAAAACGGGAAAATTATTTAAACGTTGAATTTTCTTTATTTCGGCCCTATAAAGTAATAATTTCACTATATTTTCATTATATTATAGTTTATCTAAAAGCCACACTTGATTGGGGATAGAAAAGTGTCCAACATTTTACTGAAAAACACTTTTCTTAACAAAATAACAAAGAAGAATTGAGACCAGATGGAAGTTTGACATTTTGATATATCCCTTCTTTCTCTCTCCTATGTAATAAGAGAGACAAATTTCTAGAACCTAATCTAGAAATTTTAAAATTTAACGTTGTCATATCTTCTATTTTTTCGGGTGATTACGGATTTTAAATAAATTACCTATTATGAGATCGACTATAATTAAATATACACCTATATCCACAAAATTACGCGGAAGAGTTTTGATTGCATTAGTTTTAACTTCTTTGCGGAGGGTTAATCTTTTTTGTTAATCTAATAATATAACAACCAAAGATTAACACCCTCTGCATGGAAGTTGTAACCAATGCAATCAAAACTCTTTCTACAACTCGTCGGTATAAATAGTCAGATCTCGTTGGTAAAATAGCAGTTATGGAAAGGAGCCGTTCTTCTGGCGACCGCCTTTCGTAATTCCAGAATGAGCGAAAAAACACGCTAAATTTAGGTTTAGCATTGGCAACGTTGCTTTAAATGCCAGAAACACATAACCGTCCTAGAACTGTGATGCGTATGCGCAGAAGGAAATATGAAGACATTATTTCATTTGCGCATGCGCTGCAGAGTAGCCTGAACGGTTCAGAATCGTAATAACAAGAACCCGAAAAAAGCTATAATCTAACATTTTCAGATTGTTTACAAATTTATTTTAGCAAATTTTCCTCTATTATGCATAGAATTGGTTAAAAAAGTAACAGAAAATAGCAAAAACATTATTGATTATTGAATACCTAACAAAATATGTGCTAGAAAACCTTAAAAATATTAGAAATTAAGAAAAAATTCGATATTGAAATTATTTTCCGTTTTTCTGAAAAACGGTAAGACCGCCAGAAAAAAGTTCAGATACGTAATCTACGACTTCAAAATAGGGTGTATACCAATTTTGGTGAAAATCGGACGATTTCCAGTTTTCCCAATAATTACCAAAAATGTCAATTTTTTATTCATTTTTACCTTGCCCCCCCCCTAAATTTCATTCTTCCGGCGCCCATGATAGTTTTATAGTTGTCGATTTTCGAAAGAAATCAGAACATGTATATTATTTCGTATATTTTTCATTTTATTGATTTTATGGAAAGCACTGTTCATTAAAATGTTGTATCCTATGTTATAGGGCTTGTTTCTCTCTACAATTTCCTGTTTCACAATGTACCGTTTGTGTCCGGGAAGGGTTCATAGTTTCATAGTTGTCGATTTTCGAAAGAAATCAGTACATATATATTATTTCGTATATTTTTCATTTTATTGATTTTATGGAAAGCACTGTTCGTTAAAATGTTGTATCTTATGTTATAGGGCTTGTTTCTCTCTACAATTTCCTATCTCACAGTGTAACGTTTGTGTCCGGGAAGGGTTCATAGTTTCATAGTTGTCGATTTTCGAAAGAAATCAGTACATGTATATTATTTCGTATATTTTTCATTTTATTGATTTTATGGAAAGCACTGTTCATTAAAATATTGTACCCTATGTTATAGGGCTTGTTTCTCTCTACAATTTCCTGTCTCACAGTGTACCGTTTGTGTCCGGGAAGGGTTCATAGTTTCATAGTTGTCGATTTTCGAAAGAAATCAGTACATGTATATTATTGTATAGACTCGCGTATTTTTTGAAGGTTACAGTGAATCCGTCTGGACTTATCCGGTGTCTGGCAATAGGCCCTTCCGGATCCTGGATAGCAGCCGGACAGTCTTCTGGATCCATTACAGTTCTGGATACCAGGAAGGGTTTGGTGGTATCCAGTTGGAGGGCTCACGAAGGAGAAGTATTACAGGTAATGGAAGGTATCCATAACGAATCCATAAAAAATAATAGAGAAAATTTTTAGAATTATTTTTAATATATTTCAGTTTCATTTTTGTTAGATCATCTTTGCTATAGACTGCCAGAAGTTGACGTCACGTTAGTGGTCGAAGTTTTAGGCTTCGCCCTTTAGCGTGACGTAACGCTGGTTATTCTAAATCTTAATATACAGGGTTGTTCACCACATACGACACGGAGTATTGTAGCTAAACGATGAGATTTTTACAAATTGTAAGTTTGGGGTTCGTTGAAGGACCTTTAGAGCTACAATTTAAAAATATTTTTACAAGATACAGAGTGTCCCAAATAAATAAAAAATATCAAAGTTGTATTTTTTTATATGGAATGTATATTATTACATTTTTAGTTTCTACGATACGGTAAATTCCTGCGAAAAATTTCTACGATACAGTTCTACAATACGGTAAAAAATGGTATAATATAATTTGATAGACAATTAAATTGTGCATTTGATTCTCATAAAATATACAGGGTGTTCCATTTAAATTAAACAAGTTATTGCCGTTTGAAGATAATAATTATTTAAAATAAATTTTTAGACACTCTGTATAAGGTAGTATTATTTTTATTATTGCAACACAATAACTGATCAGTAAATAAACTTCAGTAAATATTTAGTATTAAAAACTTTGATACCCTTGGAGAAATGAAGCCTTAAAATTTTGACTGCAATTTCACAAAATTGAAAATATTTCAAAAACAGTAAGGTTTAAGTATAATAAATCTTAATCAAATTTACCTTTATTTTAATCGTAGAAACTAAAAAACTGTAATAATATACAGGGTGTTCCATTTAAAAAAATACAACTTTGATATTTTTTACTTATTTGGGACACTCTGTATCTTGTAAAATTATTTTTAAATTGTACCTCTAATAGTCCTTCATCGAACCCAAAACTTACAATTTGTAAAAATCTCATCGTTTAGCTACAATACTCCGTGTCGTATGTGGTGAACAACCCTGTATATATTTAGGATGGTCATGACTGTGTACTTTTATTCTGTCTCATATTTTCTTTATAGATGGTGGCTCCAAACGATGACACGCTGATCTCTAGTAGTTTGGATCAGACGATCAGCGTGTGGAACGTCAACGATGGCAGATTCAAGCATCATATGAGGTGAGTGCACAATTCAACATTCATCATATTTGTTCTATGATTGCAGTTATTGTTTTGTTTATATTTCGTAAAAAAAATATATACTGATGGGTACTAATATAAAATCACGTGATCAAATTGATTTATCCGCTCTTTGGACAGTCGAACTGTCAGTATTCTTCAAAATCATTGTTTGTGTACATTTAGAGAAAATTATAGTAATGCTTTGTAGATAGTTGCTTTATTACGCTGTGTATCCTTGTAGAAAATCACATCGATTGGTTGAGGTTAGTTTATTGTTGATACATTTGAATAAGAAGACTAAGGAAGGAGCAAATCAAAAATCTTAGGTACACCGCGATGGGCCTCAAATATGGCCGACTTAAATTCCAGTTTATCAGTGCCGTTCTAATTTTATTTAAAAAATGTGAAACTATGATGTAGGGTAGACGTGGGGTAGACTCAATAATTTGTTGTTTTATTTTACGTTGTGAATAAATGTTGGTAGTTATTAAAATTGTTATAAAAATATATAATTCTAATAAAAATAGATAAGTTAGAATAAGTATTTATTAACACAAACATCCGATACGCTACTGAAGCAGGTAAGTCAAATTAACGTATCTAAATTCGTTGACATCTGATCTTTGACAAGTAGTAAATAAAAGCTAAAATGCAAGAAAAATATAGATTTAGTTAATTTAAGTGAATTTCATAAATGATCGGTTTACTACACGTATGTATATTATATAGTCACTTACTAGCGAAAAGTTGTTCCATTATTTCACTCAATTTTTGCCGAGATCAACAGCACGCTACACAACCAACTATTTTAGAGTCTTTTTCGATAAATCGCGATAGTCTCACTGTTAATTTAAGTTCTGCCACAATTTCCATCTAGATTTACCACGTTTATACAACTATCAGTAGTAGAATAAATAATAAATAACATAAAATAAGCTCCGTAAAGACTGACAAATCTACAAAATTTCAAATCAAATTCAAATGTGTCAAATGAATCGTCAAACAAAACTGTCAAGGATCCCCACCCTAGAGTGCTTTTTCCGCCCACCATGCATGAATACATGGATAGCATTATGCTCCTTCCTTAGTCTTCTTATTCAAAGGTTGATACAAATATAAAATTTATACAGTATGTCAAATTATTTTGACCACATATCGAAAAAAGTTTGATTGAATAATAACTTTTAAGAAGCTTAAACTATTTTTTTTCCAACAGTGTCCTAATTTTTTGAACACACTGTATGTTTATTTTGATTTATAAAAGTATCCTAGACTGTATTTTCATTACTTGCTTAGAAAAATAAGTAAACATAGAGCATTTAAAAAAATATTTGTTTATAGAATCATATAGTGATGTTGGGCACAGTGCGCGCTGAGTGGGCGTGGCAAGATCTAGCCAACCGAGTCAGAGCCCACCGAGCGTAACAGTTACATTTCCGTCACTAGAGTAGTAGGAACAAAGAACTTGAAGGAATTGGACCGTTGTCTCTGTTCATACTATCTTTACATTTATTAATTCTGATGCTTTCATATGCATCTAATTGCCTGTAATTTGAGACTTGTTTAATTAAGTTTATTTTAAATTATTAAGATCTATACAATGTTCTTTATCAACAATATGTTCAGCAACGCAAGATTTATCCGGTCTACCATATCTTATCTGAGCTAAATGTTCTTTAAATCTAGTTAAAAGTGATCTTCTAGTTTGCCCAACATATTTCTGATTACAATCTTTACAAGAAATTTCATAAATACTCGACCTTTCCAGTGGAGGTGTTTTATCCTTTGGATTAACTAATAATTGTTGTAATTTATTATTAGCACTATACACAAGTTTATAATTGACATTCTTAAAAATTCCTTTTAGACCACGGGATAACTCTCTATCAAACGGTATTGAAAAATATTTTGACGTATCTTTCTCCAATTGAAAAGTCGAATTTTCAGAAATCATTAACCTATACCTGGATTTTCTAATTATTTTATCAACTAGTGAAGGAGAACATCCGTTACACTCAGCTGCATTCCTAATGTAATCTCTTTCTATTTCATATCTTTCGTTGGTAAGTGGAAAACTAAGAGCGCACATAGTGCACAAACATTTAAATGTTTTTTTAATATACAGGTCTGCTCTTTATTTACTTATTTCTCCGAGGTACTGTCCTCCTTTCATAGCACGCTTTGCTTTTTGTTCACACCACGCACTACCCGCGCACCTTTTCCCCATTTTTCAGTACCATTTGCGTTCCTAGGGGTGCCACGGAACCCGCTCACTGCCTCTGCGTCTACGAGGGCAACGAGCTCGTCAGCGGTACCACCGCCAATCGCGTGGGTGTCCACACGGATATATCACCCAGGGCCGCCTACAGCAGTACCAAATTGCGAGGGGACACCTTCAAAGGACTCTTAACCTCCATGGGGATGCTACCGTTGAATAGGCTGTTGCTATTGGGAGCTGACAACGGCCATATCAGTTTATTATGTTGAAATTTTTGAGAAATATCACCAAAAAAACATAGTCAATTGAGAAATTTGCAATTTGAGTAACTTAGATCATTTAATAACATAGACACAACTTTCAGTAATCGGCGTGAAGCCAACATAACTTACTGTGTGACGTCATTTTGTTTATTACGTACGTTTGTAACGGCTTTTTGTTTATTATGTTGAAAGTTTATTATTTTGAAAAATTTAAGGAAAATCCAAAAAAATCATAGTCAATTGAGACATTCATTTTTTCTTTCTCAGAAATGTAATTTGAGTAACTTAGATCATATAATAACATAGACACAACTTTCAGTATACAGTGTGAAGCCAACATGACTCAATATGTGACGTCATTTAAGGGATGTTACTGTTGGAGGTTTTGATAACGGTCATATCAGTTTATTATGTTGAAAAATTTAAGGAAAATCCAAAAAAATCATAGTCAATTGAGGAATTCATTTTTTTCTTTATCAGAAATGTAATTTGAGTAACTTAGATCATATAATAACATAGACACAACTTTCAGTAATCGGCGTGAAGTCAACATAAGTTACTGTGTGACGTCATTTAATGGCTTATTGTTTATTATGTTGAAAGTTTATTATGTTGAAAAATTTAAGGAAAATCCAAAAAAATCATAGTCAATTGAGGCATTCATTTTTTCTTTCTCAGAAATGTAATTTGAGTAACTTAGATCATATAATATAGAGGACAACTTTTTCTCAGTACAGTGTGAAGCCAACATGACTCAATATGTGACGTCATTTAATGGATGTTACTGTTGGAGGTTTTTGATAACGGTCATATCAGTTTATTATGTTGAAAATTTAAGGAAAATCCAAAAAAATCATAGTCAATTGAGGAATTCATTTTTTTCTTTATCAGAAATGTAATTTGAGTAACTTAGATCATATAATAACATAGACACAACTTTCAGTAATCGGCGTGAAGTCAACATAAGTTACTGTGTGACGTCATTTAATGGCTTATTGTTTATTATGTTGAAAGTTTATTATGTTGAAAAATTTAAGGAAAATCCAAAAAAATCATAGTCAATTGAGGAATTCATTTTTTCTTTATCACAAATGTAATTTGAGTAACTTAGATTATATAATAACATAGAAACAACTTTCAGTATACAGTGTGAAGCCAACATGACTCAATATGTGACGTCATTTAAGGGATGTTACTGTTGGAGGTTTTGATAACGGTCATATCAGTTTATTATGTTGAAAAATTTAAGGAAAGTCCAAAAAAATCATAGTCAATTGAGGCATCCATATTTTTTTTTTCTCAGAAATGTAATTTGACTAACTTAGATCATATAATAACATAGACACAACTTTCAGTATACAGTGTGAAGCCAACATGACTCAATATATGTGACGTTATTTAAGGGATGTTACTGTTTGAGGTTGATAACGGTCATTTCAGTTTATTATGTTGAAAATTTTGAAAAAAATCCAAAAAATAACATAGTCAATTGAAAAACTCGGTTTTTATTCGCCAGAAATGTAATTTGAGTAACTTAGATCATGTAATAGCATAGACACAATTTTCAGTATACATTGTGAAGCCAACATAACTTAATATGTGACGTCGTTTCAGGGATATTATTGTTGGATAACGCCCATATCAGTTTACTATGTTGAAAATTTTGAGAAGAATCCAAAAAATAACATAGTCAATTGAAAAAAACTCTGTTTTTATTCGCCAGAAATGTAATTTGAGTAACTTAGATCATGTAATAACATAGACACAACTTTCAGTATACATTGTGAAGCCAACATGACTTAATGTGTGACGTCACTTAAGGGCTGTTACTGTTGGAGGCTGAAACTGTCACATTTACTATTTCCTTTTTATATTATTTTTGTAATATCTACAGTCTGTCCATCAAAAGAATACGTAATTTTGACAGAGGACGTCAGAAAATTATAGAAAAGTCTGTGACAGTTATCTGTCACTGTTATAATTTTTTTTCTAGACATATTGTACTAGTTTTTAGTATTTTCTTTTAGTCTTACTAGTCATATTTTTTTATTATTGTCTATAGAAAAAAAAATAATTAATTATATTTTTGCAGATATCAGTCATAAGAAAAGTATAAAAATGGGTCTCTATTTAAAAAATATATATTATTCATAGATATATACTAAGTATATTTTTAACTCCACTTGCAATAAAGAAATCAATACCAATCTTAACAAGTATTATAGTTTGTAAGAATAAAATTATATTTGTTTTTTAAGTTTTTAGTTAATTAGTTATTAAAAAAATATTTGTTTATAATTTTATGGAGGATTTTGAATGCATTTGCCAATAATTGCTGGTCTCAATAAAGGATGTTTTAGAAAAAAAAATGTTTTTAATAAGTATTTATTAAAATAAAAATAAATATTATAAATTAAACTTACGATACTAATAGTTGTACTAAAACGAACTAAAAATTAAAAAAGTGTATCAGGCACCGGAGTCATGAAAAAACTAAACTAACAGTCGATTTGAACAAGATTTTTCTGGAAAAAATCATGGTCTAGAGTTTGGCTGAGGTTTCAGTAATGCCCTTGTTGCTGAAGCCAATTTTTCTGAGACAACTGTAGCTATTTCTGGGCTTTTCTTCCACATGAATTCGTTGGTCTTGTCGTGGTTGTCTTTACTTTCAACTCTGACCTAAAATCAGAAAAAAAAACGCTGTAAAAAGGGTACAAAAAAATAACATGCATTAGACTTTGTAATAATATAGACACATTTTTTTCTCTTTGATAGATTTGACAAGGATTTGACCGAATGCCATTATTTTTATTTTTTTTTAGAATACTCTTCTAATACAATGATTTCAATAATTGGTAGTATTGTGAAACTCACAGGATCTCATTTTTACCTGCTTTTTGCACATTTTCAAAGGCGTGACAAAAATAGGAAACAGAGTCATAAAATTATGAAAACTTCAGCATTTCTAGGAAAATTTATGTAGATTCAGAATATACACACCTTTAAAGGCTTGGATATCTTGGTTTTGTAGGAAAATTAATTTTTTTGACCCTTGTTTTTCAGCTATTTTCGATGAAGGTTAAAACGTCCCCTACGCCCGTTACTGTTCTTGTAAGACTACAATGGCCTATATTCTCTTTTTATTTTCAGAGACGGTCACCCGCCCAAACGCTATTCTAGTCTAACGTCGCTTAACTTAAGGTGATAGATTGGAAAGTTGAGAGAGTAAATATTATGATATAATAAAAAATCAGTTAATGTCGTACTTGTTTCGGCTGTAGAACTCTGATAGAATGCAAGGAAGCCGCACCTCCCTGGACTAAACGTAGTACCAAACGACCGTACATTTCTTCTGTGGTTGCTGTGGCACTTCTTAGCTCTCTTTTACCACTTTTAGCCACCTGAAACAGGAATAAAGATTATTTAACACATGTTTTTTGAAACACCCTGTATAAGAATATATAAACAAGGGTACTACCCTTTACTTTTTTCGCTGGTTTTGGGAAATGCTGTCAACACGAACAGCAGAGGCTCAGATGGGCACCAAAACTGTAGCTGTTAAAACAACGCAAGGAACTCCACAAGGTGGAGTAACCTCCCCTTTGCTGTAGAGCTTGGTGGTGGATGAACTACTAGATGAATTAACTCTAGCGGAAATACACTGCATTGGGTATGCAGATGACATAGTCATGATCGCTCGGGGGAAACATGAAGGCAAAAGAATTTTGTGCAGTGTTGCCATTTGTAATTTATATCGTAATACTTCCTGATAAAGCCTACCTTCAAATTTGCTACATCATTTAAACATATTAAAATAGATCAGAGCTGATTTTTCAGTTTGCCATGTTAGTTGGAATTAAATCTTATGAGCTAAATTACAATCACTTCCTGACGTTTGATTGTATAATTGAATCCTGAATTTTCATTGTAATTCGGCGACAATATAATAAGTATTGTTCTACTATTAAGATACCACTTCCTGACGTTCGATTGTGTTCATACCAAGTTCATATCGCATAATCAGGAAAAAACGGCGTTAGCGATGGCTATGAAATGAATATCGCTGTCATTTTATATGTAAATTTATATGGGAAATGTCATCGATCGTCCTTTTTCAGCCAACTGGACGCCGTTTTTTCGGTATCATACGGTATTTGATAAATACTATTTTTCATGACATTACAATATTATGGTACCATGAAGCATATCAAGTGATACCATAATATAGTACCATATTACGATACATGGCGTTCGATTGGGCTTATACTTGGTATACTATATCTTCAGTGACATTGTAATATCATGGTACCATGGAGCATATAAAGTGGTACCTTCTATAGTACCATATTTGATGACATAGCAATATTAGGTACATAGCGGCAATAGAGCTTAAACTTGGTATACTACGTATTTTCGGTGACATTGTAATATGATGGTACTATGATGCATATCAACTGGTACTATAATATAGTACCATATTATGTACATGGCGTTCGATTGGGCTTAAATTTGGGATACTACGTATCTTCGGTGATATTGTAATATTATGGTACCATGGAGCATAATAAGAGGTACCATAATATAGTACCATATTACGATATCATTTCCTGGCGTTCGATTGGGCTTAAACTTGGTATACTACGTATCTTCGGTTACATTGTAATATGATGGTACTATGATGCATATAAAGTGGTACCTTAATGTAGTACCATATTTCAATACCATTTCCTGGCGTTCGATTGAGCTCATATTTGATATATACTTGCGTATTTTTGATGACATTGCATTATTATGGTACCATGAAGCATATCAACTGGTACCATAATATAGTACTATTACGTACATGGCGTTCGATTGGGCTTAAACTTGGGATACTACGTATTTTCGGTGACATTGTAATATGATGGTCCTATGATGCATATAAAGTGGTACCATAATATAGTACCATATTACGATACCATTTCCTGGCATTCGATTGGGCTCAAACTTGGTATACTACGTATCTTCGGTTACATTGTAATATGATTGTACTATGATGTATATAAAGTGGTACCTTAATATAGTACCATATTACGATACCATTTCATGGCGTTCGATTGTTCTTAAATTTGGTATACTACAGATCTTCGGTGACATTGCAATATTATGGTACCTTAAAGTATATCGAGTGGTACCATAATATAGTACACTATTATGATATCATTTCCTGGAGTTCGATTGGGCCCAAATTTGGTATACTTGCGTTTCTTTATAAAGATTTGTTTAATTAATAATTTTAATTTATTTTACGAATTTTAATTTATTGTTCGATGTCGTAACAGCAACTTTTATGCCGAACTAATATATTATTAATTGTACCTGTGTCACTTTTTAAAATCTACCTAGGTCTATATAAATAACGTGGCAAACGGAAGAAATTTGTTATTATAGTATTTTTTAGTTAGTTAACATTTTTTGTACTGCATTTTAATAAATTATTTCCATTATTATTAAACTTATATTTCATTACTACGTTCCAGCATTAATAAATATCACTATCAATCGCCCTGTATATTATTAATTTTAAAGGTAATTAAAGGTATTTTCTTAGTTAACATTATAAGGTAATGTATATTAAAAATGTATATGTTTTGTAATAATATACTTAAAACTATTTTAATAGCCAAAGGAATAATTAATATAAGTGTATCTGACAAGAAAAGAAGAATAGAAAGAAACACATACTGCATTATACACAATAAAAAGAATGGGATGTCAATTCAAGTCTTTTTGAATCTGGCAACTGTGCATATTTAGCCTAGCTATAAGGACGTCGACGAGCCGTCGACCCAAAACCGAAAGTTCAAAATTTCTAATTATATTCTGATTATGATATTGTCGCGCCATCTAGTATTCTATTTGTGCAATTTTAGCTCTTTCATTTCGAGGATTTTTCTGTTGCGTAGCTAGATATTCTGTGGTACTACCCTTTACTTACTTCTCTTTCAACCCTGAGAATGAGTGGTCCCAGCATGAAATTCGTTTTTATGGTTGTGTAATCCGGTGTCATGTTGATGGTCACGTCACCTTCCCTCTTCAACGTACTAAGTCCAAACAGGTTGCTCTGGCTTTTTGCTTTGATTATGATTGCTTAGTCTTGTTTGAAGTCTTTTTCTGAAAAAATAGTTATTTTGTTATTAAGTAGTTGCACCAAATGGGTGTCTATTTAAAGATTTACCTTATTTGATCCTTTTTTATTCGAACTCGATGAACCTTTCTTCTTGTTATTCTGTCTAACAAATGGCGTAGCTCTCACTTCCTTGACTCCTTTGGAATTAGAGGTACTCTCGGTGGAACCGCCAGCTTTTGAGATCAAAACGAACTCAGATTCTTCGGAATTTTGTCTTGAACGTTGACGTTTTTTGTGTTCTGACCTATAATTTATTTATATTGTATAACTATACGTATACAAAGCAAGAGATAATGATACATAAAACAATCCCAAAGCTGTTTACAGCAGCACTAGAAGAAATCTTCCGTCAACTGGACTGGACCAACAAAGGATTATAAATAGATGGAGAATATCTTAACCATCTAAGATTAGCTGATGACTTTGTCACAAATTATCTATAACAGATGCGAAAGAAAGCGACTGCATCGGAAACCGCTCGGCAAACTCGACACGCCTATTAAGTGGTGTAAATACACCAGTCGTTTAGTCCGGAAACCTATGCTGTGTCGTATTCGCTTGCTGGAATGACATAGTGCGTGGTTATATGTTTCTTTTTAAAAAACGCGTGTAGGATTTTTGTTGAACTTTTGAACTGTTATTTCTAAGTTTTGGTAATTTGTATATCTTATTTAAAATGGGATGCAATGTGTGTTTATTTAAAAAAGATATTTATAGTATAAAAAATTTATTTATTTAACAAAATTTTAATTAAAAATGTGACAAAATAGTTACCTTTCTATTGGTTCTATCGGACTTTTTTCGACTATATAAATCTTTATTTGTAAACTTTAATACATCAAATATTTTCAATCTAATAAATCATTTAATGATGTAAATAAGAGGAAATTTCTCACATGGGTGGTCAAATTTTATAGTTTTCATTATATCAAACAGCCTCTGAGAAAAGATTTCAACTCAAAATGCCTTTAATTATGTTTGACTACATCATTAAAAAGGGTCTTCAAATACATCAATGTGATATTTGTCTAAAATTTGCAAAAGAATCCGAATCTCTGGATAACTCGAAATTATTTACCCATTTAAAAGCCTTTGATCATGAAAGTGGAAAAATTTGTTCATTTTTTTTTGACGGGCTGGAAAAATTATTTATATTAAATTTTGATGAGTTTTGCACTGAATAAAACATTCAGAGGCTGTTTGATATAATGAAAACTATAGAATTTGACCACCCATGTGAGAAATTTCCTCTTATTTACATCATTAAATTATTTATTAGATTGAAAATATTTTATGCATTAAAGTTAGTACAAAAAATAAAGATTTATACAGTCGAAAAAAGTCCGATAGAACCAATAGAAATGTAACTATTTTGTCACGTCTTTAATTAAATTTTGTTAAATAAATTATTTTTTAAACTATAAATATCTTTTTTTTTCCTAATCTCCTACGAGCTGATATAATATGACGAGCAATCTATTAAATTACTGTGAGATTATACAGAAAAGTCCACAGACTTCGAGACATAGGAAAATCAAGTCCAGTTAGCGTGTGTCCAAATTTTGACAAGTTTTCAAAAATTACAGTTTTGTTTAGACTGACATTTAATTTCGCCTGACTTCTCGGTGAATGATTTTATGGGAGTACATACAATCTAAAATTTACGGCCATGAAGAAATTAAAAACTTGGAGCAGTTAAGACAGAAAATATTTAATGCCTTTGACACTGTCACCCCTGATATGTTATCCAATGTGTGGAGGGGATTTTATGATCATTTGGGTTATTGTTTAATGCAAGAGGGAGGCACTTTTGAACAATTTTTGTAATTTTTTAAATTTCATTATCCTGTTTTTTTACCGTTTACCCATTACCTACCTTGACGGACATGGGAAAACGAAGGTCCTTTTCAGGACCACAAATATTTTGATTGAGAAAATTGGTAACTTTTTTTTGGATTAAAAAACAAAAGTTGTTAATATAATACCAATTTAAAAGTGTTTTAGTAGTTTTAATACACACTATGGTATAAAATTTATTATTATTATAATGTATATTATTAATAGATACTATTGTTCATTCGAAATGGCATTAAGGCCCAATTGCCAGCAATTATTTAAATTTTTCTTAAAGATAAGTAGAGCTTAGAATGAGCTGTATTTACATTTACTTTAATATTCACCTTAAATGAGGGAATTTGACTGATACAATTTTTGAATTTGAATTGTTTTTAATAATACTAACAATTTTAGTTGAATTTTTAATAAAATTTATTTAATATTAATAGAAATCCAAGAGATTTGAAACCTAATTTAGCGATTTATAACATTCTCAAATGAATTACAGGTGCCCTTATTTTCTATGAAAATCACACAGCTTTTTTCATAGTCGCTGCAGTTGCTATAGCTATAAAAAACTAATTTTTTAAGGTGTGAAAATTGCGACACACGCTAAATGGACTTGATTTTTCGTATGTCTCGAAGTCTGTGGACCTTTTTGTATGCCTCGATAACATATTGGTGCAGATTATCGCGTAAACCGCCTTACGGTGGAGTATTAGCATAAAAAGTTGATCGAAATTCGAAAAAGCAAATGTGTTTAAGATTTCCCAAAAAAAGATAAATGATAAGTTAAATCATGTCTGCCATGAATGGCGTTGCTATGGGTGTGTTTAATTGCATTCATTTGTTTCAACGAAACGTCAAAGTTGTTACTTACTACACAGATAAGAGGTAAATGGTTAAATTTTATGTTTAAAATTATAAATTGTTGTTGTTCTTGTGCTCCTTTTACGTTTATATTATTGTTTTGATTGAAAATGGCTCAGCAAGCTGCAGGTATGTATTCTACAAAAACATATTATTTATTTTGATATTCTCTATACTAACGATTTTTTTTGCAACTAAAAGTTAGGCGTTCAGAAAATTTGATTAAATTTGTGACATTTTTATTATTACTTTGAGATTTAGTTGCGCATTTCGAAGAATTCGGCATATTGTGTATATACGTTTTACTTAGTAAACATTAGGCTTTCATACAGTAAAATAAAATACTGCGACTTTTTGCGACTTTGCTGATAAAATGAGAAAAACATTCTTGGTTTCCTCTAATATGCCAATCAGTGATATACTAATGCGAGGTGTAAACCGCGATGGCATTGTTGTGTACAAAGCGATCGCATTAGTGCTATTAGCAGTATAGCACAATTTGGCATTAGTAGCGACTTTAGTGGTATGGGCACTGCTCGCGGATCAGTCGTAGCATTAGTAGTATTAGTTGCGATATTACTACTGGCATTAGTGGCATTGACCGTGGAAACACTGGAACAGTGATTTTTCTTTCTTTTTTTAGAATCGACGGAATTATCCTTTATTTTGTTCATATTATTTCCTCTTTAATTGAAAATAGCAATAATTTATAAAGGTCTACATAAAAAATTTCGATCAACTATCGGTGTCAAATACCCCACTGTGGTGCCTGTTGATATTTTAACTGTCAACAGATATGGCCTTTTTTTGAATTTTTATAATTTGAAAATTGCTCATAACTTTATTCTCGCGAAATAATAAAATATAGAAACTGTAAAATTCAGTTCTTAAGGCACTTTTTTAATTAACCAGTGGCGTGGTCAGTTTTTTCACACTTGCTTTTTTTTGTCAGAAATAATAAAATATATTTTTTAAATAGAAATCATAGTTGGCTAAAATGCTGGCGTTTAACCCTGTCCAACGATATAAAGTTATGTGTATTTATTTCTAAGAATGAGAGAAATATTAGGTTTTTTATCTTTATATCGAAGGGGGCCTTGATTTTGTATAATTATTTTTTATGACAATTTAATATTCTATATTATTATTTATCTGCATAATTATAGACTTTTGAAAAGGTAAATTAACATTCTATATTATTATTAGTAGGTACTAATAATAATATAGAATGTTAATTTACCTTGCTTAGTAGGTACTAATAATAATATAGAATGTTAATTTACCTTTTCAAAAGTCTATAATTAGGCAGATAAATAATAATATAGAATATTAAATTGTCATAAAAAATAATTATACAAAATCAAGGCCCCCTTCGATATATAGATAAAAAACCTAATATTTCTTTCATTCTTAGAAATAAATACACATAACTCTATATCGTTGAAGAGGGTTAAACGCCAGCATTTTTTTAAGTTCATAGCCAACTATGATTTCTATTTAAAAAATTATATTTTTTATTATTTCTGACAAAAAGAGCATGTATAGAAAAAAACTGACTACGCCACTCGATTGTGTTTAAAAAAGTGCCTTAAGACCGTTTTTACAGAATTTTATTATTCCGCGAAATAAAAAAGTTATGGGCAATTTTCTCAAAATGGTAAAAAATTCAAAAAGACCCCGTATCTCAGTTGGCAGTGAAAATATCAACAGGCGGTTTGCGCCATTAAACGTGTCTCAGAAATCGAGCCCATGACATCTATGTCGGTTTTGCTCTATCTAGTCAGGAAATAGGTTTTCTCTGTTAAAACAGACCAATTTCGACCACCCTGTACAACGAACTAGCAGACAGAAAAGACGTTCTAATAAATAACACGGAAATAGTATATAGAATATATTTGGAACAGAAGAATTAAGTGAGCACGGAGGACTTATCTAAGAAACTCAATCATGATGATGATACATCTACAGGTTGTAAAAAAAGTGTACCAAAATTCCGATTTAAAAGTTTTGAAAAGCGCTCGCTAAATAATATTTACCTTGCTATATCCAATTCAGCCATTTTATTGCTGACATCCGAACGAATTTCTGTGTTTTCACTAGCCGATTTGCCGAATTTGTTCTTCATATTCTCGCGTTGTGATTGGCTGAGTAGCTTAACTCGGACAGGGTCATATCCTTTACCCAAGACCCTGTTGATTCTGTTCAGAACAGCATCCACGAATCTGTTGTATTTTTCCACGTAGACTTGTGGCATTTTCGGGCTGTTTTTTACACCACTACCTATAGGAAAATTTCGGAAAAAATAATGTTATAGTGTTATATAAATAGATATAAAAATAAACTTATATGCCCAGATTTACATTGTTTTACCAATAAAGAATCTGTCAGAGTTGTAACTGTATGATTTTTTAGCGCTCTGAGTGAAAGTAAAACAAGATACATCAGAGAAAGTGATTTCTTTTGAACTAAATCAAAGAGAAATGGAATATATTATGAAGACCTGATCAGGTCATTTGCGGATGGTATACCGGTCCATAGTGACCGAGAAAGTTCTTTACCTTGACCTAGATTCGAAAGTACTTGAGAAATGCTTGAAACTTCGATCAATTCATTTAAAAGAACCAACAAAAAAATTATTTATACCCCAGTCATTGTTTTAATCAAAAATAATATACTCACTAAAGAAAATGAAGATGAAGTGCCATTTCTTTTGTATTAGAAAGTTTTCTTTATACCTATTTAAATAAATTTCTATAATTTTTCGTGTATAATTCCAAAATGTTTTGCTGAATTTTCATGACCTTTTAAAGAGTCAGTGAAAAAAATTGAGAACTACTTATTAAAATAAATAGCATCACTAATCGAATTTCTTTTGTTTATTCTGTCATTGTCTGCACAATCCCAATTGTTTTTGACGTACTGCCATTAATACATGCAAAAATATGAATACCTGCTCATACAATCATATAAGTAAGTACCATAAAGACACACATAATTTTACATAAATAATATATTTAACTACATAACGGTACTGAAATTAACGCAATAAATTATACAGGTTCTTTAGATTTACTACCTATTTTATTTCATTTCATTATTTTCTACATGTATACTTATCTATCGATACATCTATGAAATTGAGTTTATTGTTTTTCTAATGTACAGTTCGTCTGCTGAATCTGTGTCTATAAAAGGAATGCGGACAAAAAAGATTTAAATAAACAGCAATATATTTTATACGTCGACTTGTCGAGTACGTCACCGCAAATCGCTCCGCCCACTCATTTTATTGGCTACTTGCAAATTTGTCGAATTTTTATTGATGGGACCCGTCGTCTAATTTTTTACGAAAAACATCGAGAGAATATCGTTTCCCCTCTCACGGATACCCCGTAACCACAGAACGGACAGACGTACTGTAACTGTTATTGAAAAGTCATATTATTATTGTTTCTTGGCACACAAATCAAATTTGAGTCATATTTCGAAAACGACAGCTCCCAGCGAAAAACTAGTTACGTCACACAATTTCAAATTCACCCTGTATTTCCGGAACTAAGAGGACTAGGACAAATCAGTGTGCAATATATTTAGTTTCATAAAAAATTAACACAGTGTTGAGAAAACTGCATCTATGTACCCCTACTCAAAAAAGAGAAACACTGTAAAACACACGAAAAAGGGACACCCTGTAGTTGCTGTTTTAAACAAGTAAGTACATTCATTAAAGTAATCTGTGAGCTTAGGGACTGTTTTTGTGTTTTACTTAATCACTAGATACAGTACAGTACGTCTGCTGCATCTGTGTCTATGAAAGGAATGCGGACAAAAAACATTTAAATAAACAGCAATATATTTTATACGTCGACTTGACGAGTACGTCATCGCAAATCGCTCCGCCCACTCATTTTATTGGCTACTTGCAAATTTGTCGAATTTTTATTGTTGGGACGCGTCGTCTAATTTTTTACGAAAAACATCGAGAGAATATCGTTTCCCCTCTCACGGATACCCCGTAGCCGCAGAACGGACAGACGTACTGTAACTGTTATTTAAAAGTCATATTATTATTGTTTCTTGGCACACAAATCAAATTTGAGTCATATTTCGAAAACGACAGCTCCCAGCGAAAAACTAGTTACGTCACACAATTTCAAATTCACCCTGTATTTCAGGAACTAAGAGGATTAGGACAAATCAGTGTGCAATATATTTAGTTTCATAAAAAATTAACACAGTGTTGAGAAAACTGCATCTATGTACCCCTACTCAAAAAAGAGAAACACTGTAAAACATACGAAAAAGGGACACCCTGTAGTTGCTGTTTTAAACAAGTAAGTACATTCATTAAGGTAATATGTGAGCTTAGGGACTGTTTTTGTGTTTTACTTAATCACTAGATACAGTACAGTACGTGTGCTGGATCTGTGTCTATGAAAGGAATGCGGACAAAAAACATTTAAATAAACAGCAATATATTTTATACGTCGACTTGTCGAGTACGTCACCGCAAATCGCTCCGCCCACTCATTTTATTGGCTACTTGCAAATTTGTCGAATTTTTATTGTTGGGACGCGTCGTCTAATTTTTTACGAAAAACATCGAGAGAATATCGTTTCCCCTCTCACGGATACCCCGTAACCACAGAACGGACAGACGTACTGTAACTGTTATTGAAAAGTCATATTATTATTGTTTCTTGGCACACAAATCAAATTTGAGTCATATTTCGAAAACGACAGCTCCCAGCGAAAAACTAGTTACGTCACACAATTTCAAATTCACCCTGTATTTCAGGAACTAAGAGGATTAGGACAAATCAGTGTGCAATATATTTAGTTTCATAAAAAATTAACACAGTGATGAGAAAACTGCATCTATGTACCCCTACTCAAAAAAGAGAAACACTGTAAAACACACGAAAAAGGGACACCCTGTAGTTGCTGTTTTAAACAAGTAAGTACATTCATTAAAGTAATCTGTGAGCTTAGGGACTGTTTTTGTGTTTTACTTAGATCACTAGATACGTCAAAATATACCGTATGATCGAAAAAAAATAGCGTCTAAGGCGACTGGATAGTGACAAACCGATGAGAATTTTGGCGAGGTCAATCCATAGACGTCATTTATTAAACATTGACATAAAACTTGTCAAAAATTAACAGTAATTATAGACAGATTAAGAAGCATAAAACGTTACACAAATCTATTTCGAAAAAAATATTTTTTCTCGAATTTGAAACTACACGACTTAAAAATTATTTTTAATCAATATAAAAATCCGCGCCATGGACTGACCTCGCCAAAATTATCATCGATTTTTATTCCCCTGTCGTCTTTGACGCCGTTTTTTTTTCGATCGTATCGTATAGTATTTGTTCTAGTTAACATATTGTTGTGTAAAGCTTTCGAACAACTTTCATATGTTTTTCCATGAAAAATTACCATAATTTTCAACGAGCAAACGTCAAAAAAGAAAGCATCGAAAAATCGGTATCGAAACAGAAGGTTTTCACGGAATTTGATCGTTCATCAACACGATCATCGGCTTGCTTGAACACGGAACCTGTACAATGTGGGTCAGCAGGTGACCTTGTTCTTAAAGTGGTCAGACAAACGATTTCTTCAGGTCAACACACCTACCGATACCCAGAGCTGTATTACTTTTAATTTCCCATCTGTTATTATTTTCAAGAATTAGTACCGTATTGATTTAAATATCATATACGATCGAAAAAAACGACGTCGTCATGGACTTTGAACCATATTTCTTTGTAATAATTTCCGTCAGGTCGACCTCTATAGCGGGTGTGTTTCAAAAGTGGCTAATCCCTATAAAAAGTGGCTCATCCCTTTTTTATTTTTTCAGTCAAAAAAACAAGATTTGATATTCTGAATAGAATGTCATACTACCGTATGATCGAGAAAAAACGGCGTCCAGTTGGCTGGGAAATGAAGATCGCTGTCATTTTATATGTAAATTTATATGGGAAATGTCATCGATCGTCATTTCCTAGCCAACTGGACGCCATTTTTTTTCGATCATACGGTATATATCAACTGTCGCTTAAACAAATAGTATTTTATTAAAACTAAACATAATTTAATTAAAATTAAAAATAGTATTTTAAATTTCAATCTAGAAATCAATGACTGTGTTCATAACGACAATTTGAGTCGAAATACTCAGTATGTGATGCCATTTATTCGTATTTTTTTTTAATATATGAATGAACCACCCTGTATAAGGATATTTAAGCTATTGTAAGTTAAAACCATGTTAAAACGTATACAGACAATTAAATCGATAATAATATTGAATATTTGAATATAGTGAAAAATCGTTTCATCTGCAAGCGATACCAACTAAACTTTTAGCGTGGCTAACGTCATATTCAAGGCCTGACTGTTTTGACAGTTCTACCGAAGTGTAGTTTATTTCATATTAATATTAATATTCGTGCTTTAGATCTAAATTTTAATGCTATTCAATTACTTTAACGCGATAAAAAGTTAATGTTATTTTTTAATACCTTTCTGTATAATATTTTTCATATTTATATCTGGCAAAATTATCATTATTTATTTATGCAAAAACTATATGCAGTACCATATGGCACAATACAAAAGCCCGACTAGTGCGGTGACGTCACAAATCGATGTCTCTGGCCCGTATGTCATGTTGGTTATGATGAACCATATATTTTTAACTCGTATATTATAGGAATTTTAATTAGTTTAATATTAGAAGAAATAGAAGTATCGTAACGACTTTCTTAGTAGTTCTGAAGACTCAATTACACATTTAATTGTGTGCATCCCATTTTTAGCTCCACATACCGTGAAATTACTACATTTGTCTGACATTTCCTTACAAAAAAAAGCTGTAATTACAGTTTTTTTGTACTATATGCTTGGGCGAGTGTGTGTTCTTTACGTATTTTAAACCTTATTTAATGATGCCTGGTTATACCTTATCATTGAAAAAAACGGCGTTGAAGAAGGCTGCGGAATGACAAACGATGATAATTTTGACGAGGTCAATCTCTAGACGTCGTTTACTATAAACTGGCATAAAACTTGTCAAAATTACAACCTTCATAAGGCCAACTGACAGAAAGCGCCATTAAAAAATAGAGAAACGTAGGGGGCCGAGTAAATGGCGTATAGGGCTTGACCTCGTCAAAATTATCATCGATTGCCATTGCCCAGCCTTATTTGACGCCGTTTTTTTTATACGCCTAAAAACTACCTACTATTTTATTAGAAATATTGCGTG